AGGTGTTTTCAGGAGCAATGAAGAGAAATAAAGAGTCTAACCTAAGATCTTGGGAGGTCAATGGGACCTAGAGACTTTAGATAATATGTGAGTATCATTGGAAAGATACGGGAACTTCCTGGGCATAAATTCTGTCCTGTTTTACAAACACACACACACACACACACACACACACACACACAAAACACACACGTAATTCCCCACCTAAGCATACTCAGTATATTCATTTGATTATTTGAAAAATAATCATATTATATATATTTGAAAAAAAACTCTCATATTTATTTAGGAATCCACCCAAAACATTTAAATGTATAAACCATGGATTAAAAGAACAAACAAAAACCTCACTCAACTTTCCTCTCCTTTGTTAGCTTCCCATCGAGTCAGTAAGTACCCTCAGCGATATGAGGTATGTAGAACATGAAATAGGAGAGAAGGGCTGAGGACAGGAGGCAAACATCTGTTAGGTCTGGTGAAGATGCAGGGAGGAAGGCGTGTTTTTCCCCCCCTCGAAGCTGGGGCCAGCACACGACCACCTGGGGGTAAATCCTGCCCCAACCTGTGTTTTTGTTGTTCTTATGGATTATTTTTCAGCAGCAAAATGATGCCTCAGATAAACCTTGTTGGCTCTTGCCTCTTTTTAAAAAAATATATATTTTATTGAATTTTTTACAGAGAGGAAGGGAGAGGGGTAGAGAATTAGAAATATTCATGGGAGAGAAACATCGATCAGCTGTCTCCTGCACACCTCCCATTGGGGATGTGCCCTCAACCCAGGTACATGCCCCTGACTGGAATCGAACCTGGGACCCTTTAGTCTACAGGCCGACGCTCTATCCACTGAGCCAAACCAGTCAGGGCCCAGCCTGGTTCTGTACAGAGTTTTATCGGAGCATTGCCATGCCCATTCACTTACGTATTGTCTATTGGCTTTCACCCTGCAAGAGAGTAGTCACCATACTCGATGGCCTGCGAAACCAGCAATATTTACTACCTGGCCCTTTGCAGAAAAATGTCACTCCTGCCTCAAAGGGCCAAAGAAGAGAAATGAGGTGTCTGTAAAAATTGGGGTGTCTTGGCCTGTTAGAACAGCCCACAATAGCTGGTTAGAATGTTGTCCAGATACACCAAGGTTGCAGATTCAATCCCCGGATCAGGATACATGCAGGAATCAACCAATGAACGCATAAATAAGTGGAACAACAAATTGATATTTCCCTCTGCCTCCCTTCCTCTCTGTAAAACAAATTAACTAGATAAAAATAAAAAAATAAAAAAAAAGAATGGGGAAAAACCCTGAATAAGGAGGAGGCAGCAAGATTTAAAGTAGATAGCAAGGGTCAGTCATCAGCAACATAATACATGCATTTTTGCCGGACGGTGCTCTGCCCAGTACAAAGGAAGTTCACAGATTAGTTTGTGCCCTGAGATTGATAAGCAAGTAAACAAAGTATACTACTTTGATAGAGATATGGGGAAGAAAGAGAGGAGTCAAAAACTGCAGGGAGTTCTGGCTATCTGAGAAACCTTGCCGGAAAGTGTAGGAGTTGCTAGGACTGCTTGAACAAAGAAAGGTCAAGGCTATTGCACAGTTAGTCCAAACGTCTTTTTTCTCCCTTTCTGAGTTCGTCTAAGACCTTTTTTTTTTTTTTTTAATTGTGGGAAAATATATATAACATAAAATTAGCCATTTTAGCCCTGGCTGGGTAGCTCCGTTGTTTAGCATGTCCTTCTGATACACTAAGGTTTTGGATTCAATCCCCTGTTAGGGCACATACAAGAAGCAAGCAATGAATGCAAAATAAGTGGAACAACAAATTAATGTTTCTCTCTCCCTTCCTCTCTCTCTCTCAAGTCAATAAATAAATAAAAATTTAAAAATTGGCCATTTTAACCACTTAAAAATGTACAGTTCAGTGGTAGTAAGAACATTCACATTGTTTTGTTGGGAAACCATGGCTAAGGTCCTTTCAGTAGGAGACGAAGTTAGAATCCAATTACTGTATAACTGGGGGAAGAGGCATGCAATGGTTAGGACACAGAGTCATTCCCCCTATTTTAAGTACAGGAGGTGGGAGGGCTGGGAAGAGGAGGACACGGACAGACCTGTGGATCTATTGTTGTATTGCTGGTCACCATGAAAACAATAGCACTGGGCTGCATTCTGCCCATCCATCCTGCTTTGAAAGACTGTCAGAGTCAATCCACCTGTTTCCCTGGATCAAGAGGAGATTATCTGTTGACATCTACCAGCCTCAGGAATGCATGGTGTCTCAACACCCCTTTGGTTTGTCTCAGATGAGGTCTGCTTTTTCACGAGGGCAAAGGGAGGTTCGATAGTGCCCCCTGCTGAGCAGCACCCAGATGACAAAGTCTCATTTCTGCTTCTTTAGACCCTCTGGTCAGACTGCTCCCAAGAGAATTGGAAAAATTCTTAGGCCCTCTGGGTAGAGTTTGCTGAGGCTCAGAACTCTGCTGTTCCTTCTCAATTCCTGGAGGAAGCGGAGGCATCAAAGTGAACAGGTTACTCTACCAAGAAAATTACTTATAATCTATGGGAGTTCTTTCCTCTGAGTGGTCTCATTGCTCAGTTATTTTTTAAATATATTTTATTAATATTTATTAATATTTTTAAAAATATATTTTTACAGAGAGGGATAGAGAGTTAGAAACATCGATGAGAGTCATCTATCTGCTGTCTCTTGCACACCCTCCACTGGGGATGCGCCCGCAATCAAGGTACACGCCCCTGATAGGAACTGAACCCGGGACCCTTCAGTCCACAGGCTGATGCTCCATCCACTGAGCCAAACCGTTTTCGGCTCATTCATTGCTCAGTATTTCTAAAAGGAGATATGAAAACAGAGCTTCCAGAAGGAGTATCCTTAAAATCTGGCACTGAGGGCAGCAACTGTCTTACCTACCAAATCTTTTCAGGGGCTAGGATTCTTTTTTATTTTTAAAATATATTTTATTTTATTTTATTTTATTTTAAATATATTTTATTGATTTTATACAGAGAGGAAGAGAGAGAGATAGTCAGAAACATCGATGAGAGAGAATCATGGATCAGCTGCCTCTTGCACACCCCCTACTGGGGATGTGCCCGCAACCAAGGTACATGCTCTTGACCGGAATCGAACCCGGGACCTTTCAGTCCCCAAGCCAACGCTCTATCCACTGAGCCAAACCAGCTAGGGCAGATGATATAATTTTAAAGTCTTTTTACTGTTGTGCTTCTTCCAAAAATCCTGCATGGCAGTGCCTGGAGAAACAGTTTCTAACTCATAAATAGCTCCTTAGGGTACCTGGAAGAAGTGGCAGTGAAATTGGTGAAGGTTATAACACAGAATGGAGGCTCAGTTCTCCAGTACAGTTTGCTGGACACTCATATCTTTCTGTTGCAGAAAAGATCTGGTAACAGTATTACCGGAAAGGGGCCTGGGCTTTGGTGAGTCTGCCTAGGGCCTGCTGGGAGTGTGTGGGTTCTTGACTTAATGCAGGAAAAATTTAACATGAGTCCACGTGAATTTTATTTTTTAAAGTATATTTTTATTGATTTGAGAGAGAAAGGAAGAGGGAGAGAGAAACATCAATGATCAGAGAGTAACATTGATTGGCTGCCTCTTGCATGCCCCACACTGGGGATCGAGCCCACAACCTGGGCATTGGCCCTGATTGGGAATCGAACCAGGATTTTCTACTTCCTAGGTTGATGTTCAACCAACCACTGGGCCACACTGGCCGGGCCAAACCATTAATTCTTAAGTGTCTTTGGTTTAGGGAAATTAGGATTTACTAGATGACTGCAAACTGCTTCGGATCTAGATTTTTCTAGAATGTTGTAAATTGCTGTTTAACTGTCTCAGTTTTCCTATTCCACTTCCCTGGCTTACTGGCCTATCTCAGCTATGATCCATACTAGAGGATTGCTTCCTGATAAAATAGGGGCATAAGACCTTCCTCACCGACAAAAGGAATTGTAAGCAATGATTAATTTACCAAGTCCCGAATCATTTAAGTTATCGAGGGGCTGGCAGATCGGTAAGTCGCAGTGCATATTGACTGTCTTAAGTAACAGGGGAAAGACAGTTTTTTTTTTTTTTTTTTGTTTTTTTTACAGAGAGGAAGAGAAAGGGATAGTTAGAAACATCTTTTTTTTTTTTTTAAATATATATGTTTTATTGATTTTTTTTTCAGAGAGGAAGGGAGAGGGATAGAGTTAGAGACATTGTGTGCCCGCAACCAAGGTACATGCCCTTGGTCGGAATCAAACCTGGGGCCCTTCAGTCCGCATTGAGCCAAACCAGTTTAAGGCGACAGATAGTATTTTAAAGACTAAGTTCATAACGGATGCAAACAGAGCGAGTGATTTGCCAACCTGCCCATCTCCTCCACATCCCGACTTGCCTTCCTGGAGTTGCAGGAGATGGAAGAGAACCTATCACAGCTGGGTTTGAAAGGAGGTGTGGCTCTTTGGAAGATGAGGCCCCCAAAGGTCTTAGCTTTTCTTGGCACCTGGTTTCAGAGCCGGTGTGGGAGGGGTGGAAGCAGATGATTATACCATATATTTTTTTAATAGAAATACGCAGGGTGCCCTGGCGGGTACGGAGGTGGTGGGTCAGCACTGGGGGGTAAGATCCCCGTCGGGCCAGAGAGGCTAGACCCGGACGCGCCTCTGGATTACCTTCCTTCTCCGCCACCCCGCCCCTCTTTACTGGCCCAAAGGCAAAGACCAGGAGCGGCCGGTCGCCTCGGGCGACACTGGGCGGCGCCGCCCCTCGCTCCTGGCGCCGGGATCCCTCGGGCGGCCGCCTTCCCGCCGGCCTGGCGCTGGGCTGGGCGGGCGCGGCGGCTGTGACGTCACATCCGGGCGGGCGGGCGAGTTCCGGTATTTCAGGGCGGAGCAGGCGGAAGTGGGGCGAGAAGCGGTTGTAGCGCGGAGCGGAGGAGGCAGGAAGCCGAGCGCGAGCAGGAGCTGGAGCTGGGTGGGCACCATGGCCGGGATCACCACCATCGAGGCGGTGAAGCGCAAGATCCAGGTCCTGCAGCAGCAGGCCGACGACGCCGAGGAGCGGGCCGAGCGCCTGCAGCGGGAGGTGGAGGGGGAGAGGCGGGCTCGGGAGCAGGTACGCGGAGGGCGAGGCGCGCGAGGGAGGGGCGGGCGCTGAAACAGCTGGGACCCGGAACCGGGTCCCTTTGGGGGCGGTGGGAGCGCGGCTCTCGGGGGGGCTGGCGGGCTCGGAGATGAAGTTGGGGGCCGGAGGGTGGGTGGGGCGTGGCTCTAGGTGGCCCTCCGGTGGGCGAGGGGGGACTGGGTGCTGAGGCCAGCAGCAGGCTTGACCTCCGGAGGAATGGAGCCTCCTGGGGCCCTGGGAGTGGCTTTTCTCCTCTTGCAGCTCATTCATTCAGCCCCTCGACGCCGGGCGCGGCCACGGGGAGGGAGGGACTCGGCGGCCTCTCCCTCCCCCACTCCCTGTGAAAGAGGGGGCGTCACTTTGCTCTGGTTTGAGGTTTCCGGCCCGAGAGGGGTGCTTCTCCGGTCGGGGCTGGGCAGGGCCTATAACCTACTGTGAAAGGGTGGGGCTTGGGGGGGCAGGAACCCCCGGAAAGCCCCCGGCCTGGCCTGCTGGCAGCCTTTCCGCTCCCTCCTCCTGCTCAGGAAATGAGGCAGCAGTCGGCCTAGAGGAAGCGGGGTGCCCTCCCTGGAGGAGTTGGAGGCCACAGCACCGCCTCCCCTCCTCTGGCCTGGGGCCCTTTCCCCTGAGAGGAGCCCTTGCAACTGCTAAACCCACTCTCCCAACCGACGTGAAGCGAGAGGTGAGGAGGTGGTACTTCTTACGTTTTAGTGCAAATGTAGGAGCCGGGAAAAAAACAAAAAACCCACGGCTGGCCCTACCCATGGGGACCTGGAAGGCAGGAACTGATGCCACATTCAAGCCTTTACTGCTGAAGTGTCATTGATTAGTGCAAGCTGAACCGGAACTTCTTCCAAGCCTAGGTGATAATCGAGGAGTGTATGGCAGAGAGTGGGAAAGAGTGCCAACTTCTGTCAAGGTCTCTGATTTACCAAGCGCTGTGGTTGGTGGAGATAGAGTACGTAATGAATTCGTAGGTGGCCCTAGTACTATTTCTCTGTTATTTTCCCAATTATCCACCAGTGTCTTTTTTTTTTTTTTTTGAAGTTCAGTAAATATTTGTTCAACGGAAATTGGAATGAATGAATGAACCTTGAAACAGCTTTTTGCTTAGAAGGGGTGGTGTCGTTTTAATGAGCCATAAGCTTTTCCAAGTTCTAGGGTACAGTCTCGTGGGTGGAGCTGATCCCCTGAGTTGAGGCTCTGGTTTTGAAGGATGGTGAAGCTGGAGAGGAAAGTAACTTGCTGAAATTTGAAAACCCAATGAAAGAACTCTCCGGGTTTTATTGGTATTCCCTGTTATATTTTCCCTTGGTGATTTTCTTTTTTCCGTTTTGGCTGCTCTGTGGAGTGGCTGAGAATGCATGCTTTGGGGGTGGAGGGAGGGGCTGCTGCCCTCCAGGTTTATGAAGATTGTTAGGATACTCATTTATTGATACAACTGGGCATGGACATGCTGGGAGTTTGTCTTAGTCACCGTTTCCTGAGAGGGTTTCCCCTCTGTTCATTATGCCAGTAACTTCTAATTGTCGATTCAAGTGAGGTGAATTGGCTGGGCTACTTTTGATGTCTAACAACACTTTCTCATTTCCTTTGTTCTCCTTAAAGGGGAAGAGAGAGAGGGTGGCTGGGTGGCTGAAGGAACTGGCCTTATGTGGAGCTGCAGGCTTAGGCTCACCATTTAAGTACAGGCATCCTAGGAATAGTCCGGGATGGATTGATGTCACTCCTCCACCCCACGCCTCCCAGGCTCGGGTGATTTTCCTTGTAGGAAAACCTGGCTCCCTTTTTTCCACCCTCGGTGACTTTGGGGTGATAAGCAGCAGAGAGAGCAGCTTCAGATGTTTCTTCAGCTCCTCGGAGCCTGCCCCATTTCCTTTACTGAGCTGAGGTGGAGGGAGGAAGTCCTCCGATGGGGAAGTAGGGGGGGTAGTTAAATATTGATGAAACTACTATCTTCTGCCCCGCAGCTCGAAGGAGCCTAACCTTTTGATTTCTGTTCTCGTGAACTTTGAACCCCTCCTGAGGTGGAGACATCTGTGGGAGAGGGTTGGGAGTGCTCGGGCTACTTTTTTTTTTTTTTTTTTTAAGGTATATATCTTATTGATTTTTTACAGAAAGGAAGAGAGAGGGATGGAAAGTTAGAAACATCGATGAGAGAGAAACATCAATCAGCTGCCTCTTGCACACACCCCACTGGGGAAGTGCCCGCAACCAAGGTATATGTCCTTGACCGGAATCGAACCTGGGACCTTACAGTCCGCAGGCCGACGCTCTATCCACTGAGCCAAACCGGTTTCGGCATCGGGCTACTTCTTATCCTCTGGGACTTAGGACGTTCTGGAATGTGGGTTGTGCAGGCACCTCCCTCTGGCACAGGAAGCCCGGGACTCCCTGATGGTATCGCCTGCTGTTAGTGAGATTGTCTCTTCATTATTTTTCTTGTTGCTTTGTGTGAACACCCAGCCCTTGTGGGGAAGCCGGCTGGCTCCGGAGCTGAGGCTGGAGGAGTTGTGGGGTCCATTTTCCTTCCTGCCCTGGCCTTGGGGGTTGACCTTTTATAATACAGCACCTTGTCAGTCTCCTTAAATAGGAGAACTTAGAGAGCCACATAATACTTAAATGTCGTCTTTTTCCTTATCTGTGTTTTGCTGTGATGGTGGTGGTGAAGATGTACATAACATAAAACTTACCTTTTTAACCACTTTAATTTATTTTTTAATATATATTTTATTGATTTTTTACAGAGAGAAAGGGAGAGAGATAGAGAGCTAGAAACGTTGATGAGAGAGAAACATCGACCAGCTGCCTCTTGCACACCCCCCACCGGGGATGTGCCCGCAACCAATGTACATACCCTTGACCAGAATTGTACCCGGGACCGTTCAGTCCCCAAGCTAACGCTCTATCCATTGAGCCAAACCAGTCCCGGCTAGTTTATTTTTTTAATCCTCGCCTGAGGATCTGTTTTTCATTGATTTTAGAGAGAGGCAGGGAAAGAGAAACATCTGTTACCTCCCATATAGTTCCCCTTACCTCCCAACTTCCCTGGTATTTGGCCCTTCTTTTTGTGGTCTTAAAAAGAATTAGGAATATCAGTGAGGGAGTCAGTGGGCTTTGAACAGAAGTTTCGATTCTGACTTTATTCCCAAATCCCCAGTCTCTGGAGGGGGATAGATGACTGACCATTGTGTGGCTCTCTCCTGTATGGGTCTGCGGGACTGAGCAAGAGGCTTTATCACCTTCCTTTGGTTCAGGTTTGCTTTCCTGCTGATTACCTCACTTTCCCTCCAGACCGGAGCACTCACTCATCGGGGAGAGGCAAACAGCACTTTGCTCGAGTGCCGGCTTTGACTCCACCTTTGTTTGCTCTGGGGCTGATAGCTCTGCTCCCTTCCAGCTTGCCTTCCCCTTGGTGGAACTAAAGTCCCCAAGGACACAGTATCTCCCGGGGCAGATACATTTGTGAACACAGTGAACTGGAGCAGTCTTGACTCTGAGGACTCCAGCCTCACTTCCATTACTCATTTCCTTTGGATTTCATCTGTGGCTTTTGTCTAAAAAGAGAAACCCCAGAGTGGCAGAATGCCAGAATTAGGCGAATCCCTTCTGTCCTTGGCCCTGATCTACCTCCCAGCACCGGTGGCCTGTCAGCTTCTTGCCTTGACGGGTGTGGTGTGGTCAGGGAACCTGTAGCATGGAGGATGGGAGCATTCAAACCAAACTTAGTTCACAGCTGAAGCTGTTGTCTTCTCATGGGTCCGATTTCTGTTGTTTTCGCTCCCTTTCCCCTTGGGGTCATTGCTACCTGGGTAGTGGGGAATTATATTATCACCTGAAGGAAGGGTCTCGAGTCTATCCTCCAAGCGGGGCAGAGGTGGGTAGACTGAAAGATCAAAACCACACCTGGGCATGTTACACCTAGGATGACTAGAATAGCATAAAACAAGGTTTCCCTGGTTTGCAGAAGTTAGTACCATTCAGTCTTTGGCAGGACTGAAGGACAGGCGTTTTGCATAGGTTCTGATTTGAAGGGAAATCGGGTGTGCCTCTTTCTCCCTTTAAACGTTGTAAGAGACCTTGATTCATGAAAGCTTTTGCTTCATTTTAGAGAACTGATCTTCTAGGGGAGGGGAAAAGGGAAAGAAAAACACAGAACTGCCCTCCCCCCCAATGGGTGGGGTGTGTCTGAACCCTTGTTGGGTTCTGCTTTTGCTAGTCTTGTTTAACGTGCACATGTTCTGGTAAGGGCACCAAGATATATTTTCTCCCTTTTCAGCCTCGCGAAAAATTATGCTGTAAATGCTGAAGTGTGGGAGAAACTGCCCTAGCCAGCTTGTTGTCATGGGAACATTGCACCCCACCCCCATAGTCTGTTATCTTCTCCTTTTGGGTAACTGGTGAGCTTGGAGGGGACTGAGATTAAATGAGCTTCCTCCAAATCTGGTTCCATGCTTTTTTTTTTTTTTTTTTTTTTTTTTTGTCTAGGCATATGTGTGTGTGTGATAAATTATACTGTTTCATAGTTCTTGCCTGATAGCCTGGATTGTTCTTGCAATCTTGACTTTTTGAATTTGTGGGGTGAAATGTGTGATGTTCTGGGAGACATCTGTTTTCCTGGAAGAGACAAAACCAAAGAATACTTGGCTTTGTGGTGTTTTGATTGGTGTAGTTAGAGGCACAAATGGCTTCTTGTAAATTCAGCTTATGTAGACGTGTCAGTTTTCTTTTTTGTAGGGTGGTAGTTATACACATTGCTCCTCCCCCCAGGCTGGTCCTTTGAACTTCCCATGTTTGTGTTTGGAAATTTTTGTCTCAAATAACTTGATTTAAAAATTTTATTTACTGATAAAAGGCACACATCAAGTTGTTGTTCCATTTATTTATGTATTCATGGGTGGTTTCTTATATGCGCCATGACTGGGAGTCAAACCCCCAACCTTGGTGTATCATGATGATCCTGTAACCAGCTAAACTACCTGGCCAGGACCCAAATAATTTGATTTTAAAAGTAATTTATTTATTTATTATTGATTTTAGAGAGGCATGGGGGGAGAGAGAAATATCCTTGTCAGAGAAACATTGATCATCTGCCTTCTCCACGCCCCCTACTGGGGATCGAGCCTGCAACCAAGGCATGTGCCCTGGCTGGGAATCAAACCTCAACCTCCCGGTGCTTGGGAGGATGCTCAGCCAACTAAGCCACACTGGGCGGGCTAACCTGATGCTTCACAGAAATCTCGTGGGCTGTATCCCTCCCCATATAGGCTAGCGGCGCAGGTCATTTCTATAGCTGTCCCCACCCCTGACTGTCGGAGGAAATCAGGGTAATAGAATTCAGGTGCAATCTGGGCTGTCGCTGGGAGATCATGTTTACCAAGCACTTGGATAAGCATCTGGACGGGGTAGCGTGCAGGGCAGGTTGAATTCTTCTACGGTGGTGGCAGTTGGCATACTTGCTACCAGTAAAGGGGTGGGGGAAGGAAAAGCAGTCTTAGGAAGGAGGCTTTTCTTTTTTTTCTTTTTTAAAAAAAATATATTTTATTGATTTTGTACAGAGAGGAAGGGAGAGAGATAGAGAGTTAGAAACATCGATGAGAGACAGTCATCGATCAGCTGCCTCTTGCACACCCCCTACTGGGGATATGCCCGCAACCAAGGTACATGCCCTTGACCGGAATCGAACCCGGGATCCCCAAGTCTCCAAGCCGACGCTCTATCCATTGAGCCAAACCGGTTTCGGCGGAAGGAGGCTTTTCTACCAGTAAAATTCATTCATATGCAGCTGCCTCTTCCTTGTTTCTCATTCCATTACCGAGGAAGAGGCCTGGGATGTCTTGGACTCTAGCCTGTGCTTGATTACGGGGCAGAGGTTAGGGAGAGGGCTTTCCTAAGCTGTACTGGAAGGGTGAGGCCATGGGGCTAAGGGGAACAGACGGGAGTCACAATTCAGAAATCTGGAGGAGTGGTGCTGGGCAGAGAGGACACATTCTCTTCTGCCCCCAGTTCTTTTTATAATGTCACCAGAGCAGGTAATTTTAACCAGAAGCTCCTTGTCAACTTTAAAAAGGTGGAAAGTAGGTATCCCAGCGGACCATTCTTTCACTTTCTGATTTGGAAGGTTATTCTCTTAAGATAGTCGTCCTTCTGCTGTGTCAAGCAGGGTAATCAGAGGATTAACAACCTGAGTTAAGTAGCAAATTAACTGGTAATCTACCCTGGCCAGGTAGCTCCATTGATTAGAGTGTCATCCTGTACATGAAAGGATTGAGGGTTTCAATCCCTCAGTCAGGGCCTGTGTAGGACGCAACTGATCAATGTTTATCTCACATCAATGTTTCTCAAAAAAAAAAAAAAAAAAAAAGAATCAATAAAAACATCTTCCAATGAGGATTTTTTAAAAAATTAATAAATAATTCAAGATTTCCTGTTTGAGACACTCATAAGAATAAGAATACCTCTAAGCCAGAGCTCAGACAGAAGGAACCTTTTACTGGCTATGTTTGCTGGCTCCAGGCATTTGAACTGAGTCCAGAAAGGGGGTGGTGCTAACACTGGGCTGCAAAGAACTGAGTTTTAAAACACGCTTCCTGTGGAACACGTAGTAGTGTGTTGACAGAAGAAGGCAGGAAATACATAACATGTTTGCTTGGCCTGAGCTAAGGCAGGTCCTACCCTGCTAGATGGCTTAGGTTCTGTCATGGTGGTCAGCCCCAGTCTTGCTGTCATAGTTCTGTTCCTTTTCACCATACCTCTGCTTCCCTTTTCCATATTTTACTGAAACGCAGGCTGAGGCTGAGGTGGCCTCCTTGAACCGTAGGATCCAGCTGGTTGAAGAGGAGCTGGACCGTGCTCAGGAGCGCCTGGCCACTGCTCTGCAAAAGCTGGAGGAAGCTGAGAAAGCTGCTGATGAGAGTGAGAGGTGTGTAGAGGGGCCTCTTGAAGCATGCATTTCCAAAGAAATTCATAATGGCTCTGGTCAAGATTTCCTCATAGACCTGTTCTTCAAAACAGCTAGCTTCTTACAAGAAAGAATCCTCATTCTTTCTTTTCTGCACAGTCTCCCCACTTGAAGACAGTTAAGGTTTACCTGAACCCTGTACCTGTTACCCTTTAGTAATTGGTTTCTTTATAAATTGATCCTTAAATGGGCTCACCAGGATGACTTCCACTTACTGAGTCATAAACGTACTTGATTAGTTCCTCCAAAGTAGTGGTTCTCAAAGAGAGATTCCAGACCACCAGCATCTGGGGAATTGATAGACATTCCAGTTCTCAGCTGGTACCTACCACTGGTCTATGAATCAGGAACTCTGGAAGTAGAGCTCAGCAATCGGTGTCTTAAAAAACTCTTGACCCTGGCTGCACTGTTAGAATCAAGGGAGTGAGGGGTGGGGATCGTCAGGGAGTTTTAAAATATCAGAATGCCTGGGTCCTACCCCAGTTCAATTAGAATCCATTGCGAGAGTGGACTAGGCATTGATGTTTTTACAGTTCCTTTGATAATTCTCATGAGTTGAGAACCATAGTCATTAAACCAAATCACAACTCATTTTTGTTGAAAATGGCCAATTGGCTCCTTGCCATATGTGAACTGTGTGATGACTTGTATGGGATCAAACAGGCTTTCAGAACTGAAAATGCCCTACTGCGAGTCCAGTGACACAGGGCGGCTGTGCAAACGAGCAAGACAGCCAGCTGTGTGTATACTACTACCGTATAGTGTCCAAATTATAGAGAGAGGGGAAGGCAAGTTGCAGAACAGTATAGTATATGATTCCCTTAGGAATGAGACTGTCTGCGTTTTTATCTGTGGGATACATTTCTGGAAGGATTATGAAGTAAGTGACTACCTCTGATGAGCAGGACTAGTAGGAGAGAGACTTTGCTTTATGCTCATACACTTAAATACTTAATTTCTTAAGTGTGTATTATTTTTACAAAGGTTTAAAACAATGAACTAAGGTAGGGTGGGGGGCTATGGGAGTTCTCTTTGAGTGGCAAGCAGAGAGCAATGGTCTTTTATACCTGCACTTCTGGGTCACTTGAGGTGTAGCTGATGACAGATTCCTGAGAGTATCAGTGCCACATTTGTCCTTACTGTTTCTGACAGAGGTATGAAGGTTATTGAAAACCGAGCTTTAAAAGATGAAGAAAAGATGGAACTCCAGGAAATCCAACTCAAAGAAGCTAAGCACATTGCAGAAGAGGCAGATAGAAAGTATGAAGAGGTAAGGCACTGGCAGTTTGTCTCTCTGTTGGTAACATTGGGGTTCTCAGAAGAACCCAGAGAGGGAAATGGCTCCTTCTTTGCTTTGCTGAGCTTCCCTCGGTCTTCTCCTCTAGGTGGCTCGTAAGTTGGTGATCATTGAGGGAGACTTGGAACGCACAGAGGAACGAGCTGAGCTGGCAGAGTCGTGAGTGTCTTCCTCCCCAAATCTTTGCCCTCCCTTCTCTCCCTTCCCCTTTGGCTTGGGCAGTGCGAGTAAGCTAGCATTCCCTAACCTTGTTAAACAGGGCCTATAGGAGGCATTGTCTCTAGTATTTTTTTAGGCCCTATGAATGGCCTTGGGCTTTCTTATTCTTTCTTATTAGTGACAGATGACAGATTGAGGCTTTTTATTTTTATTTTTTAAATATTTTTTATTGATTTTGTACAGAGGGGAAGAGAGAGAGAGATAGTTAGAAACATCAACGAGAGAGAGTCATCGATCAGCTGCCTCTTGCACACCCCCCACTGGAGATATGCCCGCAACCAAGGTACATGCCCTTGACCGGAATCGAACCCGGGACCCTTCAGTCCCCAAGCCGACGCTCTATCCATTGAGCCAAACCGGTTCCGGCAGATTGAGGCTTTTTAAAAATATATATTTTATTAATTTTTTACAGAGAGGAAAGGAGAGGGATAGAAAGTTAGAATCATTGATGAGAGAGGAACATTGATCAGCTGCCTCCTGCACACCCCCCACTGGGGATGTGCCCACAACCAAGGTACATGCCCTGGGCTGGAATCAAACCCTGGACTTTTGAGTCCGCAGGCCAACACTCTATCCATTGAGCCAAACTGGTTTCGGCGAGGCTTTCTTACTGAGGGAAAATAAAGACTAATATATGGGGAACCGTTAACTGGAAGGCCCTACTGGGTTCTTTCACCTGGTCTGCTTCTCCTTGAGGCATTGAAGTGGCTCTACTGCCTTAAGGCTTACCTCTGTTTTAACCACTTTGCCAATTGCCTGGGGAACTTTAGGGCAGGGGCAGGCATGATCAACTCTCCTGTTGGTACCTCTGGGCCTTGCATAACAAAGTTAGAGCTGGTGCATATATATATTTGTGCTTCCCTTGCATTCCCCTCTCCCCATACATGACATATCATGACCATGGTGGTGTTTCTTCCCATTTTTTGAAAAGTTTTTTTTCTCCCCATTTTGCTGCTTGTTTTCTTGCTGTATTCCCTCTTGACTTTTCTCCCTCCCCACAACCTGGCTTGTGCGATCCCCGTGACTATCACTAACAGCCGTTGCCGAGAGATGGATGAGCAGATCAGACTGATGGACCAGAACCTGAAGTGTCTGAGTGCTGCTGAAGAAAAGGTACTAACCATTAAACCTACGGAGAGGTTATGTGTATGGTGTGGTTCTGTTTTTGTTTTGCAGCTGCCTTCCCTCCACTGGTTGATTTGTTGAGTGCCTTCTCATCTCTTCATGGAATGCTCCATTCTTTTCCACTTCTTGGCATATTTCATCTTTTCTTTCCCAGTTGCTTCACTGCCTCCACACGGTCTCTCCTTCCCTTGGGTGATGTGGGTGGGACTATTGGGTTGGACATCTGTTCCCACCTCACCCCAGGTAGCAGTTATGAATTGTTCCCAGTAGCGAATTCTCGCAAGTGTTTCTTTATTGGTATCTAAACATTCTGAGTCCTAGCCCATGGGAGTCTTAACTCCTGACATGGTCTTTGGTAGAGGGAGGAGGGTTGTTGCTTGCTCAGATTACCCGGGACCTTCTCTTTTCCCTGTTATGCCTTCCAAATCTCTACATATAGGATCAATTCATGTCTGTGTGTCTCTCTCCCTTTTTTTCTTCTTTTCTTCTTCCCCTTTCTTCTCCTGCGGTATGTAAAATATTCACAGTAAGTGTTCTGAGCTGGAGGAGGAGCTGAAGAATGTCACCAACAACCTCAAGTCTCTTGAGGCTCAGGCGGAGAAGGTAGGGGCTGGTTTGTGAAAGTGACAGGCTTTGGGGGCCTGGGCCCAGCCCTACCCTTAATTAGAGACTGCAGAAACTCATGCCTTATGTAATCCAGTGAGAAGGATCCTCTTCTTACCTACCCACCCTCTGTCTGGATTCTAGGTTTAATGCTAATTCTTCTGTACTTTGACAGTGTTAGTTAAAATAACGACATGGTCTCAGGTGCCTGGGGTCATGTACTCAGGTTGATACGGATGTGCTGAATGACAATGATCAGGGGTCCTAATAGGTTTTCTAGCAGAAAGATGGGAGCCACAGGTGGTATCAGATTGAGACATACTAAGCAATCAAAACAGAAGACTTGTCTATCATCTGTGGCACTGTTTTAGCCATCTGGTCTTGGGTGTCACTTACTCATTAAGTAGGAGGAAATAAAAGTAATCCCCTGGGTTGATTTGAATAAGATCAAAAGTGAGGTCCCTTTAAAAAATAAGGTTTCAAGACTCTTACTTAGAACATTGATTTGTGGATTTTAAGGACTTACTGTCCAGAAATGGGCCTTGCTCTTTGTTATGGACCAACCATTCAGCACAGTATATCCAAGAAGATATTCAGTGTAAGAGTAAATGTGGAGGTGGGGGGAGGAGGGGTGTATTGTCTGTGTGAATAATTTCTACTCTGAAAATTTTATTTTATTTCTCTTCTAGTACTCTCAAAAAGAAGACAAATATGAGGAAGAGATAAAGATTCTCACTGATAAACTCAAGGAGGTGAGCTGAGGGGAGGGCCCAAACATTTAGAGGCACTTGTATTATATATAAAACACAATGTAGACTGGCTGCTGGCTTTGGTTCTGAAAGGTGTGGAAGTAGAAGGTGAAGATGATAGAGATTCTTCTCTTATTTGTCTTGTTCTTCTCTGATCCCAACGGTTTTGTATTTCTCCTAGGCAGAGACGCGTGCTGAGTTTGCTGAGAGATCGGTAGCCAAGCTGGAAAAGACAATTGATGACTTGGAAGGTATGGAGCCCGGGAGAGGAATTAAAATACTGGACTATACAGGAAGACCTTGCCCATTGCTCATTATCCCCTTTTCCTGGAGGCCAAAGGGAGTTGGTGGTGACTGGGCATGCATCCTGTGCCCTGCCACAACTAGCTGAAGTGGTCAAACCCTAGAATAGAATTGGCTGTCTACATTTAATCTTCCCCTTTAGACTTTACCTAATATTGGGAATTTGAATCCTTCACTTGGAGACTGATAATGGCAGCATTTATCATCAATTTAGTAGTCTTATATCTTTAGTTTTAGTTTCTGGATCAAAACGGTAGCCATACTTTGAGAAGGCATTGAGAACATGTGTCACTCCATGGCTACTTTTGGCAATCTGTTCACCACTCAAGTTGTGGGGGACCTTTGCAAGAGACGCAGCTGTCTCAGAGCTGACAGTACCAAGGGCTTTCTGAATACTTCTGTCCCCACAATTTGGCAACATGTCCACCCTAACAAGGGTAAATGTACTCTGAGAACTCTGAAATATGCTCCTTTGGTATACTCTGGGTAGCAGGGTATTCTTTGGAGAGTTTGAGCAGGCAACCTGTAGAGCAAAGGGGCCAAGAATACTGGTTATCCTTGGCAGCTAGGATAGTATCTGATATTAATGTACTTTCTCTATTTTTTATTTGTGTTAAATTAAGCACTGTCACTGCTAGAAATTGGTTTAACTGGATGGCAGTGGAACCTCTTGTGCCTTCGGTAATAGGAATTTCTAGTCATGTCTGTACCCACCTCTTAACCTGCAGTCAGTACAGGTGTCAAGAAGTCCAGTTTGTCCTGGGGGGACAGTGGATCTGAAAATGGCCAGTCATGGTGCTCTTAACTGTGGTTTAGACCCACAGTGACACTTTCCCTGATTTCTAATGATTCCCTCTCTTCATCTGCTTTTGATACCTTTCACTCTGTCCCCCTGGTTCCTCCCTGTGGTTCCTGTGCCTGTCCAGATGAGCTCTATGCCCAGAAACTGAAGTACAAGGCCATTAGCGAGGAGCTGGACCACGCCCTCAATGACATGACCTCTATGTAACTATCTGACAGCAGATGGGGCTGGGACCTTGGCTTGTGGGTGAGCGGGGGGATAGACTGCATAGTATGCTTTGGTTTTATCCTCTGGACACTAGAATCTCCACCCTTCTCTCTAAAACATTGGTGCTGGTTACTTGTTGGCAAAAGCTGGGCAGGCATTTAATCTTGGATCAGTGGTAGAATCCTGATCTACATGGAATTTTTACTCACAGCCCCTTCATTATAACGTTATGGTTTTTCTATTTGTCCCTCAAATTCACTTTTCTCAGCAGGGATACTGCTGAAGGTAGAATCATGTCCTCATGTGACTAAGGAAATGGGGCTCAGAGAACCAGTGACTGGGGTTCTAATACATAAAATTCAGATCGTCTGGGTGTATTTGGTTTGGGCCCTGATAAAATTCTGGGGATAAAATACTCATAATTGGAAATAATCAAGTTTACCTACCAATTGAATTGGATTCCCAAATTTTAGTCCCAAAGCAAGCCTGCTAGTAAAAAGCACCACAAGAGTTGTTGGGGACTTCACCTGTTTGCTGTGGATCCCTGGTCCTGATGCTAATCTGCCTTTTGGTATCTTTCCCACTAACTTGAAAAGAAGCCAGTGACTCAGGCTATAGTGTCTGGCTCTCTTATCCTTCCTCCTGCCACCTACCTGTTCCTTTTCTCTGCTCCCTTCCTCCCATCTGGTTGTGTAGACTGGCGCTAGTCCTTCTCACCTAGAGTCTCCTTACTTTTTCATGCAGATAAATTGCCACCGTTTCTGCTCTGTTCTGGATCTGCCCCCTTTGCTTGGGGAACCCAACGCCCCACTCTCACTCTGGATTCCATTTGGATCAGCCTGGCTGGTCCCCCAAGGCGTTAGGATGGGCGGGGGCCACAAAGCAACTTATGTATTCTCTCCCACCCCACCCGAAATTAAAATGTTCCGCCGCGGAAGCCTCCCGCCACCCTGCATCTGTATCATTGACAAAGCTGCTGCTGTCCCTGAGAAAGCCTCGGGGTGTGATGGGGGGAACTGCTATCACAGGCCCTCCCTCCTCTGACTTACATAATCAAAGCCACTTTGTGTGTGTCTATTTTTTCTTGGCATTTCAACTGTCCTGAGCTGAGTCTGTCAGAATGGTGGGCTAGTTGTGGAGCTCTCGTCTTGCTGTTTAAGCTGAATGAGACCATCCAAGTTCTTTACTTGCAGTTCTTAAGTCATGCCGCCTGGAATGTTCCATCCTCTCTTCAGGTTCTCCTCCTTTGCTTAAGGTCAGGAGTCCATTGAAGTGCCTCCCAATACACATTGTCTACCCTTTGCCAGTGGTTCAGACGATGCATCCTCAAAACATACGGTGGACCCAACTACATTACCATTAAAACTGGCCATCCCAAGTCACAGAAAAGCACATGGTGGATAGAACTTTCAACAGTTTCATGTTTTCTTCTTGAAATCTTTCTTGCATATTTGAGGTTTATTACCATTTGCTTCCTCCTATGAGACAAATGACAAGTGATAAGTGATTTTCAGAAAAACTAACACAATCAAGCATGTCTATTTCAAATAATGTGCACAGGGTGGTAATGGTTTCTTCATGCATTCATAGGCTAAAGTTCTGTTAGTAAAATTGTTTCTGGTTTACATTACGTGATTAAGTACCAGCATTTTAGAAATTTCAGCTTATACACCAGAGGTGATTCATCTGGGTGGTGTGGTATTCGGTTTTACTTATTTAAGCACCTAAGTGTTACTCAGTGCTTTAGTTTCTCAGCAAATAAATTTAAATTTTTCTTTTTAAAAAATTTTAGAATTTATTTTAGAGAGAGGAGGAAGGGAAAGAAACATCAACGTGAGAGGGAAACCAATTGGTTGCCTCCCCTGCATGTGCCTACTGGGATTGAACCCAAAACCTGGGTATGTGCCCTGACTGAATCAAACCCACCACCTTTTGGTGTTCGGGTGACGCTCCAACCAACTGAGCCATGCCAGCCAGGGGAAAATTTGCCTTTTTTTTTTTTTTTTATTAATCCTCACCCGATGATATTTTTTTTCTATAGCTTTTTTTGAGAGTAGGAAAGAGGAAGAAAGAGAGAGAGAAAGAGAAAAACATCAGTGTGAGAGAGACACATCAATTGGTTGCCTTACACAGGTGCCCCAACTAGGGCTGGGGATTGAACTTGCAACTCAGGCATGTGCCCTTGACTGGGAATCGAACCCAAGACCCTATGGTGCATAGGCCTACGACCTAACCACTGAGCAAAACTGGCCAGGGCAGCTTTTCTTTTCAACATATGCAGGCAGGTAGAGAGGTTTTCTTTGACCTGATACTTGAATTAGGGTTTTTGTTTGTTTTGTCTGTACCATTTCTTCCTGCAACATAGCCCTTGAAATTAAGGTACAGATTCATTTATTCAGCTGACACTGGTATTTTCTATGCACAGGGTATTAAGGTTGGGACAGAAATATTCAAAGATAGAGACGCCATCCTTGTTCCCAGATTGCTCAGAATCTAGTCGGAAATAGTGTGTGTGTATATATATATATATATGTGTGTGTATGTGTGTGTGTGTGTATATGTATGTATAGCCAAAAATGATGTGTAATAAGTGCCACAAATAAAGTGCTGTTGACCTAAACCAGTTTGGCTCAGTGGATAGAGCATCGGCCTGCGGACTAAAAGATCCCAGGTTCGATTCCAGTCAGGGGCCGTGTACCTTGTTGCAGGCACATCCCCAGTGGGGGGTGTACAGGAGGCAGCTGGTCAATGTTTCTCTTTCATTGATGTTTCTAGCTCTCTGTCCCTCTCCCTTGAATAAAATATATTTTAAAAAATAAAGTGCTGTTGGGGAACCAAAGTAATGATTCCTGTAAGGATGTTTAGGATAGAGGAAAGGAGGCATGTAATAGGTATTTAATAAACATGTTGAAACTCAACTCTTCATTTTTATTAGGTTCCAGAGATTGGATTTTTGACAAGCAGTCTTTAGTTGAGGTATAGTGGACATTGAACATTTCAGTCAAAAAGAAGAAAAAGAATAAAGGCATAGATAGAGATGGGAAGAACACAATATCTATAAAGGTAGCTCCTGTCTTTCTCCATGTCTGTGGCTGGTGTGATCAGTGATAGAGACCAGAACCACCCTGTAATACTTAAGTTTGGATCTCCTATTGGAATGAGGTCAGGCATCGTTGGTAATCTCAGAGTAAAGTGCTTGACATCTTAGCTTTTTCCTATAATTTCTCAGAAAGAACCACAGGCTGATAATGTGTATTCTTTATTTCCTCGTTACCACTGTTGGAACGAGGAACAAAACATGGCTAATCCCCAAGTTACCTGACTGGGGATCTAACCTGTTTTAGATAGGCAGCCACATCCCAGTTTCTTTTCCTTTCCTATAGTATTGTTATAATATTCCCCAACCTCAGTGTTGGGGTGGGTAAAAAATATCAAAAGCAAAATCTGTTCTCCCCCATTCCTTGAACTTTGAGGCTTTAAAGCTGATGTGGTTCCCTTCACTAGCCCTTTCCTGATACTGAATGAACTTGACCTAATTCAGACGAGGAAGGCTAAGGATGTCCAGTATTCATGAGATTGTTCACTAATTAATTAGACACGGCTAAAAGGAAATGAGACCAAATGGACTCTCTGGGTTGCCTTTTTGGTTTGTTTTCTTGTGCTGTTATCAGGGAACCAAGAACTTTAATGAGCTGGTATCTGATCCTGAATTTTTAGTCACTAGAGATAGCAGAGTTAGAAACTTATTAAATAAGTTCCTTGTGAGAGAACAACCATGTTTGTCTTTCTGACCTCTTGCAATTCCAAGGGAACTGTGCGTTCTGGGAATTAATCAAGCAATAAAATGCTCCCACTTCTCTCTTTATTTTTCCCATTACATGGAACAAAACCCTCATTGACCAGTCTGTTGTAAGGGATAAGATTCTGCTTACACCTTCGATCCAAGACAGCAATGGGAGCCACACTAATTAACTTGGATATGGATGCTACAGGGGAGTCAGGCTGCACATGGGATCTATATAAGGGCTGTCCCAGTGAACGTGACAGGTCCAGTCCTAGGCCTCATGGAGTTACAGACTAGTATGGTGGGTTTTTAATTTAGTCCAGGACAATCCTGGGGTGTACAGAACAATTCCACTTATTGCTCTCCACTGCCCAGCAAATATCTGTATGGCCTTCTAGTTACTGTGACAATTAAAGCCTGCCTCCACACATTTCCAAATTGTCCTCTGTGGGGAGAGGAAGGGCAATATTACTCATACTGAGAACCACTGGCTTGGAGAACAGTGCAATTTTAAAAATTCATTCTAACTTCTGCCCTTAAAATACAGCTATTGTTGCCCTAACCCATTTGGCTCAGTGGATAGAGCACCGGCCTACGAACTGAAGAGTCAAGGGCACATGCTTAGGCTTCAGGCTCGATCCACAGTGGGTGTGCAGGAAGCAGCTGATCAATGAATTTCTTGCATCATTGATGTTTCTATCTCTCCCTTTCTCTCTCTGAAATCAATAATAATAATAAAAATAATAAAAAATACAGCTATTGTCCTGGATGGTGTGGCTCTGAGAGGTCACAACAGGGGCACATGCTTGGTTTCTGTTCGATTCCCAACAGGGGCACATGCTTGGTTTCTGGCTCAATCCCCAGTGGTTGTACAGTGGGCAGCCAATGGGTGGTTCTCTCTCATCAATGTTTCTCCATCTCCTTTCTCTCTAAAAAAAATAAATAAAATTTTAAAAAGCTGTTATTTTGGGGTATTCCATCTACCAAGATCTTATACATATTTGCTTGTTTTCTTTTTCTTTTTAATCCTCACCTGAGGATATGTTTTTATTGATTTTTAAAAGGAAGGGGGGAAATAATACCAAAGAAAAAGATAATAGTAAAAGGAACGGGGAGAGCCCAGCTGAGTGTTGACCTATGAACCAGGAGATCAGGGTGTGATTCCCGTCAGGGCACATGCCCAGGTTGCAGGCTTGATCCTCCGTGTGGCATGTGCAGGAGGCAGCCAGTCAGTGATTCTCTCCATTTATGTTTCTCTCTCCCTCTCCTTCTCTGACAAAAAAAATAAGTAAAAAAGGAAGGGGGAGAAGGAGAAAGAGAAACATTGATTGGTTGCTCCCCATATGCACCCTGACTGGGAATTAAACGTGAAACCTTTTGGTGTTCGGGACAATGCTCCAGCTAACTGAGCCCCCCAGCCAGGGCTGTGCTTTTTGTTTTGATAGTGTATATAAAGTGGAGAAGTATTATTGGGAGCATAAAAGTATCTTTTTCACATTGACATCTTTTTTGTCTGTTTTTGTTAATCCTTACCTGAGGATTTTTTCGCCATTGCAATCAGAGAGAGTGGAATGGATGGGCAGGGGGTGGGGGTGGAGAAAGAAACAGAAGCATTGATGTGAGAGAGACACATCAACTAGTTGCCTCCTGCACTGTCCTGTCCGAGGCGGGTGGGGAGCGAACTTGAAACCCAGGTACTTGCTCTTGACCAGGAATCAAATCCCAGACAGGCCCTTTGGTGCTCAGGCAGACACTCTAACCACTGAACTACACTGATCAGGGCTCATGATGACATCTTTAGACAATTTTGAAACAGACTGTAAAACAGAAAGAAACTTTACATGAACTCCAGAGGCTGATACAAATTTCCATTACCCCTGTGCGGGATTTGGACTCTCCGTACCCGCTCTTTAAGGTGTGCTCCTAGTAGAAAATCCAGACAAAGTCAAGGAACTTAAGCACTTAACTTAATGTTTGGGTTGTAGGAAACAGCAGCTAAGATAAATATGGGTTTCATTTTTTTTGCATAATAGAAGTTTAGGCTTGAGCAACTGTGGTCTAATATAGCTGGACTTAGTGTGATTCTTTTGGTCTTTTAAGGTTGGAATATGTAGCTTTAGCCATCACAATCATTCAAAGGCAAGAAGAGAAGCTAAAATTTTCCCAGGAACTCCCAGCAGATTAATATCTATATCTCATTGGTCAGAACTGGATCACATGACTATCTCTAGCTGCAAGTGAATCTGAAAAGAAAAAAAAAAAAATTAGAATAGGATAGTCTTGATTGGCTTGTACCAGTAATTCAACTTCCCTGGCCCTAACAGGTTTGGGGGTGGGTTTTTTGTTTGTTTTTAAAAGGGGGGAAGTTGGATTTTGCTTGAATAAACCATTATGATAGTTCTATTGCAGTGCCTACAAGATGCATTAGAAAGTGTAGGATTTAGTGGGTATAGGGATATTTGTCCCAATCTACCATTCATAATGGTGCATTAAATGCTTTCACAGAAAAATGTTCAACTGTTCACTTGTCCTTCCAAACCTCATTATTATAAATGTATTTCTTATACCTGAGCTGTATTCCTTTCTCTGCCGTTTCACTTGTCTCTGTTTCTCAACCCAGGGAATATATATTATGGATGTGTTTTCCCCCCCTCATAATGTTGTCCTTCCAACTTGTTGGTCTGAGTGTTTTGTTTTATTCCTCTGTTGGTCCTTCCATCACCTGACTCTATTGCCCTCTGTCTGAATCATCCTTGCATCCACTCTGCCTTACAGATGCATGTCATGTGTGCCAGCTAGGTGAAAGTCTCAGGTTTACATCTGGTACTCGACTAACCTTCCCTTTTTCTCTTTTCTCCTCTTCCTCCTCTCCTCCTGTTTTCTCTCCTTCCTGTCGCTGCCGCAGAGTGTCTCTACAGCCAACTTGAGCGAAACCGCCTGCTTTCTAATGAGCTGAAGCTAACGCTGCATGATCTGTGTGACTGATGGCAGGGCTCCCCGATGCCCATTAACCGAGCTTAGTGCTCACACCACTGACCCTGGACCCCAGCAAAAAGCTGATTGACTTTTAAACATTTACTATGTTGCCCTAAGCAAATTGCTTTTTAATTGGGGCGGTTAGAATATTATTGACTTCTTGTATAGTAGGAATGTTTAATACTGCATTTCTATCCCTTTTCAAGAGGTTGTGGGTGATGGAGGGAGGGGCCTGAGAGGTTATAGTGAGAAAACTTGGGAGAGTTTTCCGCTTTCCACCCTTACTTGCTGCTCTTTCACTTGTGACTGACTGTAGGATACTTTCCCTTGCATGGATGTTTTCTAACAATAAAAGGAATGACTTGACAAGATGGTGTAACTGCTTTATCTGCAGGCCCAGCGATGGGCCCTTCTGACTGGATGCAAAAAAAAAAAAAAAGTGGGGGTGGGGAGGACAGGGTGTGTGATATTAATAGGTCTGTGCCATCACCTTCCATGCGTTAAAGATTTGAGTATTTTCCCACCTCCTTAGAACAGTCAGAGAGGTTTGCTTCCTGGGCAGATTAGATTCTCTTTGATGTCCAGCAGCTAGTCTTCCTCCTGACATTTTCCATGTTGCTTTTTCCTGATTTTATGTTTAACTTTAACTGTGTCACAAGCTAGTTCTGAATAAACACTGCAAAAATCTTATGGTTTTGCTTACACGTTTATGTTTGATAGTGTTCTTGGCTTTATTTTCTTTACAGAGTATTTTACTTAACTGTGGGGATTCTTTTATTCATCCCACCAATTATTCCTTTCCTCTCTAGCTCATGAGAATCCCCCTGTACTCTTTTCAAATTGAGGTCCTAGGGTTTCTATGGTAGAAATATACCCATCCTTACTCAGTGGTCCAACCTCCGTGAGCCATTGTTCTCCGGGCAGAGCCTAAAGGAGTCAATGGTGATGTTTAAGGCTGCCTCCTTTGGGGGACCGGAAGCTGTAAGGCTTGGTCGGGTGTGGGAAATGGAGGAAATGACTGATAAGGTTCCCAACTCCCCCAGAAGCACAGCAGCGCCTGCAGCTTCTATAGGCAAGCCAGGGGCCCTGCAAAACCAAGTGATGCAGTAGCTCACTCACTTGTGGCTGAGAAGGCAACTGCTTTATTAATCTGCGGCTTCCCTGCGACAGGAGCAATTCTCAGAGTGGGTAGACCCTGAAATGTACTTCTGGCTTTTAATGTCTCTTCCTTTACCCCCATTAGATAAACTGAAATGCACCAAAGAGGAGCACCTCTGTACACAAAGGATGCTGGACCAGACTCTGCTTGACCTGAATGAGATGTAGAGCCACCCAGCCCCGCCCTGCCGCTGCTCCTCCCTCTGACCCTGACTCCGCCTGAGGCCAGCCTGCTTGGAGCTGACCTTTAAACTGAGGGCTGATCTTTAACTGGAAGGCTGCTTTCTCCTTTCACTGCCCCCCCCCCCCCCAAAGCCCCGCGTCTTTTCCGCCAAATTGCCTCTGCCTCCCTCAGAGATTTTGATTGGGCTAGAGGCTGAGCACCTTTGGGAGCAACATTGAAGGGAATGTGAGCACAATGCAAAGTGTCTTTAAAAGCATGTTGTGATGTACACATTTTGTAATTACCTTTTTTGTTGTTGATGTGGCAGCCACTTGTAAAACATTCCAAGTAATTCCACGATTCTCAAGCAACAGTCCAATCCCTTTCTCACGTTTAGGAGGTAATTTTTCAGCTCCATCCATGTTGCCCTCTCCACGGAGGAGGGAAAGAGGATGGGCCTGTCTTACCCAGAGCCACACAGACCCAGAGAAAGGCCCTATGGGGACCGTTCCTTTGTGCGGAGTGCTAGCCGATTGAAAAGGTGATTCCAGGAGGAGTTAACCCCTCCCCACCCCCAAAAAAGTGATGTTTAGTTTCAGCTTTTAAGGCATGTTTGGGCAGTTTATTTTTTTTCCTCAGAAGTGGCCAAATTAAAACGGTGAGACCTCTCTGTCAGAGACCAAATTCTTGTCCCATCTCTACCCTTTCCCCACTGGTTCACAAGATGGATCATGTGCCGCTTACGTTGAAGTGACCAATTATTTGCCCTCCTGCCTCCTTGAAAGAAAGAATTATGTTTTTGCCACTAATTTAGCCAAATGGAACTCATCTCATTACCCGCCTCTGGGTCTGAAGCTGCTGTCTCTAAAAGTGCCATCTCATTTGTGCTTTGTACCAGATAGTGCTGGAGAAATCTTGAATAGTTTATGTACAAGACTTTTTAAATTTTGTATTATTTTGAAACTCTGCTTCTTTGAGGTGGGGCCGCCCTGGCCACACCGGCTGTGAGAGCTCGCTGCAGTCCGGGCTGGCAGTGTGCTGATCTTCAAGTTCCTTTCATACCAGTGCCCCGTTTTTAGAGCGGTTTCCTGAGGTCTGTTAGGTGCGCATCCTGCAGCTTATCGGCTTAAAATGTACTCTCCTTTGGTGTGGTCCCGCTGGGGGCCAATTGGGAGAAGGAGAAACCAATAGTGCAACTGTTTTGATACTGAAAATTGAACAAGTATCTTTTTAAAATAAAGAACCAGTCCCTCCAACCTCCAGACCTACTTGACTTCTTTATTTTATTTATTTTATTTTTTTACTAATCCAAGTGTGCTTTCTCCACAGGAACTGAGGTTTGGGCTAAAAATCAGATCTTTGTAGGTGGTAGCAACAGGACATAGCATACCAAAACGGGGTTCAAAACTCAGCGCTGAGTTCCTAGTTGTTATGTCCTGATATAACAACAGTGAAACAAAGATAACATGTATTATCGGGTAAAGGGAAATTTTGAAAAAAATTATGTGCCAATCCTTTTTTGTTGTTGTTAATCCTCACCTGAAGATATTTTTTCCATTGATTTAAAAAAAAAATTATTTTATTGCCTGTCTCAGCAACAAGCTAACTTACCAGTTGGAGCATCTATCCCCTGGTGGTCAGTGCACATCATAGCAACTGGTTGACCTGTCGACTGCCCCCTGGTGGTTAGTGCACATCATAGCGAGCAGTTGAACGGCCTTAGCGTACTGTGTTATGCTTTGATTGGTTGAACAGTAAACCAGACACTTAGCATATTAGGCTTTTATTATATAGGATAAATGAGAAAAATATGGAACGCTTTACAAATTTGTATGTCATCCTTGCACAGGGGCCATGCTAATCTCTCTCGTTCCAATTTTAGTATATGTACTGCTCAAGCAAGCACTCCATTGATTTTTTTAGAGAGAGTGGGAGGGGTGGAGAGAGAAACATGGATGTGAGAGAGGCATATGGGTTGGTTGCCTCCTGCATGTGCCCTTGACCGGGAATGGAACCTGAAACCCTTAACAAGAAGTGCTCTTAGCCCAAATGGTGTGGCTCAGTGGTTGAGCCTTGACCTATGAACCAGGAGGTCACAGTTCAATTGCCAGTGGCACATGTCCAGGTTGTGGGCTCAATCCCCAGAGTGGGGCGTGTGGAAGGCAGCCAATAAATGATTCTCATCATTGATGTTTCTCTCCCTCTCCCTTTCTGAAATCAATAAAAAAAAAATATATTTTTAAAAGACATGCTCTTAATATTTGCTCAGAGATTGTGTGAGTGGGCAGCTTTCAAAGTTTGACACACCCGTGCCTGGCATTCCCTGCACCCTGGCCTGAGGCGGACATGAAGCTGACATACTAGTGAAATGACACAGCTCCCTTGGCAACGACCAGCTCTCGCTGTTTATACTGAAGACCGGAAGTTTTTCCGTTAATAGACACGGATCCATGCATAGAAATACTGCCCTCCCCCACATACACACAAAAAAAATTGGAGGTGGGGTGGGGTTAGGGTCCCAATGACAAGGTAGGCAATAGAATTAAACTGGGAGAAGGTTTTTTTAGACGTTTTGATTGTTATTTATTAACAAGGTCCGCCCTCCAGTATTTGAGTGGGCAGCTGGGCTGGTGCCTAAGGTTCCCATCCTGCTTCGCCGGAGCGTTGGAGAGAGGAGTTCCCACAATCCCGTGCGAGGCTGCCGGTGCGGCCGGTCGCGGAGGTGAGAACCGAGTCCGCGGGCGCCATGACCGGCTCCGGGGCCCCGGGGCGCCCAGGCCCGGGCCTGGCCTCCTGCTCGGCCAGACACGGCCTCCTCCTCCTGGTCCTGGTGCTGCTGCCCGGGGCCCCGGCCAACAAGCTGAAGGTCCCGCAGGTGCTGCTGCCCTTCAGCCGCGAGGCCGGCCGCGTGCCCTTCCTGCTGGAGGCCCAGCGCGGCTGCTACACGTGGTGAGGCTGGCACTGTGCCCCCCACGCCCCACTCCCCAGGGAGGGCGAGGCCCGGTGCCCACCCGGTGACCTCCGGAGGGAGAGGGGGTGCCGCTGGGAGTGAGTGGCCAGAGTCCCGTGTGGCCTACCCCCGCGGGGGACACCCCAAGGCCCCGTGGGACACGGCTCTTACCTGAGACCTGCCAGGATGTGCCACTGCCGTGTGGTGTGTGTGTGTATGTGTGTTGGGGTGTGTGTGTGTGTGTGTCTCTGTGGGAGTGGCCATTAGAGCCCACGGAAGCCCTGTGTGGGAGGTCTTTGGTATTGGGGGACCCCCCCCCTACTCCCACCCTAGGGCACACAGCTAGCGTGAGAAAGGCCAGAGGGAATTTACTAGGAGCAGAGGATTGGAGTGTAAGCATCCCCCCTAAGGTGGGGTTTTCCCTGTGAAGGCATCTCGAAACATAAACCATTGGGTACTTAACTAAGCACATTGCATGTATTAACTCATTTTTAAAGTCTTGTGAAATAAGCACAATTAGTCCTATTTTACAGAAGAGGGAACTGAGACCCACGAAGTCCAAACTTCCTGCAATATGAAAAGATCCATTGTGGGTGAAGATGAGATCTGCCTGTAATACGTTCCCCCACCCCCCACCCCCCTGGACGGGGAGGACAAGGGTACTCCGCTCTAAGGGGATGACTCTCTGACTGAGGATGGAAAGACAGGTTTTCTTGGGTGGGAGGACCCGGTGGTAGATTGTGAGGTCACCTAAATAAACCTTGACCTTCAGTGAGGGAACCTAACTGAGGTGGGCTTCAGAGTCTCAGGGGTTCACCCTGAAAGGAGTGGGTTTCCACTTACCATCTCAAGACGGGTGGGGAACCTTTTTTCTGCCAAAGGTCATTTGGATATTTATAACATCATTCCTGGGCCATGCTGAGCCTGCCTGGTGTGGCTCAGCAGTTGAGCAGGGACCTATGAACCAGGAAGTGGCGGTTGGATTCCTGGTCAGGGCACATGCCCGGGTTGCTCTCCTTCTCCCTTCCTCTCTGAAATCAATAAAAATATAATTTTAAAAAATTTGCTTACTATTTTTGGTCAAACGTTTAATTAACTCAACCCTAATGCCGTGGCAGGGCCACACCAAAGCATTGCATGGGCCTTACACAGCCCTCGGGCCAGGCGTTCCCCACCCCTGTCCTAAGAGAGCACTAAGGTTTGTTTAGAGTGTGAGAAGTTCGCATCCCATGTCTCGAGGAATTATAAGGGAAGTATAATTGTAAAATAACCCATTGGGATGTATTTCCTGATTGAGACGATGATGCAAGAAATCTTTCTAGCATTGAAAGCCATTCCATCCATCCAGAAATATTAATGACTTTTTTTTTAAGTGAGCTTGGACCTCATCATTTCAGCAGGCTTATTCATCTTAGATATCAGCAACCCAGTTTCTGGAATTGAAGGAAACTCATTCCTGAGAGTATAAGAAAACCACTTCTCTCATTATTGGAAACACATCAATCCTATTTTTACATGCTGAGGGGAAAATGTAGCAATCTAATTTTAAATATTGAGAAAGGAATGTAATTTTGCACATGGGATCATTGGAAAATGGTTCTGATCAGTCTCTCCCACTTAAATCTTTAAAAAAATTAAATTGATTTCAGAGAGGAAGGGAGAGGAAGGGAGAGAGATAGGAACATCAATGATGAGAGAGAATCGTCCATTGGCTGCCTTCTGCCCGTCCCTCACTGGGGATCAAATCCACACCTCCGCATTTACCCTGACTGGGAATCAAACCGTGACCTTCTGGTTCATAGGGCAATGCTCAACTGCTAAGCCACACCGGCTGAGCCAAACTCTCCCACTTAAATCTTGTGTCCTAAGTAATGTTTCTATTTTGAAGAGTGTCATTTAAATACACCTGGTAGTATGTAATAATGGACAAAATAAAAGAATTTGTGTTCCACCAAACGTTAACTCACTTATTCTTATTTCATACTCTTAAGCATTTTATTCTGGCAGGCATTCCACCCATCCTGATGTAGTAACTGTTGAGCCTTTCTATGAAAACGACATCTTATGTTCCCAAAAAGCTGTAATTTTTGCCGAATCTACCCAACCTATACGCCTCAGCAGTATTATTCTTGCTCGAGAGATAGGTATGTTGAGAGAAAATATGTAACAGTAAAATAATTGTGGCATCCTATTCTGTGACTTTTTAATTTTTTAATTTTATTTTATTATTATTATTACTCTTTTTTGTATATTCAGCACCTGGCATGGTACCTGATACAAGAGGGAAAGAATTACTTATCAGAACTAGCTTAAGTGTTAAGGTCTGAGCTTGGACTGAATAAGGCCAAAGGCAGTAATATAAAGACTAATACTTCTCGCTGAAACCGGTTTGGCTCAATGGGTAGAGTGTCAGTCCGCGGACTGAAGGGTCCCAGGTTCGATTCCAGTCAAGGGCATACGCATTGGTTGCGGACACATCCCCAGTAGAGGGTGTGCAATGGGCAGCTGGTTGATGTTTCTCACTCTCTATCCCTCTCCCTTCCCCTCTGTAAAAAATCAATAAAATATATTAAAAAAAAAAAAAAAAGAAAAAGACTAGTACTTCTCACAGTGTGGTCGGTGAACATATACTATCAGCAACACCTGGAGCTTGTTAGAGGCTTTTAGAGAGGGACGGTGGGAGAAAGAAAACACACACACACACACACACACACACACACACACAAAAAAATGGAAGTGATGGTAAGAGAAACATCAGTTGGTTGCCTCATGCACATGCCCCCACTGGGGATAGAACCAGCAACCTAGGTATGTGCCTTGACCAGGAACCGAACAGGTGACCTTCCAGTGCACAGGACAATGCTTCAAGCAACTGAGCCACCCTGGCCAGGGGAGAAATGAAAATTCTTAGGCCCCATCTCTGTTCTACTCTATCAGAATCTCTGGGGTGGTCCCAAAACAAGCTTTTTGGGTGGTTTCTCATCCATATGAAAGTTTGGGTAGTACTGCACCAGTCTGTTTTAAACTAGAACAGCTCAAGAAATGCCTTTAAATAAATATATATTTTTAAAAAATAAATAAAAATGTGTAGTTACAACACCAGAATGGGTTAGCTATTTAGACAGTCCTCTACACATGGTAAATATGACAGGGAAGTACTATTAAAGGATAGTATCAAACAATTTTTATTTCATCTTCATTCTGTACCGTTTCAATTTGTGTTTATGAATTTCATTATGACTATATTGTCTGGAACTCTGATTGTATCTAATATATGATTCCCAGGCCTTTTAATCTCATGGTCCAAAGGGGGGAAAATTAGCCGAAGCTGGTTTGGCTCAGTGGATAGAGCGTCAGCCTGTTTCCTGAAAGGTTCCAGGTTCGATTCTGGTCAAGGGCATGTACCTTGGTTGCAGGTACATCCCCAGTAGGGGGTGGGCAGGAGGCAGCTGACTGATGTTTCTAACTCTTTTCCTTCCTCTCTAAAAATCAATAAAATATATTTTTTTAAAAAGGAGGAAATTGGAAAAATAAAGAGAGAAATTTTTTTGGTAGGACTGACATTGTTGCAACCATTTTATTTTACTAAATACATTTTTAAAAACCTATTACCATAATTTCATAAAGGAAAAACATTTTGACACTTCAAAAGTAAGATAAAATGTAAAAATAAAGTATAGTCCTTTAAAGTGAATACATTCAACTATCAAGTGAATCTAAAAACCAAGGAAATTAAAAAAAAATCTGATGAACATATTAACTGTTGAATATAATAGAATCAGAGGTATGGAAGGGGAGTGAACTGATGATTCTTGGGGGAAAAGGGGAGAGGGGGATGTAGGAAGAGACTGAACATAAACTGTGCACCTATGGATGAGGACAATGGGGAGTGGGGAAAGGGCAGAGGGTGGGATGGGAACCTGGTGGAGGAGAGCAATGGGAGGGAGGGGAGAAAAAGGAACATTTGTAATATGAACAATAAAAATTTATTTTTAAAAAAGTGAATACATTCAATTATGTGCTATTTTACATTATTTTTTCTCATTTTTCAATGGATGAATGAAAACATACATTGTAGATCAGTGTTGGGGAGTCACCGGTCTAGTGTTTTATTACAAACAAAAGTTGTTACATTTTGTCATTGTGTTGTTTTCTTCCATGGGTTGAAAGCAACTGTTACAGCCTTTCTTTTTTTTTTTTTCTATTTTTTAGAATAAGATTGTGAGTGTATATGACATTTAGTAGAGCTATGAGCTGTTGAATTAAGCTCTCAGTGTTTGGATTCATTGCAGTGACTGACCACGAGCTGCGCTGTGATGTGAAGGTTGATGTGATAGACAGCATTGAGATTATATCTCGAACTCGGGAACTTTATGTAGATGATTCACCCCTGGAACTGATGGTGAGGGCCTTGGATGCTGAAGGTACAGAAGTTCAGAAGATTCAGCAAAATTACTTAAAGTAAAACCTCCTCTATGTTTAGTACTTGGAAACAGAAACTTGAAAGATAAAAGCAGAGTGGAAGCAATATTTATTTTCTCATGTGAAGCTCATGTACATGATGAATTAATCATTCTGAGCATGGTTCAGTACACTTTCATAAAATTTTTCTGCTAAATTGGATAGTTAGTTATCTCAGAAGTTTTTTTGAATGTCCAAATTCTGCCACTTAGCTTCTGCTGATGATCCCAAAACCAGCAACTAAGAACCCTTTTTTAGAATTTATTGTTAGCTCTGTTTTGATACATCTTCTTTCTGTAGGCTAGGAAAATTCAATGTAAACCTGTGAAAAAGTTTTATAATTTTAAATTTGTCTTTCTTGAGCCTGGTTTTATATAGCTTAATATACTATGCTGATGTTATAATACATTTAAAACATTTATAGTTATTGCCTCTTTCTAAACTATTCAGTAAAGAGTAGTTTTTTAAGTCTGAAGAGTGAATGTATTATTCTAGAATCTCAATTTTATAAAAATTTTCTTGAAGGGACCAGGATTTAGGGATTCTTATAAACTCTGAGGTAGACTACAAGGTGGCCTTTAGGTAAAGAGAAACAGAAAAAGCGGCGTAATTTTTGTCAACCAGAAGCTAATTATTTTGAGTTCTTTTTACTTTCGGAAAGCTTGTGCAGCAATAGCACTTATATTGTTTAGGTAGGGCTCTTCCTGGTATATGTATTTTAATTAATGAATGACAAGTGTAGCTATTTGTTCATGAAAAAGGCCCAAAAGTAACTTACTAGTTAGGTTTTCCTTTTTAGTTCAAGATACCTGAATGGTTTTGAGTATGTGATTTTTATCTTGTCTGCATTTGACTTGATCTACAGGAAATACTTTTAGTAGTTTGGCAGGGATGATGTTTGAGTGGAGCATTGCCAAGGACAACGAATCATCAAGAGGAGAACTGTCTCACAAAATTAGGTAACTTTGCAACCTCACATATACCATCTGACTCTGAAGGAGACCTCTGCCTTAGTGGTACACTGAACAACCACCATTTGTAAGGGCATTAATCCTGCTGTCTGAGCTCCTTTGGAACAGATAAATTTACCAGGTGGGGGGATGTCTTTGGTACAATAGGAAGCAGGATACAGTATGGTATGGATATAGGGGACCATTAGGATAGTTTAATTTGATGAATTGCAAAGGAGTTCATGCATTCAGGATTACTAGTATGTACATTTAGAGGCCCGGTGCACAAAATTTGTACACTGGTAGGGTCCCTAGGCTTGGCTGGTGATCAGTACTGATTGGAGTCTTCTGGCTACCATCCGGATCCTTCCTTTGTTCCACGCGGCCCCCCTGGTGATCAGCACATGTCATAGCGAGCGATCGAACTCTAGGTCTCCTGGTTGAACTCCTGAGGAGAAATTTTTCATATTAGCCTTTTAAACATATAGATTATTTGAGTCAGGTATATATTCTGGCTGTTTTTTTGTTTAAGCTATTTGCACATGCTGAAATACAGTAAGTGGGAAAAATAGTATGAAATTTTTTTCTTCAGTACCAAGAAATAGCTCTGAGACCATCCAAGTTTTAGTCCAACTACAATTTTAGCTAGAGGCACATTAAATACTTTTCTTCTATATAGTCTTTGTGTGTGTGGGGAAATGTTAAAACTTTTGCCTTGGCCAGTAGTTCAGTGGTTAGAGCGCTGAGCTAGCACTGAAGGGTCTCCTGGTCAAAGGCATGAACCTGGTTGCAGGTTCGATCCCTGACCCTGGTTGGGCGCCTGCGGGAGGCAGCCAATAGATGTCTCTCTTTCTCTCTTTCTTTTCCCCTCCCCTCCCCTTCCTCCCTCCCTTCAACTCTCTCTAAAAAAATCAATGGAGCCAAAACCGGTTTGACTCAGTGGTAGAGCGTCGGTCTGGGGACTGAAAGGTCCCAGGTTCGATTCCGGTCAAGGGCATGTACATTGGTTGTGGGCATTCCCGGTGGGGGATGTGCAGGAGGCAGCTGGTCGATGCTTCTCTCTCATCGATGTTTCTAGCTCTCTATCTCTCTCCCTTCCTCTCTGTAAAAAATCAATAAAATATATATATTTTTTAAAAATCAATGGAACCCTAGCTGGTTTGGTTCAGTGGATACAACGTTGGCCTGTAGTCTGAAGGGTCCCAGGTTCAATTCCAGTTAAGGGCACATGCCCAGGTTGTGGGCTCGATCCCCAGTAGGGGGTTGTACAGGAGGCATCAGCCAATCAATGATTCTCTCTCATCATTGATATTTTTATCTCTCTCTTCCTCTCCCTTCCTCTCTGAAATCAATAAAAATATTTTTTTAAATCAATGGAAAAAAATCCTCAGATGAAGGTTAACAACAAAAAAATATAACACAACTTTGTATATTGTATAGAGATTGAAGAGTCTAGGTTTAAAGTTGCTTAGGGCCTTTTGGAAGAAGACTGATTATTTGATTATATTAGAAACAAACACTATTTTTAATCTCTTTAGGATTCTAAAATATTCTGAAGCAGAATATTCTCCCCCAGCATATATAACTGAGATGGAAAAAGAAGGAAAACAAGGAGATATAATTTTGGTGTCTGGGATTAGAACTGGTGCAGCTATTGTAAAAGTTCAAATTTTGGAACCATTTTATAAGGTAAAAAGTTTGTGCTATAAACTGTAATTTACTAGTCTTGCCTACATAGAATATAGTTTCTTATGTTTATAATAGAAGCTTTCTATCTAACCTGATATAATTTGGGCTAATAGTCATTTAATTGAAAAAATCATTTGAAGTGGGTAAACGTGAAAAACAATACTTGTCTTCCTTAAACATTTTGTTACCTATTACAAATACAACTGCTGTTTTCTATTAAAACATATAAATGCATTAAAATATTTTTATTTATTTCATAGAGGAAGAGAGAGAGAGAAACATCAGTGATGAGAATCATGGATTGGCTGCCTTCTGCACACACTCCACGAGAGATGGAGCCCCAACCCGGACATATGCCCTGACCTGGAATTGAACCCCAACCTTCTGGTTCATAGGTTGACACTCAACCACTGAGCCATGCTGACCGGGCTATTGCTGCATTTTATTCACCAATCCTTTGGTGTAGGTCCAAGACTTTTCTTTGATCATGAGTTCACTGGTTAGAAATATACCTGCTGTTTCTTGTATAAATTGGTTTCTAGTTTCTTCTTTTCATTTTATAGTAAAGTGAAAAATCAGACTTGTGAAGCAATTTGAATTCATAATTCCATATTTTTCGAGAATTTTTACATTTCACATCTAAACCCAATTTAATAGCACATTTTAGCAGTTTGCTTTTACCTTTCCAAAATTTTTTAAAAAATATATTTTATTGATTTTCCACAGAGAGGACGGGAGAGGGATAGATAGCTAGAAACGTCGATGAGAGAGAAACATCGACCAGCTGCCTCTTGCACACCACTTACTGGGGATGTGTCCGCAACCAAGGTACATGCCCATGACCGGAATCGAACCCGGGACCTTTCAGTCCGCAGACCAACGCTCTACCACTGAGCCAAACCAGTTTCGGCTAACTTTTCAAAACTTTAAAAAAAATTTTTTTCACTGTCCACATAGTTCAGTTGGCTAGAGCATTGTCTCAATATGCCAAGGATGTGGTTTCAATCCCCGGTCAGCGCACATACAAGAATCAACCAATGAATGCATAAATGAGTAAAACACAAAATCGATGTGTGTGTGTGTTTTTTTTCTCTCTCAAATCAATTTAAAGAAAGGTTTAAATTTTTTGTAGAAACAACTATTTTTTCCATATATTTTATTGATTTTTTACAGATAGGAAGGGAGAGGGATAGAGAGTTAGAAATATCCATCAGCTGCCTCCTGCACACCTCCTACTGGGGATGTGCCCACAACCAAGATACATGCCCTTGACCAGAATTGAACCTGGGACCCTTGAGTTCGCAGGCCAACACTCTATCCACTGAGCCAAACCAGTTAGGGCACAACTGTTTTATTTTTGCATTCATGGTTTATTTTTTAAGTGGTTTATAATGAAACTAGTGGTCCAGTGCACAGATTCATGCACATTCTAAGGAAATTAATAAGAATTCTTGTGGTGGCACTGTGGCTGGAGGGGCATATGTGGAATGAGCAGGGTCCCTCTGGCAGATGGGGTCCCTCGGTCTACCCTGTGGGGATAGGGCCAAAACCCGCTCTCTGACACCCCCCGAGGGGTCCTGGAGTGTGAGAGGGCACTCTGCAAAGTTGCTGCTGTGCAGGGTGGGGAATGCAAATGCCAGTGGGCAGTAAACCAGATTCGGGGCTAACAGTGTCCCAGCAACAACATAACCCCACAGCTGAAGGTGCAATGACACTGCCCTACAAGGAATTGGGCTTCCTACTCTCTGGTTCTGGGATGCATCACCCAAGAACTGCCTCTGCCAAGTCACTGCAGCTCAGTAGCTCCTGCATTAAGCATCTGCCTCCTGGTGGTCAGGGTGCATCATAGATACTGGCCAGTCTTTTATATATATAGAAGTGCTACTGGCATAAATGGGTTTGGGGGAAAATAGTCTTGTGATTAGCATTTACTGCAAGTGGCAGGAACACAAGTATATAGATGTCCCAGAGGGCAGCCTACTAGCCTTGTGTTGGGTAAGCCTTCACAAGAATCAATGTTCAGCCAAAACCGGTTTAGCTCAGTGGATTGAGCGTCAGCCTGCGATTGAAAGGTCCTAGGTTTGATTCCAGTCAAGGGCATGTACCTTGGTTGCAGGCACATCCCCAGTAGGGAGTGTGCAAGAGGCAGCTGATTGATGATTCTCTCTCATCGATGTTTCTAACTCTCTATCCTTTTCTCTTCCTCTCTGTAAAAAATCAATAACATATATTTTAAAAAAAAGAAAAAGAAAGAATCAATGTTCAACTTAATCTGGAAAGACAGTTGGTGGTTGGTTAAAAGGATTTCTGTGGCATAATACTGAAATCTTACCGTTTCTCCTTTCAGCATACTTGTCATTTTATTTACCTACTCTTCTTCTTTAGAAGGCTCGTTGTTTTTCATTCTGTTTGAGTGATTTAGAAAATAAGTGACTTAGAAAGTTAGTAAAATGACTTAGAAAGTTAATATGGTATTAAGATTCATGGTCATTTTTTAAGGCTAACTGAAATTATGATTTGTGATTAGGAAAGCATTTTAAAAATCTTTATAAAGCTTTTAACAAGGAAGATGGCCTTGTTGAATTTTGCCTCAAGTTTGGAAATTTTTATTTTTTCCCTCTTTTAGAAAGTGGCGGCAGCAGTGATACGTCTGCTGGTTTTGGAAAATGTATTTCTTGTGCCATCCCATGATATTTATCTCTTAGTGGGAACAGGTATTAGATACCGAGTTGCAAAAATGGTTCAGGGGAGAGTGACAGGTAAGGGGGTTATCATTTCCTAAGACTGACATTTCCCAAATCCTTTGTGTGAAAAGCAGCTCCACGTTATGTATGCACATGCTTTTAGATTTTGTAATAAAGTTTTCTCTATTTGCTATCCTAGAGCTAATACAGAGATAGTCCCCATATTTTAAGCAGATTAGATGCTATAGTTTGTCTAAGCTTCAGTAACCATAGGCGTACGAATTCTTCATTAAAACAACAACCAAAAACTTACTAGCTTCTGCAGGGCAAGGGAAGAAATTTTACCAGAAAGGACATGAATTATCTTGGCAAAAGTTTCTTGAAAAACTCAGTTTGGTAACTGAAAACTGAATACTCTGTTGACTCCAAAAATCCCATTGAGTTTATAAAGTGTGATTGACTCCATTAATATTAATTCTTTCCTAACTGACCTAATGGGGATTCCTTCTGCTACTCTCAGTTTACAGTATGTAAGAATACAAGTAATGCCTACAATAAACTCATAGTACCCTCCCCAAATGGCCGCATGTAGAAATTCATTGTAGTGGAAAGGAAAGTGGGAACAGATTGTGCATACTCTTATCTAGGCCTGCTTCTTAATTTTCCTTTTATAACCCAACACTGTACTATTGTCTGTTGGGGTGGCTGCTCTCTTTATATTTGTGTGTCTTTCATGTTTTACAGAGATGAGATTTCCCCTGGAACATTATACGCTGGAATTACAAAACCATAAAGTTGCGCATAATGCGTCTTCTGGGAAAGTGGCTGTGCTGGATGAGAAAACAGCTATTGTGACCGCCATCCAGCTGGGCCACGCTAATCTCATTTTTGTACATAAAAGTATCCTTTTCAAGTTTTAGCTGCCAACATATCTTTCCCTGAGCATGCTAGAAATGCTCCTTGGTAAAATAATTTGTTGAGTAATTATACTACTATTACTACACATAATTTTCCATAGGTTTGTTTTTTTTAACAATCACTGTACATTGTTATACTTTCTTTTTTAAAAAAAATATATTTTATTGATTTTTTACAGAGAGGAAGGGAGAGAGATAGAGAGCTAGAAACGTTGATGAGAAAGAAACATGGACCAACTGCCTCCTGCACACCCTCTACCGGGGATGTGCCCGCAACCAGTGTACATGCCCTTGACCGGAATCGAACCCGGGACCTTTCAGTCCGCAGACCAACGCTCTACCACTGAGCCAAACCAGTTTTGGCACATTGTTATACTTTCTAATAACAGGAAGAAAAGTAGTTGGATGGAGCTTAGTATCTGTTGACTTTAGTGCTTATTTGCAACCTCAATCACATTTTAAGACTGAGGAAAACAGTTTGGAGAAACTTGTGTGTGATTTTTTTTTTAAATTTTGTTGTTTTCACATGAACAATTGAGAAAAAGATGATTCATTAATATTTGAGTTGAGAGTAATTTTTAAAATCCTCATCCAAAGATATGTTTTTATTTTTTAAAAATATATTTTATTGATTTTTTACAGAGAGAAAGGGAGAGTGATAGAGAGTTAGAAACATCGATGAGAGAGAAACACAGATCAGCTGCCTCCTGCACGCCCCTCACTGGGGATGTGCCCACAACCAAGGTACATGCCCTTGACCAGAATCGAACCTGGGACCTTTCAGTCCATAGGCCGACGCCCTATCCACTGAGCCAAACTGGTTTCGGCAGAAATTGCAAAGGTTCTGAAACAGGAGCATGTTGCCATGTTTAAAGAACAGCAAGGTTCACCCGGTTGGTGTGGCTTAGTGGTATGAACCGGGAGTTCACAGTTCAGTTCCCAGTCAGGGCACATGCCCAGGTTGCAGGCTCAATCCCCAGTAGGGGGTGTGCAGAAGTCAACTGATTCTTTCTCATCATTGATGTTTCTCTCCCTCTCCCTTCCTATCTCTGAAATCAATTAAAAAAACATTTTAAAATAAAAGTTTGATTCTTCAAATAGAGTAAATATTATTTTATTTTTGTTATCACTATAAATAATGTAGTGAGAAATTGTAGTCCAGTGAATGACTGAATTAATACAATTTCTGAATTAGTGTACTTTGAATTAATGGGTGTTTTCTGTCCTCAGTTATATGTTTCTCAGAGCAGAAATATTTTTTCTTAGCTTATGGATGTAGTATATTTTTGAGAGGGAATTAATGTTCCTAATTAGATCTGTATAGATGGGTAGAATAATAAATTTATATTTCTGCTAGAATTTAACTTCAAATGAAGAGGGTAAATGGGTAGTATGGTGTATAAGTGACCCAGAAGTAACTTCAGTGGGAAGGAGAAAGCATTTTGGTGTTACAGATTTGCTGCAGATATTAGAAAATCAATTCATGATTTTTTTTTTTTTGAGAGAGGACATTTATTAAAGCTGGGGACAGTGAAACAAGGAAGTGCTTAGAGTAGAAGAAACAACAGGAGATCCTAGATGGGGCTGCTTTGCTCTCTAGAAAGTCAGAGAAAAGGGGGCCTTGGAGACAGGGTCAGGGAGTTAGTCCAGGACAAGCTGCCACTGCCCATTGCTCCCCTGGTTGCAAGTCTCATGGGGACCCTTAGAGCTTAGGAGATGCACGCCTGAGAGGGAAGAAAAGCGTGTGTGCTCCCAGAAGGGAGAGCGCCTCACTTAGTGATTTTTAAAAAAGTCTGCAGAGCCGAAACTGGCTTGGCTCAGCGGATAGAGCATCTGTCTGCGGACTGAAATGTCCCAGGTTCAATTCTGGTCAAGGGCATGTACATTGGTTGTGGGCACATCCCCAGCAGGGGGTGTGCAGGAGGCAGCTGGTCAATGTTTCTCTCTCATCGATGTTTTTAACTCTCTATCCCTCTCCCTTCCTCTCTGTAAAAAATCAATAAAATATAAAATAAAATAAAAGTCTACAGAGCTCAAGGCTGAATGCAAGTCACGCCTCTCCCTATTCCTCTGTCACCTTATTCATTTCTTCAACCAGAGCCATCTACTTTGTCCTGCTTTCCATAATGGGTTCGGGGTAAGTTTTTTTGGAAAAAGGGTCCTGCAGCTATTAAAAGTGTGGAGGATGGCCTTTTTTTTTTCTCATTCCATTTTTCTAAATTTGAAATTCAAGAACACCTGATTCATGTGATTATTGAGTCCCTCATATTTTTCTCAGAAGTGTACATATTTAGGTTTTTGCTTTTCAAGGGCTAGTAAAAGATAGAAGTTTTGTTGGTGGGTTCATTTTCCCCCTTTGGTATAGCACACATTTCTCTTTTCACCCAACTTCGGCTTATATGATTTCCTTAAGCACAAATCAAGATGTCCATATGCGCTCTGTGTCTGGACTTCCAAATTCCACCATATATGTTGTGCAACCTGGATTTTTAGGTATTTTTAGATAATGATTTTCTGAAAGCTAAATAGCTAAAATGAACATATTGAAAATGAGCCGGGACTGGTTTGGCTCAATGGATAGAGCGTCGGCTTGGGGACTGAAAGGTCCCGGGTTCGATTCCGGTCAAGGGCATGTACCCTGGTTGCGGGCATATCCCCAGTAGGGGGTGTGCAAGAGGCAGCTGATCGATGATTCTCTCTCATCGATGTTTCTGACTCTCTCTCTCCCTTCCTCTCTGTATAAAATCAATAAAATATATTTAAAAAAAAAAAAAGAAAATGATAGCGCTTCTTTAACCTTCATTTTGAGACTTACTTAACTACAAATTTAACCTTACTTTGACATTTTTTCATACATTGTTCTGGTTATATGCTGTCTGTAAGAGTGAAGCAGATTGGAAAATATAAAGATCCATGTAATACAATATTGGGTTAGGAAAAGAGACTTTATACAAGAGAAAAAGAATCTGAATGTTGCTCTGTCTGGTTTGATTCAGTGGATAGAGTGTTGGCCTATGGACTGAAGGATCCTGGGTTCTATTCCAGTCAGGGGCACGGCTGGGGCCCTGGTTGGGGCTTCTGCAGGAGATAACCAGTTGATGTGTTTCTCTCACATCAATATTTCTCTCGATCTTTCCCTCTCTCTTCCACGCTCTCTAAAAACAATTGGAAAATATACTCAGGTGAGGATGAGAGAGAGAGAGAGAGAGAGAGAGAGAGAGAGAGAGAGAGAGAATCTGAATGTCTTTAGACCATTTGAAACAATGAGTCTGACTGAAAGAACCTACAGTTGTGGTTTGTTTTTATGTGCAGATATAACAGAGTATTTGTACCTGAGCTCAGTTAAGCCAGCATCTTTGGAACCCCAGATTGTTACACAGTTTGATAGAGTGAACCGCAGGATCTACTTTGGAAACTCTCCTCATATTTTTGTTTCTTGATGTGTATGTAGGTTTCACAGTCCAGCCTGGAGGCCGATGGAGTCTAGAGGTGGGACAGGTGTATGTCATCACGGTAGAAGTGTTTGATAAAAGCAGCACAAAGGTCTATATTTCAGATGTGAGTCTCTCTTGTATTACTCTAGCCCCTCGAACCCTTTTATTTGCTTTCGCTTCCAGATTTTACCTTTGGAAATGCAAGTTGCTACTTCATTGTTATTACTGACTAGCTCTGTCCTTGAGGAATGCTAAGCCAGAAGTAAAAGATATAATTTGGTCAGAATTATAGGAAAGAACTGAAGGGATAGTACTTTGGAGGGGATCCTCATTCTCTGACTTCACTTCAGAGATGGTCAGCACAGATTGTAGGGTGAGAGCAGAAGGGTGAACATCAGATGAAGTGTTCCACTCGCTCTCCATTTCCCCTCTCCCTCCCACTCCGCCAAGAACTGTCAACTTATGGAATGGCACATCCCACTAAAATTTACCTAAGCTTGGACTCCTTCTATTTCTGATCACTTGCCATTAGTGGATCTTTCAAAAACTAGCACCACATTAGAATTACATCTTTCCGACTTAGAATTTCCATGATGGAGAGCAAAATGTTTTGTTTTTATTTTTTATTTTTTTAATAGCAAAGGTGAAGATTTTATTGAAGAACAAGTATAGATTCCCACACGGGGAGGGGAAAGAGTCCCCTGTTTTCATTTCTTTATCTCCAGAATGCAGAGCCACACTTTTATTTTCTTCCTTTAATGCTTTGGGATTTAGATGGCTTTTAGGGAAAAGGCATTTCTTCAGGTTTGTGTTGCTGTTGGGCTGGTTTTCAGAATATCAGGATTACATGCCAGTTCCCGAGGGAGTACTTTGAAGAGCAGCTAACGACTGTGAACGGATCTTATCACGTGGTGAAAACTCTGAGAGATGGTGTCGTGGTGATAAATGCATCCCTGACTAACATCATCTCCAAGGTAGGAACTAAAAGGACTTCTCCGAGTTCGGAGGATACCAATGAATCTTGATAACTTCTTGTTTTGCAAGCAGATAGATGGCATATCCCACCTTTGTCTTTCACAAAAAATAAAAAACTGACAAACAGTTCTGGTCGTGTGGTCAAATGGTTGGAGCAAGGTCCCATACACCAAAAGGGTATGGGTTCAATTTTCAGTCAGGGCACACATATCTAGGTTATGGGTTGATCTCGAGTCATGGGGTATACAAGAGACAACTCTTGCCTCCCACATCAACGTTTCTCTCTATCCCTCTCTTCTTTCTCCCTTTTTCTCTCTCTAAAATCCATAAACATATCATTAGGTGAGTATAAAAAAACCCTGATAAACAGTATACTTAGTAGTTTATACTTCTATAAATTTTCTGTTCATATCTGTGTTATTGCATGTATCTACATTTTATGGTTATTGTGTATTTATATAATTTGAAGTTCCTTTATATATTTTTATTGGTTTCAGAGAGGGAGGAAGAAAGAGAAAGAGATAGTAACAGTGATGAGAGAGAATCATTGATTGTCTGCCTCCTGCATGCCCCCTACTGGATATCCAGCCTGCAACCTGGTCATGTGTCCTGACTGGGAATTGAACCATGACCTAGTTCAGAGGTCAGCACTCAACCACTGAGCCACGCCGGCCTGGCTCCCGCCAGCATTTTTAAATGTTCTCTTTCTTTTATTATGAATAGTTTGTAATATTCCTTTGCCTTTAGAGTTCATGTACTTAACTGATGAGTGTTGAAGGGTCTTTCTTTATGAAATTATGATTTCCTTCCCTATGTTGATAAAACTTTTATTTCAGGAAACTTTAGTTTCCCTGATTGTGATACTTATTTTGTGTTTAGCAAAATTCCTTTCATTATTAATGATCCACGGTAGTTGTGCTTCTTTAATGAATAGGGATATTTGTTTCTTTTATATATAGAAACTGGTTGAGTAATTCATTAGCACACCATGTTATAGTGCTTTAAATATGAATATGTATTATATGAAGAATCCTCATAAAAGCTCTTTTGCTCCATTTTTTCTAGAATAAAAATATTCAGCCTATAAAATTTCCAGTTGTACATCAGCAAGAAGTGAAGATTTATTTACCCATCAAGCTTACCCCCAACTACTTGGCATTTCCTCATCATCCTATGGGAATGCTTTATTATTATAAAGTACAGGTATGTTGTCTTATAAAATGAGGTTTCACAAAGAGATAATTCAGTTTTTTTAATAGCTTAATTTATTGAAATTTGGCTAATGTTAAATTCATTTCCCCCTAGACCTAATAGTATAACTCAGACTTTTTGGTGACAACCAAATTATGCTCTTGAATACTGTCATCCTTACAAAACTCGGTATACTTTCTGTCTCTCCTCCATTTATTCTTTCCTTGTGAGTTTTATTTTCTTCCTAAATATGGTTTTAGTTATTTTAGACAGAGATGAAGAAAGAGGGGGAGAGAAAGAAATATCAAAGATGAAAGAGAAGCATCAATTGGCTGCCTCCTGCATGCCCCCTAGTGGGGATTGAGCTGGCAAACCGGGCATGTGCTCTCACCTGGAACCCAACCCGTGACCTCCTGGTTCATGGATTAACATTTAACCACTGAACCACACCACCCAGGCTCCTTGTGACTTTGACCAGTTTGATTAAGCTTCTTTGTGCCCTTTTTGACATTTTGTGACACTGCCATCAATAATCTCTTTATAACATTTATCTTCCCCTTTTAGAACATCAGTTTCCTCATGTGTCCAGAAATAATTCATTATATATTTTTAGTATTTCTCAAACTTTACCAGATTTTACGTCTTCATGTAAATTACATTTTTCTTCTATAGTAATTAAATATAAGGTGGTATTTTTTTCACAGGTAGAGGGTGGCAGTGGCAACTTTACCTGGGCCTCTTCTAACGAAACAGTGGCCATGGTGACCACAAAAGGACTGGTGACTGCTGGTCAGGTCAGAGGCAACAGCACTGTTGTGGCCCGAGATGTACAAAATCCTTTTCGATACGGAGAAATGAAGGTAGGCAATTTTCCAAAGAACCTTCTTATTACTCCTGAGATACTACTGCCTAAATTTACTTCTTTTCTTTTTTTGCTGTCTAAATTTAAGTACAGTAACACATTTAAAATTATTTTCTAGTCCAAATTGGCTATTTAAGAAAATGATGCTCAAAATCACTTTGGAAGTACATAGACCTGGATTGAATCCTGCTTCACTTAATAGCCAGTTACTTAATGTCTAGTTCATAGAAGGCTGTCTTTTTGCTGTAAACTCACATGGTGGAAGGGACTAGGGAGTTCTGCGGGGGTCTCTTAATATAAGGGCGCAAATCCCATTTATAAGGGCTACACCCTTAAGACCTAAGCACCTCTCAAAGGCCCCATCTCCTAATACCATCACTTTTCCGGTTGGTATTTCAACATATATGATTTGGGAGGTGAAGGGTGAGGAGGGGGATGAGTTACAAGCAATCTATAGCAAAGACAAAATAAAAGATATTTTAAAAAAGATACGGCTCTGCCCGGGAGCTCAGTTAGTTAGAACATCATCCCAATATATCAAGGTTGTGGATTCCATCCCCAGTCAGGGCATATAAAAGAATATATAAGAATCAACCAATGAATGCATAAATAAGTGGAACAGCAAATTGATGTTTCCTTCTCTCTTTCTCTCTCCCCCCCTTCCTCTCTCTCTCTCTCTCTCTCTCTCAAACCAATCAATAAATAAAAAAAATGTAAAGATATCAAGAAAGAGGAATTGCTCTATATCAGAGGTGAGCAAACTTTTTCTATAAAGTGCCAAATAGTAAAATAGTAAACCAATAAAAAATATATTATTTTTGTTGTTTTAAATATATATTATTGATTTCAGAGAGAGGGAGGGAGAGGGAGAGAGAGAGAGAGAGAGAGAGAGAGAGATCAGTGATGAAAGAGAATCATCTATTGGCTGCCTCCTGCCTGCCCCCCACTGGGGACCGAGCCCACAACCTGGGCATGTATGCTGACTGGAAATCAAACCATGACCTTTTGGTTCATAACTCGATGCTCAACCACTGAGCCACACTGGCTGGGCTGACATAATTTTCTTGAAGGATTAATTTTTTCCCTCTAGATATATGTCCTGAAACTGAACAAAATTGAACTGTTACCATATCATGCTGATGTGGAGATTGGCCAGCTTATAGAAATCCCCATTGCTATGTATCACATAAATAAGGAGACCAGTGAGGCCATCCCATTCTCAGACTGCTCTCTTTTATCCTTGGATCTACACATGGATAAGCAAGGAGTCTTTACTCTTTTCAAAGAAGGTGAGAGTAAGCTTTTTATTTTCTTCTTTCTTTGTCTTAGAATTAAAGGACAAATCAATTCAGAAACTACAAATTATATTATAAATTCACATATTACCTTTCTTTACAATACTTTGGTTTATTCTGTCAACTGCCTCCTGAATGCCCCCTACTGGGGATGAAGCCTGCAAACCGGTATGTGCCCAGGTGGAAATTGAACCTGAGTCTCTTTGGTGCATGGAATGACGCCCAAACAACTGAGCCACACCAGCCAGGGCGATTCTTTTATTTCTATAGATGATTTCCTTGAGAACTGAATGCTTGTTACCCTACTGAAGTCATACTATTTGATTTGCAGGTATTCAAAGACCTGGACCTAAGCACTGTTCCAGTACATACATAACAGCCAAAGCTCCGGGTCATACTCTGCTAACAGTGAGTGTCACTGAGTACGGAGAGTACATGGAAAGCAGTGCCACATTTGCTGCTTATGAGCCTCTAAGGGTGAGATATTTTTTAAAAATATATTTTTATTGATTTCAGAGAGGAGGGGAGAAGGTGAAAGAGATAGAAACATCAATGATGAGAGAGAATCATTGATTGACTGCCTCCTGCATGCCCCCTATTGGGGATCTAGCCTGCAACTGGGCATGTGCCCTTGACCAGAATCAAACCTGGGACCCTTTAGTCCGCAGGCCATTGCTCCATCCACTGAGCCAAACCAGCCAGGGCATTCTTATCGATTTTAATACAACAGATTTTATTTTGGGCTCTAATTATTTTGGGTCCATTATAATTGGTACATTATGACGAGGTAGTTTAGAATAAAAGTAGATAGAGAAACCAATTAATGTGTCTCTCTCACATGGATGGTTCCCTACCCCTCCCCCTAAAAAAAATCAATGGAAAAAGTCCTTCGGTAAGGATTTAAATTTTTTTTTAAAGAAAGGTGGCACCCATAGGGAAAAAGTCAACACTAATGAAAGAAACAAGTTATTAATTCTTTTTTTATTTTTCAGAGTATATTTACTTTAAAGCTGGGGACAGTGAAAAAAGGACAGGCCTGGGATAGAGCAAGCAACAGAAGCTCACTGGGAAGTCAGAGAAAAGGGGACCTCAGAGTGAGGTTCAGGGGTTAGTCCAGGATGAGCTGTGCTGCCCAGTGCTTCCCTGCTTGCAAGTCTCGTGAGGACCCTAGAGTTCAGGAGACGCTCGCCTGAGGGGGAAGAAAGGCGTGGCCGTGTTCCCAGGAGGGAGAACACCTAAGTTACTAATTTTAAAAAGATAACTTACTCATTAAAATTTGCATTTTAAGTTGGCCTCATTGCACATTCTGCATAAGTATTAAACATATGAGCATATATCATTTGTTCTCTTAGTTAATGGCCTAATTAAGTGAAAGTGCTTAGCTGTGGCTCACTATCACTTGTGGGGGTTTTTTCTTGCTTTTATCATTACCTATGGCCTTATTTCATATTTATCGAGTGTCCACAAATCAGATTTCCCCTGAATAAAAATTAACCTTACGGGTCGGGTGCTGCCAGGCCCGGAGCAGCGGCTGCCAGGCTGGGAGCGGCCAGGCCCGGGCGAGCAGGCGGGGCTGGTGCGGCCAGGCCCGGAGCAGCGGCTGCCAGGCTGGGAGCGGCCAGGCCCGGGGGAGCAGGCGGGTCGGGTGCGGCCAGGCCCGGAGCAGCGGCTGCCAGGCTGGGAGCGGCCAGGCCCGGGGGAGCAGTCGGGTCGGGTGCGGCCAGGCCCGGAGCAGCGGCTGCCAGGCTGGGAGCGGCCAGGCCCGGGGGAGCAGGCGGGGCTGGTGCGGCCAGGCCCGGAGCAGCGGCTGCCAGGCTGGGAGCGGCCAGGCCCGGGGGAGCAGGCGGGTCGGGTGCGGCCAGGCCTGGAGCAGTGGCTGCCAGGCTGGGAGCGGCCAGGCCCGGGGGAGCAGGCGGGTCGGGTGCGGCCAGGCCCGGAGCAGCAGCTGCCAGGCTGGGAGCGGCCAGGCCCGGGGGAGCAGGCGGGTCGGGTGCGGCCAGGCCCGGAGCAGCGGCGGCCAGGCTGGGAGCGGCCAGGCCCGGAGCAGCAGCAGCCAAGTCCAGAGCAACTAGGTCGGGAGCGGCAGTGACCAGACCCGGAGCAGCTGGTTGTGGAACGAACCAGAGCAACAGAGGCCAGGCCCTGAGCAGCCAGGCCCAGAACAGCTCGCTCCTTGCCTGCCCCTGCCCCACGGCTGCTTCTCAGACATGGCTGGAAACTTTCGTGGGAACTTGAGGGTCTGCTGAATCAAGTGATGAAGGCTTAGATCTGGATGTGTTGAGTTAGTTTAGGACTGGGGTGTTGATCTGTGAGTGCCTTGGGTGGGGCCTGGATGAGGCTGGTTGACCTAGTGGGAAATGTCTTTTGTGTGAAGTGTATCATTGGGCATGTGGAGGTATTATTGATATGAGAAAATGCTAAGTAACTGATTTACTATCTGAAAAGGGATTTACTATCGGGGAAATTGAGGGAAGAAGAGACTGAACATAAACTGCACCTATGGATGAGGACAATGGGGGATGGGGGGGGACGGAGGGTGGGGTGGGAACCTGGTGGAGGGGGGAAGAAATGAGGAACCTTTGTAATAATATGAACAATAAAGATTGATTTAAAAAAAAAAAAATTAACCTTAAAGGAAAGGAAGTAACATGATGATTTTCTTTTTTTACCGAGTGCTTTCGTTATACATAGTTGTTATCACTGTTATGTTTTGGTACTTGATTAGTCCTAATTTGTCCAATTGGGTATATTTACTTTTACAGTTGATCTGGTTAGTTTGGGACTATATAGTAGGAAAAGAAATAATTTTAGTTTTGCTTTCTCTGGGAGGTCTTCAGTGAATCCTCTCCTACTAGAGGCTTGTATGGCACTCTGTACTTGGCTTTGGTGGCACTCATTATACACTTCACCTACTTCAAATCTGTCTTTACCAGACTGTGGGCTCCACTGTAGACAGGACGTTATTTTTAAAATTTTAAATTATAAAAAAAATTTTCAATTATAATTAACATACAATATTGTATTGTATAGTAGGTATGAACAGTGATTAGACACTTATATGCAAAACCTTATATCTACTACTACCGCCCAGTGTGCCAGCAATGAATACATGTTGAATTGCATTATATGCACATTATTTAAGACAACACTACCATCAGACATGGGAATATTTCATTTTAATAGTAAGCAACCAATAGGAGGCAATCAATCGATGTGTCTCTCTCATATCGATATTTCTGTCTTTCCCTTTTTCTTCCACTCTGTAAAAATCAATAGGAAAATATTCTTAGGTTAGGAGATAGATAGATAGATAGATAGATAGATAGATAGATGGAATCCAATGCTAAAAAAAATTAGTACAGGGGAAAATGAAAGAAAAATTTTTAAATAAAAAAATTAGTACAGAGGATGAGAAGCATTCAAAGTGAAGAGGCATTGTGTATTATTTCTTAGTTTGGAAATTAAATCTGATGTCATTTCAGCATAGTAAAATAACCAGTTTTTCACTAGAAAATGCTGAATTCTCTAACCAATCAAGGATTGATTTCTTTAAATGTCATCAGGCTGTAAACCCTGTGGAAGTGGCACTGGTGACGTGGAATTCTGTGAAAGAAATGGTATTTGAAGACGGCCCTCGTCCATGGATCTTGGAACCCTCCCAGTTCTTTTTGGAGCTGACCACGGAGAAGATAGAGAAAATTAAAATAACGCAAGTCCGGCTGCCAGCTAAGAGAAAACAGAACCAGTATATCTACCGGGTCCTGTGCCTGGACTTGGGAGAACAAGTAGGAAAACAACCTTTTTCTAACATTTCTTTTAGCAATACTGCTGCAAATCTTTTGTGCATCTAGCCACTCCTTTTCAGATTCTAATGGATTTAGTTATGGACTAGATAGGAAAATTCTAATTATTGATTAAATGATCTTTTTCTTAAACTTTACTAAACTTTAAATATACCCAAAGATTTTAATTTGCTCATCTGAGAATTCTAACAGTTCACTAAGAGGTTCAAGCTCTTTTTAACCAGTAGCAGTCGAGACTGGTTTGGCTCAGTGGATAGAGCATCGGTCTGCAGACTGAAAGGTCCCAGGTTCGATTCCGGTCAAGGGCATGTACCTTGGTTGCTGGCACATACCCGGTGGAGGGAGTGCAGGAGGCAGCTGATTGATGTTTCTCTTTCATCGATATTTCTAGCTCTCTATCCCTCTCCCTTCCTCTCTGTAAAAAAATCAATAAAACATATTTTTAAAAAGCAGTAGCAAAGGTTTACAGTTTGACTAGTGTGGAGAATGCAGTGTACGGCTGTGAAATACAGCCAGGCTAGCCAGCCTAACAGGGCTATTCGTCTAGGGTTTTAACATAAGAACTGTGCTGTAATCAACGAGCTTTTTAATATCTCTAGTGAGCTCCGTTGTGTATATGGCTAGCTGTTAGTAATTTCAGGTCTAATTACTCCCTTTTGAAGCTCTCTGGCTTCTTTTTGTTTCCACATTCTATTATTCATACTGCTACCAGACACGAGTTAAAACAGAAATCAGTATTTCTTTTTATTTATTTTTTAAAATATATTTTATTGATTTTTTTTACAGAGAGGAAGGGAGAGGAATAGAGAGTTAGAAACATCGATGAGAGAACATCAATCAGCTGCCTCCTGCACACCCCCCACTGGGGATGTGCCCACAACCCAGATACATGTCCTTGACCGGAAGCAAACCTGGGACCCTTGAGTCTGCAGGCCGACACTCTATCCACTGAGCCAAACTGGTTTCAGCCAGTATTTCTTTAAAAAATAATATATATATATATATATATATATATATATATATATATATATATATATATTTGATTTTTTACAGAGAGGAAGAGAGGATAGAGAGCTAGAAACATCAATCAGCTGCCTCCTGCACACCCCCTACTGGGTATGTGCCCACAACCAAGATACATGCCCTTGACCAGAATCGAACCTGGGACCCCTCAGTCCACAGGCTCTATCCACAAAGCCAAACCGGTCAGGGCGAAATCAGTTTTTCTACTCTCTACCAACTAATAACAAAAGATTTGGTAGAGGAAAACACTGAAGTAATTGGTCAGTTATATTTTTAATGTGCCTTTTATTTTTAAATTTCCATAATACCCTTGTTTCTCTTAGCACTAACACAGACAATTAAGAATTATAATGTCGCCAAAACCGGTTTGGCTCAGTGGATAGAGCGTCAGCCTGCGGACTGAAGGGTCCCAGGTTCCATTCCAATCAAGGGCATGTACCTTGGTTGCAGGCACATCCCCAGTAGGGGGTGTGCAAGAGGCAGCTGATCAATGTTTCTGACTCTCTATTCCTCTCTCTTCCTCTCTGTAAAAAAATCAATAAAATATATATTTTTAAAAAGAATTATAATGTCTTTTAAGGAATTTGCCTGATTATAATGTCCAAAGAAACTCTATACCAGAATTTGAATAATTCTAACACCTGTAGATGGACATAGCTGACATCAAGTGTCTACATACAATTACCCCTGCTCTGGTGTTTCCTTAAAGGTTCTAACATTTCGAATTGGAAATCACCCCGCTACCCAGAACCCCAGTCCAGCTGTAGAGGCTGTGCAGGTACACTTCCTATGTGCCCACCCTGCCAGCATGTCAGTAACCCCAGTGTACACGGTGCCACCCGGTGCCCAGCCATGTCCTCTGCCGCAGCACAACAAACAACTGGTGAGTAGAGTATTTCCAACTAGCATGGCACTTTGTCTTCCATGCTAGAGATAAATGGTCTGAAATAATCTTTTGAAGTATGAAAGTTAAGGCAATTGTTTTATTTGTTATGAATTCTCTGATAGTGTCTGAGAAGTTGTTGGACTAGGTTAGAATTGGCTACACTGAATGACACTTAGTACCTAGTGCTTATAGTACGGAGCCAGCTTGTAATTATTGGCAATAGATAATAACTTCCATATAGTTTTGCTCATTTCCTTCCCTACTGAATCTTTTATTAGCATTATCAATAAGTAACACAATTTACCTCCACTCCAAACCCATCATGAAGAATAATGATATGTAATAACATAGTTGGTAGGCAGGCAAGTTAGGAGAATGTTCTTATTCTTAGGAAATGCATGTGGAAATAGTTAGGGGTAAAGTGCCATGATGCCTATGTAATTTTGCAAAAAAGAAGGATAAAAAAGGAGGAGGAGGGTATGGAGGGATAAATAGTGGTGGGAAAAAATAAATAGCTTTTTTTTTTTTTAAAAGATATACATGGAGGGTGAGAAAGTAGAGGGAGAGGGAAAAAAAGCAAATGGTGCCAAAACCTGTTTGGCTCAGTGGTAGAGCGTTGGTCTGCAGACTGATTCAGGTCCCAGGTTTGATTCCGATCAGGGGCATGTACGTTGGTTGCGGGCACATCCCAGGTAGGGGGTTTGCAAGAGGCAGCTGGTCAATGTTTCTCTCTCATTGACATTTCTAGCTTTCTATCTCTCTCCCTTCCACTCTGTAAAATATCAATAAAATATATTTTAAAAAAAGAAGTAAAGAAAAAAGAAAGCAAATGGTTACTCCACATGAAGTTTGTGTAAGTATTCATTCTTTCAACAAACCTGCAGGTTTGAAAATTGTCAAAGAATAAAATTGGGAGAAAACATGATCTCTAGCTTCAGAGTTATCTGACCAAGCCTCTTAAGAAGTTGTTGTTTTCTTTTCTTTTTATGTTAATGCAGATTCCTGTATCAAGCCTAAGGGACACAGTTCTGGAACTGTCAGTATTTGATCAGCACAAAAGAAAGTTTGATAATTTCAGTTCACTAATGCTAGAATGGAAATCCTCAAATGAAACACTAGCTCATTTCGAAAATTATAATTCAGTAGAGATGGTAGAAAAGGACGATGGCAGTGGGCAGACCCGATTACATGGTATTGTGAAAATTTATGAACTTTTTTTATGGCCTGCAGACTGAAGGGTCCCAGGTTCAATCCAGCCAAGGGCACATGCCCGAGTTGCGGGCTCAATCCCCAGTTAGGGGCGAGCAGGAGGAGGCCAATCAATGATTCTCTTTCATCATTGATGTTTCTATCTCTCTCTCCCTCTCCCTTTCTCTCTGAAATCAATAAAGAAACTTTTTAAAAAATACATAGATAATATTATAACACTAATAGTATGATATAATTAGTGTAAAACGTGGTAGAGAAGAAAGAGATGTTGCTTATACCCTATAACAATCAATTACCAAATACCACCATGTTTCCCCGAAAATAAGACATCCTCCGAAAATAAGACCTAGCGCATGGAAAGATAAGACATCCCCTGAAAATAAGACCTAGCGCAACTTTGGGAGAAAAAATTAATATAAGACACTGTCTTATTTTCGGGAAACAGGGCATCAATGTTACCTTCTAAATATTTATTTGTCTCATCCCTTCCTCTCTTACTTCATCATCGGTGTCCTTATCACCTCTATCCCACATCACCACGGTGGCCTCCCAAGTGATCTCATTTGGTACTGCTACTCTCAGACCTATCCTCCACATTACTGTCCAGATGATCTTTCTAAAATGCAAATCTAGTCAAAACTGGTTTGGTTCAGTGGTAGAGCGTCAGTCTGCGAACTGAAAGGTCCCAGGTTCGATTCTGGTCAAGGGCATGTACATTGGTTGCGGGCACATCCCCTGTAGGGGGTGTGCAAGAGGCATCTGGTTGATGTTTCTCTGTCATTGACGTTTCTAGCTCTCTATCTCCCTCCCTTCCTCTCTGTAAAAAAAAAAAAAAAAAAAAAAATCAATAAAATATATTTTAAAATGCAAATCTAGTCCTCGTCGGTGTGGCTCTGATGGTTGAGTGTTGTTCCATGCACCAAAAAGGTCACCAGTCTGATCTCTGGTCAGGGCACATGCCCAGGTTGTGGGTTCAACCCCCCCGTAGGGGTACATGCAGGAAGCAGCTGAGAACTGTTTGTCCCTCACATCGATGTGGCTCTCTCTTCCTCCCTTTCCCTTCTGCTTTCTAAAAATAAATAAAAACGTATTTTTTAAATGTGTTTTCTTCATTAAAAAAAAAAAAGAAAAGAAAAGAAAAAACAAATCTGAATCACCCTCTTAAAAAAAATTTTTTTTTTTTGGCTACTGTTTACTGAGTTCTTCTGAAATGCCAGGTATAGCACTAACTGCTTCATATACATTTTCTCATGTAATCCTCATAACAACCATGAGGGACTGGCATTCTAACCCCGATTTTCTAAGTTTATTTGTTCATCAAACATTTATTGCATTCTTCCTCTATTCTAGGCACAGTGTTAGGTCCTGGGATTATAACAGTAAGTAGGTGAAGCAATAAGCTCTCTGACTTCAAAACCTGTACTCTTTTTACTTTTTTAAAAATATATTTTATTGATTTTACACAGAGAGGAATTGAGAGGGACAGAGAGTTAGAAACGTTGATGAGGAGAGAAACACCAACCAGCTGCCTTTTGCACCCCCCCCCCCCAATTGGGAATGTGCCCACAACCAAGGTACATGCCCCTGACCGGAATCGAACCCAGGACCCTTCAGTCCGCAGGCCGACGCTCTATTCACTGAGCCAAACCGGTCCCGGCTCTTTTTACTTTTAATCCTCACCCGAGGATATGCTTATTGATTTTAGAGAGAGGGGAAGGCAAAGAGAGAAAGAGAGAAAAGCATAAATCAGTTGCCTCCTCAGTGTGCCCTGACCCGGTATTAAACCCACAACCTAGGTAGGTGTCCTGACTGGGAATCGGAGAGTAAAAGATGACACTTCAACCTCCTGAGCCATACCGGCCAGGACCAACCTGTGCTTGTGACCACTGATTGTGCTGTCACCACATTGCCTTCAGGGACGCCCTGTGTACTAGTATTTCAGAATAAAATTCATATGTTGCAGCTTAATATATTGACTCCTGCCTACTTCACTTATTACCATCCACATATACCCTTCATTTTTTTCGTATTCAATAACTTTAGATTCTTTACCATGACAAGCCTTGTCATACCTCTTTCCTTTGTATATGTTGTATATTCTCTTTTCCTGGATCTTCACTGGGCTAACATCTTCCTCTCATAACCTAGGAGTTTTCTGTTCCTCTGTATTCCCAATCTAAGGACAATATTTCTTCTTTATGCTGCTCTGTATTCTGTATATGTGTGCTCTGTTCATACTTCTATAATAGCACTTACCACACTGTGCTGCAGTGGTTGGTTTCCCTCTCAGTTGCCCTTCTAAGTTGTAAGTTTCTTGGAAGGCAGATATTGTGTTGGTTTCTTCATCTCTGTATCTTAATTACCTGGCGTTCTATGTAGCACTTAGCAGGCCTTCAGTAAATCTTCGCTGAAAGAATGAATGAATGAATGTAACATCATCAGAAAGTGCTTCACAGATTTAGGAATGATGATCATACATTGAGAATAAAATAATTGTCCTATATAAAGTGGCAGATTCATATTAATTTTTTTTTTAAAAAAAGGAAAACAAAAATAAAGCAGAGTCAGATTATGGAAGGTTTTCAAACTAGTTTAAGGAGTTTGAATTATTCTAATAAGAAATAGCTATGTTAAGTTTTTGAGTAAGGGATTGACATGACATTATATATACACAACAGTTTAAAAGAGTTTTAGGTCCCACTTTATTTCTCATTTCCATTTATAATGTTTTTATTACTGATTTTAGAGAGGGGAAAGGAGAAAGAGATAGAAACATCTATTAGAAACATCAGCATCAATTTGCTGCCTCCGGCATGCCCCCTGCTGAGGATCAAGCCCAGGTATGTGCCCTGATGGGGAATCAAACCTGTGACCTCCTGGTGCACGGGTCAATGCTCAACCACTGAACCATACCAGAGGGGCTCAATTCCATTTTTAAATCAAACAAAATTTTTCTCCTACATTGTTGTCAGCCTGTTTTTGTACTTACAGACCATTAGAGTTGGAAACAATTTTCAATTTGCCTGACCTAATTCCTTTCCTCATTTAATAAAGGAACTGAGAAATTAAGTGGTTGCCCGGGGTCACATAGGAATATAGTGGCAGATTCAACACAAAAACCCAGTTTTCTGATTCTTGTGTGTTTCCTCATTCAGTGTTTTTTTTTTTCCTCCTTGCAATAAAACATTGTTTGAAATAAGTTAGGGAGGAGTTTGGTTTTCTGGAGACACTTTTGCATTCTACATGTTATTGTCTCACGGAATATCTTTCTGCACGTCTCTAGGTCATCAGGTCCTTAAAGTACATCAGATAAAAGGAACTGTACTCATTGGAGTCAAGTTTGTAGGCTATTCAGAGAAAAGTTCAAAGGTAAGTGGAGATTGTTATATAAGATATGTAAATTAAATAACTGAAATTTCAGGTTCTTTAAAAGTTGTTTGTAACTGATATAAATCTGGGAACTGTGTATGCACCTCTATGCTTCTTGGGCACTTGAAAGAGGACTGGGATCTTTTTTTTTCACTGAGTTGAGGAATCAAAAGTTTATATTCAGCCTGACTGGTTTGGCTCAGTGGATGGAGCATCAGCCTGCGGATTGAGGGGTCCTGGGTTTGATTCCGGTCAAGAGCATGTGCCTTGGTTGTGGGCCATCCTCAGCAGGGGATATGCAGAGGCAGCTGATCAATGTTTCTTTCTCATCGATGTTTCTAACTCTCTGTCTTCCTTCTTCTCTGTAAAAAATCAATAAAATATATATTTTTTAAAAAGTTTATATTCGCCGAAACCGGTTTGGCTCAGTGGTAGAGCGTCGGTCTGCGGACTGAAAGGTCCCAGGTTCGATTCCGGTCAGGGGCATGTACATTGGTTGCGGGCACATCCCCAGTAGAGGGTTTGCAAGAGGTAGCTGGTTGATGTTTCTCTCTCATCGACGTTTCTGGCTTTCTATCTCCCTCCCTTCCTCCCTGTAAAAAATCAATAAAATATATATTTTTTAAAAAGTTTATATTCACCTTTGAGGCTCTTATTACCTTTCTAGGTACTTTCCAGCTTGCCCTTATCTGCAGCCGTGGAGCTGCTCCTAGTGAATGATGTAACTGTGCTGCCTGAGAATGCCACCATCTACAACCACCCAGATGTGAAGGTGAATTGGTCTAGTTAAATTGAATCGTATTGGTTGGGAGAGTACTAGGGTATTAAGGTTAACAGTATAGCAATAAGAAAGCTCACTTATGTGCTTAAAATCATGGCTATATGTATACATATATCATAATTAACTACAATATCCTTAGGAGTTCTACTTGTAATATTCCTATTTTGGTTTTGGTCCATTAATCACAAATTCTCTCTTAGGTAGACAGAAGCTATTTTCTTTGAATTATTTATAAACCAAAGGGAATGGAACATTGTTTGCCTGGTTTTTCCATAGGAAATATTTAGCCTTGTGGAAGGGTCTGGTTATTTTTCGGTCAACAGCAGTGAGCAGAACATTGTCACCATCTCTTACATGGAAGCAGAAAGCTCTGTGCAGGTGAGTGCGAGAGACATCCCAGACCGATGGTCTCAGGTCAGAGCCACTCTCAGGAGAATGGTTGGGAAAATTCCATTGTGTGTTTCAAACCAGTTACAAAAATAACATTTGTTTCTTTTTCTTTTTTTTTTTAACCTATATAGACTCTTCAGCCAAAAAATGAGGGTTGTTTTATTTTTTTAACTAGCTGCAATACTGGACAATTGTTGATTCTGGTTGAGCTGAGACATTATAAGATTTCCATTAAAAGAAGGTTGATTTCTCTAAATGGGTAGTTAGATATGCTACTGACCATATAACCTGATTATAGGTGCTTTTAGACAGGATATAACAACTCAAGATTTTAAGCTGACTTCATAGCCAATATGCCAAGGGATTTGCTTTTAGTTGACTTATAAAAAAAAATAATAATACTTTATATTGCCCTAGCTGGTTTGGCTCAGTGGCTAGAGTGTCAACCTGTGGACCAAAGGGTTCCAGATTCACTTCCGGTCAAGGGCACATACCTTGGCTGCAGGCTCCTCACTGGACCAGGCCCTGGTAGGGTCTCGTGCAGGAGGCAACCAATCGATGTATTTCTCTCACATTAATATTTTTCTCTGTCTTTCCCTCTCTCTCCCACTCTAAAAAGCAATAGACAAATATCCTCAGGTGAGGATTTTTTTTAAAAGGTAATACTTTACAGTAACATATGCTTATATTTTCTTTCCTTCTAAGAGCTCAAAAGAATTTAACTTACTTTAGTCATAATGTTTGTCATTAAGAAGGGAGATTGAGGCACCATGTGCAGGCAGAGGATGTGCAAACATGCTATTGTATAGAAGGAAAGACAAAGGATCATCTGCTCAGTGCTTTCTCCCTCACTGACAACTGCAACGTTCATGGACTTGACTTTCTTCATAAAGTCCTTTTTCTGTTCATAATTAAGAGGCTGGACCTGTATGTTGGATTCTGCTTGAATTTAATCAACTTAAATTCTGCTTTTTATCAGTTAATAATTGTTAACTGAAACATCACATTAAGTGTATATATTGTGCTATGTCTGAAATATGTAATGTGACCTCTCAAAGTTCCCATCACAAAGAAAATAAGATATTTTTTCTGCTTTTGATGAAAATATTTTCCATGATGCCATGGTCATTGTGGCTTAGTGGGTTGGGCATTGTCCTATGCACCAAGAGGTTGCCGGTTCAATTTCTGATCAGGGCACATGCTCTATCAGTGTTAGGGGGCATGCAGGGAGCAGCCAATCGATGTTTCACTATCACATCAATGTTTCTGTCTCTCTCTCCCTCTCTCTTTCTCTCTCAAATTCAATTTAAAAATCCTTCAAAAGCCGAAACCGGTTTGGCTCAGTGGATAAAGCGTCTGCCTGTGGACTGAAAGGTCCCAGGTTCGATCCCGGTCAAGGAAGGGCATGTACCTTGGTTGCGGGCACATCCCCAATAGGGGGTGTGCAAGAGGCAGCTGATCGATATTTCTCTCTCATCGATGTTTCTAACTCTCTATCCCTCTCTCTTCCTCACTGTATAAAATCAATAAAATATATATATTTTTAAAAAATAATAAAATAAATAAAAATCCTTCAAAAAAAGAAATAGTTGCCATAATTATGTTTGGACCATGCTTGCTTCTTTACCCACCTACCATCTTCTTCCTTCTAGTTAGTTCCAATACATCCTGGATTTTTCCCCTTGGAGGTCTATGATCTGTGCTTGGCTTTCTTGGGTCCAGCACTGGCCCACGTCAGGGTGTCAGACATACAAGAGCTGGAACTTGATCTGATTGATAAGGTGAGAACTATGTGCTTTATCTCATAAATGACATAGACTTCATTTTCATCCTCAAACATCACTTACTATTGTCTCTGCTCAACTACTGTGTGTGTATATACCAGGATCTTAGGTAATGTTACTGGAAAAGCTGCCCTTAAAGAACAACGTTCTGCCCTGGCCGGTTTAGCTCAGTGGATAGAGCATTGACCTGCAGACTGAAGGGTCCCAGGTTTGATTCTGGTCATGGGAACATACCTTGGTTGCAGGCACATCCCCAGTAAGGGGATGAGCAGAAGGCAGCTGATCGATGTTTCTAACTCTCTATCCCTCTCCCTTCTTCTCTATAAAAAATCAATAATATATTTTTTTTTATTTTTTTTTTAAAGAACAACATTCCAACATTAAACATGGTAAAGATAGGACCTGGTCAGGTGGTTAGTTGGAGTGTTGTTCTATACACCAAAATGTTGCAGGTTTGTTTCCTGGTCAGAGCACATATCCACAGGTTCAATCCTCAGTCAGGGTGTTACAGGAGGTAACTGATCAATCTCTCTCTCTCCCTCTCTCCCCCTTCCTCTTATTCTCCCTCTCCCTCTCTCTTAAAAAATAATAAAAAGACATTTCTGCAGGTGAGGATTTTAAAAAACAAGTAAATAACAATAAACACGGGGAAGTTAAATACAGTATACATAGATTAGTCTTATTTGAACAAAGGCTGACCAGGAACATTTAGCCTGAAAAGTTTGCCCCTCTAAGACTTAGACAGTCCCTGATGAATGTGACATCTCTACTAAAATGAGCTCTTTTTAAAAACTATTAGGTTGAAATAGGTAAAAATGTGTTAGTAACTGTGAGGGTTCTTGGTTCTTCCAAACGCCCATTCCGAAACAAATACTTCCGAAACATGGAGCTCAAACTGCAGTTGGCGTCTGCCATTGTCACCCTGACGTGAGTACCGTTTCAATATTTCTTCCTCCCTGTGCTTCATGTATTGACCCTCTCCTTCCTGGTAACCTGGTGACCCGCGGTTATTTTAGATTTCCCTCTTTCCCTTTTCGTCACAGTACCTTCCGGCCCTTACTCTCTTCCTATATTCAGATGTCTTATTTGAGGGCCAAAACCATGAGTCTTGTTAGTTTTTCCATGTTATGACACTTCTCCCGGGGTGATATCCTTTTGGGGTGCTTCTATGTAGAGGACCTTCAAAAACCTAGAAGCAGAGTCACTAGTACTCCCGCCTGTGGCAGGGGAATTGCAGTTATTCCCGGGCGGTTTAGTGTTGGCAGCTTTGCCAGTCTGTGTTTATTCTGCCCTCTTCCTTTGGTGCCTTAGAACACGTTTTTTGCCTTCAGGAGATTCCTGCCATGGCCACAAACTGGGTCTTGACTTTGGAAATTTATTTTCTGGCAGTTCTCTCTAACCAGAGTTAAAATGAGCAGTAAATGTTAAGCGTCTTTAGAAAGATGCATTAACGGGCCACTCTTAAAACCAAATCTTTCTCATCTGAAATACACGGGCCTTTGCAGGTTAATGGAGGAACAGGACAAATACTCTGAAAATTATATCCTTCGAGCTGTCACTGTTGGGCAAACCACACTGGTGGCGATTGCCAGGGACAAGATGGGGAGAAAATTCACATCCGCTCCTCGGCAAATTGAAGTAAGAAAATTACCTCATTCAAAATGGATACTTCATGTTCTTTAGCATTATTTATCTTTCTGTTTAGTTTGTACGAGTTGAAAATCATTTAACTGAAAAAATGTAGTTGTCTAACTTTTGCAACAATATGTGGTTTGTGTTTTTTTTTAATAAAAATAACACTTCTTGTATAAATTGGAAGCACAAAAAAATATAAAGACCCAGAGTGAAAATCACCTATAATTTCACTAGAGTAAATTATTTTTAAGATTTCAGTGTATTTTCTTCATTTAAAATAATATTTTTTATTGATTTCAGAGCTGCAAAGAGAGATAGAAACATCAATGATGAAAGACAATCATTGATTGTCTGCTTCCTGCATGCTCCCTATTGGGTGTCGTGCCGGCAACCTGGGCATGTGCCCGGACTGGGAATCGAATGGTGAACTCATGACTCATGGGTCAATGTTCAACCATAGAGCCACGCTGGCCAGGCTATTTCCTTCACTTCTTCCCTTACACTTACTTTAACATGGATGAATCATACATTTTTTTCATCTTAATCTTCTATCAAAAGGATTTTTTTAAGTGCTTTAAAGTAATTGTTGGGCCCTGACTGGTTGGATCTGTGGATAGAGCATTGGCCTGAGGACTGAAGGGTCCCAGGTTCGATCCCACTTAAGAGCACATGCCCGGGTCTCGGGCTCGATCTCCAGAAGCGGGGCGAGCAGGAAGCAGCCGATCAATGATTCTCATCATTGATGTTTCTCTCTCTCTCTCCCTCTCCCTTCTTCTCTGAAATCAATAAAAATATATTTTTAAAAAAGTAATTGTTGGCCATTTGTTGATAAGTGTTGAAGCTGGGTAATAGGTACCTGAAAAAAAAATTTTTTTCTGAGAATTCTTTATATGTTTGAAAAAATGTTTAAAAAAAGATAATTGTAAACATAATTTTAATGGCAAGTTTTGTTCCATTGAGTGGATATGTAATAACTTATTTAGCATTCTCATTTAAGTAATTTATAATTTTTGCTATTAGAAATAAAAGTTGAATTTATAAGTAAATACATGTTTTTGTATATGACTTTATTATACATAATTAGGGTGCTCCCCTTAGAATAAGCTGCATGATCATTGGATGTGACATTGACTCTAGTTAATCACTATAATCCTTTTGGCTTTCTCCTTCAAGGTGTTTCCTCCATTCAAACTTGTTCCAGAGAAAATGACACTGATTCCAACCAACATGATGCAGGTGATCTGAAAGACAAAAAAATAAGGTTTACTCTTTCTCCTCATCCCAGCATACACATGCACCTCTTCTTATCGGCCTCCTCTTGTACTCCCAGCCAAGTGCAATAGGCCTGATGAAGAACATTAGTATGTCTCCTGTTCCACAGTGAGCCGCCTCTTAGAATCCCATCGGCCATCTGCAACACTTCCATTGCATCTGCATTTGAGTTGATGTGGAATATAGGGCGGTGGGAGCAGATGAAGAAGTCCAGTTGTTTGGACAAAATGTTGGGAACAAAGGTGTGACTTCTCCCATGCCTCAGGAATTCACTGGTGTGTTTAAATCCCAGGTAATGTCTGAAGGTGGCCCCCAGCCCCAATCCATCATTCACTTCTCCATCAGTAACCAGACTGTGGCTGTTGTTAATAGGAGGGGGCAAGTTACAGGCAAGGTGGTTGGCACAGCTGTGGTCCATGGCACCATCCAGACAGTGAATGAAGATACTGGCAAAGTCATTGTGTTTTCTCAGGTATTGGTTCTTTGTTCTTCTCGGCTTCTTCTCTTCCGTCTGGGAACCATATTGGGAGATGAGGGAGGGAGTAATGATGAGGAGGGTGTTACCAGCCCTGAGAAAAATGCTTTTAGTCCCTTCATCTGGCATGCTTCTAACCTGGCATGGGGAATATGTAATCTTTAGTGAAAAGCACACAGAGTAATTGGCATTGTTATAATATCCATGAGGAATTATTTAAAGAGCAAAACCAGCCCTAACCAGTTTGGCTCAGTGGATGGAGCGTCGGCCTGCGGACTCAAGGGTCCCAGGTTCGATTCCCGTTAGGGGCATGTATCTTGATTGCAGGCACATCCCCAGTGGGGGGTGTGCCGGAGGCAGCTGATTGATGTTTCTCTCTCATCAATGTTTCTAACTCTCTCTCCCTCTCTTTTCTATAAAATATATATATATATTTTTTTTAATAAATTAAAGAGCAAAACCAAACATCGTATGGCATGTTTTTGTTGTTGTTGTTGAATGCCCCAAACAACAACAAACTAGATATCATAAGCATGTCTGTCTACCCCACAGACATTCCCTCTTAGCCTAAACTGGTTCTCCTTCCTGTTGAGCAGGATGAAGTGCAGGTTGAAGTTGTTCAGCTAAGGTCTGTTCGGATCCTTGCAGCTGCAACTCGACTTATCACAGCTACTGAGGTCAGTATGATGACTCTGTTCTGGGCTCATGATTTTGATAATGCCAATTATGACACAAAACAATTTCTTTCTTTCCAGATGCCAGTTTATGTCATGGGAGTGACCAGTACCCAGACCCCTTTCTCCTTTAGCAATGCCAACCCTGGGCTCACATTCCACTGGTCCATGAGCAAAAGGGAGGTATTGGATCTAGTGCCCAGGCATTCAGAGGTATGAGTTTATCTGTTTATTATATTACCTTAGGGATCTTGATATTAAGTTTTTCATCATAAGTTTTAGACTGAGTCACTTTCTTCATTTCCATTCCCCTCCTGTCAATGAATTGACTCCAGATAACTTAAGAATCTCACAGAACTAACTGAGCAGTGCAAGCGGAGGTTTCTCCAGGGTGACTCTGTTGCTAAGAATGTGAAAGGAAGTGACTATGAAAATAAGCCCCGGTACTCTAGTCCTTCTAGATGGCTACTTCCAACCTACGTTTTCCTTATTGTTACAACAGAGAGAAGGGCACAATGTTTATTCATGAATATTTCTTAATCCACCCCTCATTGTGTAGGTTTTTCTACAGCTCCCAGTAGAGAATAACTTTGCCATGGTTGTCCACACAAAAGCAGCTGGTCGGACCAGTATCAAAGTCACTGTCCGCTGTATGAACAGCTCCTCTGGGCAGTTTGAGGGAAATCTGTTGGAACTGTCTGATGAAGTTCAGATCCTGGTAAGGGCCCCAACCTAAATCCTGTTTTTGTATATTAAGGAGAAAAAAGTTATATTTGCTTTATCATCCGTGAAGAGCTTAGCCTGAATAGAGGTAGAGAAGTGCTTAGAGGGATCCCTAGACCAGGTTTATAGTTTCTAGATCTTTTGTCATTTCTGCTACTGTAATTGCCTCTACATAAGTATTGACATTAGAAACTACACACTCCTCTCAACTCCCCATGCAATGGACACAGGATATGAACACCATAATAACTGCAGAGGGACTCATTCTGAGCCATTCTGCCTAACATAGATATTGAGATACAGTCCACTTAGCTATATTCATAGGTAGAACAAAAACTAATCCTAACTTCTGGTAAGGTGTAGAGTATGAATAGTTTCTACAGATGTTCTCAAGCTAAAGCTAAATGGTCCTGTTGCTTTTAAAATTCAAAAAAATTTATCATTTGTATGGAGCAAATAAATTTTTCTCCCTCTAAATATGGGACTGATATTTTCTTTTTTCTCCTTTGTTTTGGCTTTTGTTTTCTGATTCAGTGAGACATAGAGGAAAGAGCACTTTACTAGGTGGAAAGCCTGAATAATGTTCCTTGCTAATTTAATATAGGTTCTTTGTTTCTCAAATATCTTTTCAGTTTATAGGAGCTAAAATTAGAAATTTCAAAATTATTTTATACCTTATATCTAAGTAATACAGAGGAAGCAATAATGTAAATTTGAAGCAAGCCTAATATTAGGTTATATGGTCTAGAATACCTAGATAAATCTTTTTAAAAATATTTTTTATTGAATTCAGAGAGGAAGGGAGATGGAGAGCAAGATAAAACATCAGTGATGAGAGCCGAAACCGGTTTGGCTCAGTGGTAGAGCATAGGTCTGTGGACTGAAAGGTCCCAGGTTTTTTTGTTGTTGTTTTTAAAATATATTTTATTGATTTTTTATAGAGAGGAAGGGAGAGAGATAGAAAGCTAGAAACGTCAGTGAGAGAGTAACATCAACCTGCTGCCTCTTGCACACCCCCTACCAGGGATGTGCCCGTAACCAAGGTACATGCCCTTGACCGGAATCAAACCTGGGACCTGCCGAAACCAGTTTGGCTCAGTGGTAGAGCGTCGGTCTGTGGACTGAAAGGTCCCTGTAGGGGGTGTGCAAGAGGCAGCTCATCGACGTTTCTAGCTCTCTATCTCTCTCCCTTCCTCCTCTCTGTGAAATATCAATAAAATATATATATATTTTTTAAAAACATCAGTGATGAGAATCATTGATCAGCTGCCTCCCACACACCCCACACCAGGGATCAAGCCTGCAACTGGGGCATGTGCTCTGACCAGGAATCGAACCATGATCTCCTGGTTCATAAGTCAACACTCAACCACTGAGCCATGCCAGCTGAGAATAGAATACCTAGATACATTTTAAGAATATTGTGGAACATTAGGCTAAATTGAAGTTAGGCAGACTTATTTGTAGTTATCCATATGTGAGTAAAAGTCATCATTTATCTTTTCCAGATATGATAAAAAAAATAATTTTTTTCTCATTATAGGTATTCGAAAAACTCCAAGTTTTTTATCCAGATTGCCAACCTGAGCAAATTCTAATGCCCATGAATTCTCAACTGAAACTTCATACCAACAGGTAAGGATAATAGAGGCCAGATTCTAACTTCACCTTAAGTAAAACATTGCACATGGAAAAGAACTATATTGCTTTCTAGGTGATTTTCCTAATGCACAAATAATTTTACTTTTGGTTGAGGTAAAGTTCACATAACATACAATTAACCATTTTAAAGTGTACTGTTCAGTGGTATTCAGTACATTCACAAAGTGTGCAGCTGTCACCTCTGTCTAGTTCCAAAATATTTTCATTGTCACAAAAGGACACCATACCCATAATAGTCACTTCCCATCTCCCCTCATCTTAGTCCCTGGCAACCAGCTGTCTCTATGAATTTAACTATTCTGAATACTTCCTACAAATGGACTTACACAATATGTGACCTTTGTGTTGGCTGCTTTCCGTTAACATATTTTCAGGGTTCTTCCATGTTATAGCATATATCAGTACTTCTTCTTTCTATGAGTAAATAATATTCCATTGTACGGATATAACATTTTGTTTGTCCATTCACCCATTGATGGACATTTTGGATGTTTTCATCTTTGGCTGTTGAGAATAGTGCAATGAACATTCATGTACAACTATTTGTTTGAATATCTGTTTCAATCCTTTTGTTTCAGTTATTTTGGCTGAGTAATTTTAAAGATAAACATATAATAGAACTTGATTTTTTTAAAAGATAAGCATAGTCCTGGCTGGTGTAGCTCAGTTGATTGGAGTGTCGTCTCTTGCACTGAAGGGTCATAGGTTCGATTCCCAGTCAGGGCACAAACCAAATTGTGGGTTTAATCCCCAGTCAAATGTGTATGGGAGGCAACCAACCTCCTGACTGATGTTTCTCACATCAATGTTTCTTTTCCTCTCCCCCTTCTTCTCTCTTAAAATAAGTAAGAACATATCCTCAGGTGAGGATTAAAAAAATAATAATAAGCATATCCAAAGCAGACTTTTACCTGAGGAACAAAGAAGCATAAAGAATGGCAAACAAGTTCCTCAGAGTAATCCTGGCAGTCTCTATCCTTTCTGGTCAAACAGAGTCTCCAAGAGATGCCACTCGCTCTGTTTGTTCCCTAGGGAAGGGGCTGCCTTTGTGAGTTCCCGTATTCTCAAGTGTTTCCCTAACTCGTCCGTTATTGAGGAGGACGGCGAAGGGCTCCTGAAAGCCGGTTCCATCGCAGGCACTGCTGTGCTGGAAGTTACTTCTATAGAACCTTTTGGAGTCAACCAGACAACCATCACTGCAGTTCAGGTGAGTTCAGGCACTTACTGTAAACAAACAAACAAATAAATAAGTAAAAGGAATACTATGGCCTTAACAGGCAGATTTCCTTTTTAAGAATTAGACTTCTCAGGAAGTCAGAAATGAGTTGTAAGGTAAGAGATAATCTTGACATGACTCTAAACCATCAAATTAAAGTGAACGTTAGCCCTAGCCGGTTTGGCTCAGTGGATAGAGTGTCATTCTGCAAACCGAGGGGTTCTGGGTTCAATTCCGGTCAAGGGCATGTACCTTGGTTACAGGTTCCTCCCTGCCCTGGCCCAGGCCTTGGCTCTGGTATGTGTAGGAGGCAACCAATTAATGTTTCTCTCATATCGAAATTTCTCTCTGTCTTTCCCTCTCTCTTCCATTCTTTCTGAAATCAATGGGAAAATATCCTGGGTGAGGATTAAAAAAAAAAAAAAAAAAAAAAAAGTTAAAGTGAACTATAGAGTTTTTGTTATCTTGTTACAGCCTCAACTTGGTATGATTGTCTTCTGAACAGCTTGGGCAAAAAGGTTGGTATGGGAGAAGTGTTGACCTATTGCTATCAAAAGTAGGCTTTGTTTTCAGAATAAAAAAAAATAGAATTAGATAATTCCTCAGAGGTAACTTAGTCTCACACACATCAGAACAGAACTGCCACCTTGATTGTGGGCAAGAGCAGCAGGAGGCTGCAGCACCGCGGCTACAGGATGAGCTGCATCCCGCCAGACAGGCATGTCTTCATGGCACCTTCAAGGCTTTCAACAAGCACATGAATTCGATCCTGTGTGGTGGTGATGGATTCAGGAAGATCAAGCCAAAGAACTCAAAACAGCAGAAAGAGGAGAGAAGCAAGTCTTCAGTCTAGTGCTGCTTTGAGAGAAGCTGGTCTTAGGAACAGAAGAGGGACCTCCTCCCAAAGACACTGGCATTGCTGGAGTGCCATTTGCTGGAACTGCTGGGGGCCCGGGTCAGCAGGCTGCTGGCAGAGGAATTGGAGCTGGTGTTTCCATGCTGCAGGACTTGCTGGGCCAGTTCATGGGATTATGGACCATGCCAACTGGGCCCCCTACCCCAGAAATGTGCCCATAAGGCCCTAGAGTCTAGACTCATCTTGGCCCCTCTCATCTCTATGTGTTTCCCCAAAGACTGTACATAGTCCTTTTATTTCCTTGTGGCCTGTGAAACAAATTTATAATATACTTTGTTTTAATCCTCTCTCCAGGATATTTTATTCACTCATTCATTCATACACTCATTCATTCATTCATAGAGAGAGAGTGGGAAGAATGCAGAGAGGAAAAGAGAGACCTGGAATTGAACCTGAGACCCTTTGGTGCCTAGAATGACACTCTAGCCACTTAGCCATACTGGACAGGGCTAAAATCAATTTTTTTTTTGTCCTTGTTAATTCTCACCAAGGATATTTTTCCATTGATTTTTAGAGAGTGGAAAGGAAGGGGAGAGACAGAGAGAGAGAAGCATCAATCAGTGTAAGAGAGACATATCAATTTGGTTGCCTCCTGTATGTGCCCCGACCAGAGCCAGGAATGGAGCCTGCAACCAAGATGGGTGCCCTTTGACTGGAATCAAATCTAGGACCCTTCGTTCAGTTCTTGGGCTGACACTCTATCCACTGAGCAAAACTGGTTAGAGCTAATTTTTTTTAAATATGTTTTTATTGATTTCAGAGAGGAAGGGAGAGGGAAAGATAGAAACATCAATGATGTTAAAGAATCTTCAGTTGGCTGGCTCCTTTATGCCCCCTATTGGGATGGAGCCTGCAACCCAGGCATGTGCCCTGACTGTGAATGGAACTGTGACCTCCTGGTTCATAGGTCAATGCTCAACCACTGAACCACGCTGGCCAAGCAAAGCTGAACTTGTCTTATTATCTCAGCTTATCTCTTACAGTGAAAAAAACAAATTATACTATTCTTAATAATTATTTAACAGTATTGAGCACTCTGCACAAAATAAATTACAGTTCTTTCCTCAAAAAGCTTCTCTTCACATTCCCACAGCTTTAATAATTAAAAGCCATTTCCTATACTGTCATATGTTCACTCTGATTTAAGTCAGCTTAAATCAAGAGCTAATTATTTCATATGAAAGAAGAGCACATTTTTTATCATCTATAATAGTAAAAGCATAATATGCTAATTAGACCGGACATCCTTCCAGACTACCTTCCGGACAAAGCCAGGGCTGTGAGGGAAGCCGGGTCCCAGGTGCCTGCCGGCAGTCAGAGGAAGGAAGGCCTACTCTTGCATGAATTTTGTGCATCAGGCCTCTATTTGATTAGAAATCTCAGAATATGGACACAACTCTTCTCCAATGCATCCTTCTCTGTACCAGTGGGCTTTGTTTCCCACAGGTAGCACCAGTGACATACCTGCGGATGAGCAGCCAGCCCAAGCTGTACACGGCCCAAGGAAGGACCTTGTCAGCCTTTCCCCTGGGCATGTCTCTCACCTTCATTGTTCAGTTTTATAACAGCATCGGAGAGAAATTCCACACACACAACACCCAGCTCTATCTGGCTCTGAACAGGTATGGAAGTCAATGACTGATCTCTGGCCCTTGATTGCTTACTCTCCATTGTAAAATTCCTTCTGAACTTTTGTGCTGTTGAATATAATGTAACTAGAGGCGCAGTACACAGTCAAGTGGACAATTTGCATACTACACTTTTATTATATAGGCTAGGATAGGATCTGTTCCCAGAACTGTTTTCTAACTGTTGTCCCTTTTCAGAAATTCCTACTTTTCATATCTGCTTTCAGAGATGACCTACTACTTATCGGACCAGGGAATAGGAACTATACTTATGTGGCCCAGGCCGTGAACAGAGGGGTGACACTTGTGGGGCTCTGGGATCGGAGACACCCAGGCATGGCAGATTACATTCCTGTCGTCGTCGAGCACGCCATTGAGCCAGACGCCAAGCTCACCTTTGTTGGAGATGTCATCTGTTTCAGTACTCACCTCCTCAACCAAAATGGTCTGGACACCTTCCTTTCTTAACCTCACAACTGATGGTTACAAAGCAACTCATCCCTTAAAGGATTTTTTCCCCGAATATCTAAATTCTGATAGTATTTTTATGCACTTTATTACTTTTTCATGTTAACTGATAATTCTCAGTTCAATGCCCACTTCTCTCAATAACCAGCCATCAGAAATCAGCCAGTTATATTTATCAAAAGTCTATTGAATGCATAGCTCTATATAATGTATTATGTGGACAGTGTAGGGTGCTGTGCCTTCTCTTCTGAAGGAGGGTAAACGCTTAGCTGAAGAGCAGTGAAGGATGAAATAAAAGTAAGGAAAGGACAATAGGCTTTAGTTCTAAGTTATCCTCAAAGCTGAGTGTTCCTGCTGGATGGGAAGAGAGATCTATATGCTTTAATGGTCTACTGATGAGAGTCTGAGTAAGATTAAAGTGACCATCAATTTATGTCAAAAGGTTGCAGCAAAGTGCTTTTTCTTATCCTTTCCTAGGTGAACCTGGGGTATGGATGATTTCTACTGACAGTATTCTACAGACAGACACAGTCACTGGGGTAGGAGTGGCCCGGAGTCCAGGAATAGCAACAATCTTTCATGACATCCCAGGACTGGTGAAAACATATCGAGAGGTAAACTTAACAATACCAGGATTGAAGAGATAAGGGCATCTATTTTTATAAATGAAAATATGCATATAAAAAAGAAATACAGCCGAAGCCGGTTTGGCTCAGTGGTAGAGCGTCGGTCTGAGGACTGAAAGGTCCCAGGTTCGATTCTGGTCAGGGGCATGTACATTGGTTGCGGGCACATCCCCGGTAGGGGCTGTGCAAGAGGCAGCTGGTCGATGTTTCTCTCTCATCGACGTTTCTAGCACTCTATCTCTCTCCCTTCCTCTCTGTAAAAAAATTAATAAAATATATTTTAAAAAAAAGAAAAAAAGACCTTGCCCCCCCAGCTACCTATGGGGGCTGTGGGGCCAGAAGCCTCAAACAGGTCATGCTCCAATAAAGGTGATTCTGCCTGCGAAAAAAAAAAAAAAAAAAGAAAGAAAGAAAAAAAGAAATAGTCACATATCAAATATAAAAAGACCCAAAAAACTTTATTGGGATTTAAAGGAAAACAGTATTAGGATTCTTTCTTAATTTTTTAAAATATTTTTTATTGATTTCAGAGAGTGAGGGAGAGGGAATGATAGAAACATCAATGATGCCGAAACCGGTTTGGCTCAGCGGTAGAGCATTGGTCTGCGGACTGAAAGGTCCCAGGTTTGATTCCGGTCAAGGGCATGTACATTGGTTGCGGGCAGTTGGTCGATGTTTCTCTCTCATCGACATTTCTAGCTCTCGCTCTCTCTCCCTTCCTCTCTATAAAAAATCAATAAAAAGCCGGGACCGGTTTGGCTCAATGGATAGAGCATCGGCTTGAAGACTGAAGGGTCCTGGGTTCGATTCCGGTCAAGGGCATGTACCTTGGTTGCGGGCATATCCCCAGTAGGGGGTGTGCAAGAGGCAGCTGATCGATGACTCTCTCTTATCGATGTTTCTAACTCTTTATTTCTCTCCCTTCCTCTCTGTATAAAATTAATAAAATATATTTTTTTAAAAATCAATAAAAATATATTTAAAAAAAAAAGAAAGAAACATCGATGATGAGAATCACTGATCAGCTGTCTCTTGCATACCTCCTACTGGGAATCAAGCCCACAACCCAGAAATTTTGGTGTTTTGGAAGCCAGGTGAAGAAGTTATTTCAAGCCCTAGCTGGTTTGGCTCAGTGGATAAAGCGTCAGCCTGCAGACTGAAAGTCCTGGATTTGATTCTGGTCAAGGGCACATACTCGGGTAGTGGACTCGAACCCCATTTGGAGGTGTGCAGGAGGCAGACACTCAATGATTCTCATCATTGATGTTTCTATCTTTTTCTTCCTCTCCATTCTTCTCTGAAATATTTTTTTAAGTTATTTCAAGAGGAAGGAAATAATCAACCAGTGAAATACTACTAATAGGTTAAGTACGCTGAAAACAGAGACCTAACTGATGGTTTTTACAATATGTAACTTTGTTTTAAGGTCCTTACATATTTAAAATATATATTTTATTGCTTTTTTACAGAGGGAAAGGGAGAGAGATAGAGAGCTAGAAACGCTGATGAGAGAGAAACATCGACCAGCTGCCTCCTGCACACCCCCTACCGGGGATGTGCCTGCAACCAATGTACATGCCCTTGACTGGAATCGAACCTGGGACCTTTCAGTCCACAGACCGACGCCCTACCACTGAGCCAAACCGGTTTCGGCTAAGGTCCTTAAATATTTAAAAACAAACTGGGGTAGTACTGAGGAGACTGGACAATATATTACATTAAATTGAAGATATTTGGACAGAAAAAGGATCATTATCATATCTCTTTGTAATCATTATCTCTTTGTAATCATTAAGCACTAGCCTATATATAACGCACAGTATAGAATGCACATGGATAAATTAGAATTCTAAGTTAAAGAGCTTAGAGCCTAATAGGAGGGATTTTAACAAGTATAAAAATGTGTACACTATAAGGCAGAACATTACAAAGTATACTGAGTATTTTTTAAAATATATTTTATTGATTTTTTACAGAGAAGAAGAGAGAGAGATAATTAGAAACACTGATGAGAGAGTAACAAAGATCAGATGCCTCCTGCACACCCCTCACTGGGGATGTGCCCGCAACCAAGGTACATGCCCTTGACCAAAATCAAACCTTTCAGTCCGCAGGCTGATGCTCTATCCACTGAGCCAAATCAGTTTTGACTATACTGAGTATTCTGTAAAGTTGCAATTGCCTTTAAAGGCATTTAATAAGAAATCATACAAAGGGAACATGTCAGAAGGAATATTAGACAGAGACCTTTTAGAAAATAAATGTTTTCTTCCCATAAGATATTGTGGTTCTCAAATATGTTAGCACATGAAGAGCAATTTGTGCGAAACAGATGCTTTTGGTTAAATAAGTTATGAGAGGCAGAGAAGGAGGGAACCAGATTCTCTTAAGAATTTAGGTATAGATTTGCCTTTGGTTTCCTGGTAGGTGGTTGTCAATGCATCATCAAGACTAACACTCAGTTATTACCTCAAGACTTACCTCACCAATACTCTCAATTCAACGGTGTTCAAGTTCTTCATCACCACTGGCAGAAATGGGGTCAATCTTAAAGGTAAGGAATCTCTTTATAGGTATGCGTGATTGTTCTCAACTTCCTCATCTTCCGTATTAATTTACCCCTTTCGATTAGCAATATTTACTTCTTTTATTTCAAAATTGACTCTACCTTAATAAATCATTGACTCATCCTTTTTTTTTTAAGTACCTATATTTTATTGATTTTTTTGCAGAGAGGAAAGGAGAGGGATAGAGTTAGAAACATCGATGAGAGAGAATCATCTATCAGTTGCCTCTTGCACACCTCCCACTGGGAATGTGCCCACAACCAATGTACATGTCCTTGACCAGAATTGAACCCAGGACCATTCAGTCCGTAGGCTGACACTCTATCTACTGAGCCAAACTGGTTTCGGCGACTCCTTTTTTATACCTGCTTCTAATTTATAAAAGCCTCCCCTTTTATAAATTCTTATTAGTGATAAAGCTGTTTACCTCTTTTCTGCTTATTAGGGTCCTGCACTCCAAGTCAAGCGTTGGCCATTACAACAATACTTCTTCCAGAAACCCTCATACTGTGCCATATACAGTTCAGTAATACTTCACTAGATATTCCAGCAAGTAAAGTTTTTCACGTCCATTCATATTTCAGCATGGAGAAAGGTGGGTTCCACCATTTGAATCTGGTTTCCCCCTTATTTCCATATTTGTACAGTTGTTACTTTCTTATTGGATTGCCTGAATATTTTCCAGTTTCATCTGCTCTATATGGACTCTTTCTCAATCAACATTTTTGTTTAATTCATTCTAATTTGTTAAACATGGCTCTATAATACCTATTGTTTATAATACAATACAAAATGCTTTTCTATTATAATTTACTGTTTTGTTAGTCCTGTTATCTCTATAAGGGTTTGGCTTAGGTCTCATTCATCTTTTATCCCCAGCAAGTAGCACAGTGTTTGAATGTTTGTTGAACTGAAGGCTATTCCAAGCAGATTATCATTAACAAGCAGAAAGTAGAAACAGATATTACGCTGAGATAACTATATAAATCAACGAATCTAAAATGAGATTTATGTCAAATGTGAATAGGATAGTGCTACATTATGGGAGAGTTTCTACTGCAAGGCCAGGCAGTGTGAATGGTAATGAGCAACCACTGAAGGAAGGTTCACTTGGCAAACTTGAGCACCAAATAGAGGAGCCATTGCAATAATACAGGCATGAATTGATAAGGGTCTAGACTAGAGTAACAAAGAAATACTAACAGGGCAGACATGTCAGAGGCATTTCAAAGAGCTAGCAAGATTTGGAATATAAGAATAAAGTAAAGGAAAATAAAAAAGAATGAAGGTTGCCAAAAAACAGCTCAGGTTTGAGCATGGGTCACTAGAAAACTACTACTGACAGTAAAACCAAGTGGTGGTTTGATAGAGAAGTGATTAAACCATGCTAGAAGCATGCCTTCCCCCCCCACACACACACACAAACCCTTTCCTGATCTTACCAACAGACTACTTCATTCGGTATCCCCATAATTTGTTTGCACCATATTACTTAGTACTTCCTGGCATGTTGATTTACCAATTTAAGCAACAAGTTCAGTTGTGGGTTCCATTTTCTTTCTTTTCTCTTCTCTTCTCTTCTCTTCTCTTCTCTTCTCTTCTCTTCTCTTCTCTTCTCTTCTCTTCTCTTCTCTTCTCTTCTCTTCTCCTCTCCCCTCCCCTCCCCTCCCCTCCCCTCCCCTCCCCTCCCCTCCCCTCCCCTCCCCTCCCTTTCTTTTCTTTTCTTTTCCTTCCTTCCTTCCTTCCTTCCTTCCTTCCTTCCTTCCTTCCTTCCTTCCTTCCTTCCTTCCTTCCTTCCTTCCTTCCTTCCTTCCTTCCTTTCCTTCCTTTCCTTCCTTCCTTCCTTCCTTCCTTCCTTCCTTCCTTCCTTCCTTCCTTCCTTCCTTCCTTCCTTCTTTCTTTCTTTCTTTCTTTCTTTCTTTCTTTCTTTCTTTCTTTCTTTCTTTCTTTCTTTCTTTTTCTTTCTAACATATATTTTATTGATTTTTTTCACAGAGAGGAAGGGAGAGTGATTGAGAGCCAGAAACATCAATGAGAGATGCATCAACCAGCTGCCTCCTGAACATCCCCCACTGGGGATTTGCCCGCAACCAATGTACATGCCCTTGACTGGAATTGAACCCAGGACCCTTCAGTCCACAGACTGACGCTCTATCCACTGAGCCAAACTGGTTTTAGCTCCATCTTCTTTTGATGGTCCATAGTGTGCCAATACTAAATAACATGTATTCACATTTTCTTTTGAATTTACATGTCACCATTTTTACTTCTTATCCTAATTCAGCTGGCTCAACAGAGCCTCTGAACTTCCTGCTCAGATTTTCCTCTTTTCTTCAGGGGTCTATGTCTGCCTGATCAAGGTTCGACCTCAATCAGAGGAGCTGCTCCAGGCCCTCAGCATGGCTGACACCTCAGTCTACGGGTGGGCCACTCTCATCAGTGAACAAAGCAAGAATGGAATGCAAAGAATTCTCATTCCTTTCAACCCAGCCTTTTACATCAACCAGTCAGAATTGGTGCTTAGCCACAAACGAGATGTTGGGGAGATAAGAGTACTGGGAGTTGACAGAGTTCTTGAGAAGCTAGAGGTATGTTAAGAACTGAACCAAACATCAGTTTTGAAAAAATTCACCATAGGAAATACTAAGCAGGATGAAGAAAACCTATCCCATTCAGTAGGGTTCCCAGAGTCTTAAAATCTAGGTCATTAACTGAAAAATAACACTAATACTACCGTTTCCCCAAAAATAAGACAGTGTCTTATATTAATTTTTGCTCCCAGGGATGCGCTAGGTTTTATTTTCAGGGGATGTCTTATTTTCCATGAAGAATACGGTACACTATTGTTAAATAAAAATGAAGGAAATTTATTACCTGTATACAGTACGGTAGTACGATAGTTGTCAACACAAACCAGACAAACTGTGAATCCTACAGTATCAAGAATTTACTCATTTATTCAATGACAATCATGTCATCATCTTCTGGAACATCATCATAATAATCCAATTCCTGAACTTCTTGTGACTCCATTTCTTTCAGAATTAGTGGACCAAATCTCTCATGTTTAGCAATAGCATTCTAAGACAGAGCCTGGGGGGGCCTCATTTTCGGGGGGGGGGGGGGGGGGGGAGAATGCCTTATATTTCACTTAGAAGGAAACCTGTAAGTAGGTCTTATTTTCGGAAGATGTCTTATTTTGGGGGAAACACGGTATCTTTTTGCTGTTAATCCTTACCTGGGGATATTCTTTCCATTTATGTATTTATTAGTATTTAAAATATATTTTTATTGATTTCAGAGAGGGAGAGGGAGGAGATAGAAACATCAATGATGAGAATCATTAATTGGCTGCCTCCTGCATGTTGGACCAAGCCTGCAACCCAGGCATGTGCCCTTGACTGGAATCAAACCCAGGACCCTTCAGTCCACAGGCCCACACTCTATCCACAGAGCCAAATGGCTAGAGCTCCATTGATTTGTTAAAAATATATATTTTATTGATTTTTTAGAGAGGAAGGGAGACAGATAGAAACATTGATCAACTACCTCCTGCACACCTCCCACTGGTGATGTGCCCACAACCAAGATACATGCCTTTGTCCAGAATCGAATCTGGGACCTTTCAGTCTGCAGGTCAACGCTCTATCCACTGAGCCAAACCAGCCAGGGCTCCATTGATTTTTTTGAGTGTGGGGAGGGGGTAGAAGAGAGAAATGGGTGTCACATGGATTGGTTGCCTTTGGTATGAGCCCAGACCAGTAACAGGAAGAACCTGCAACCCAGGTATATGTCTTTGTCTACATTGGTGGTATAGTGGTGAGCATAGCTGCCTTCCAGGTACATGTCTTTGACCAGCAATCAAACCCACAACTCTGGTGTGTGGGCCAACGCTCTAACCATTGCACCACACTGACCAGGACACCAATGCTATCTTAATTAAAAATAATCTTTAAAATTCTCGTTTAAAACTTTTTGAAGCCTATTTTATTCTCACAGATCACCTTTTCCCTCGTATCATTCAACACACCTAAGTGAAAAAATGTTTTGTCAGTTAGCTAAACTAGAAATCTAGGAGTCTTACTGTGTATGTTTAAGATTGGAATATAATACAAAACTGCCTTTTCCTTTTGTGTTTTGTTTTTGTAACTGTCTTTTCTTCTTTCAAACAGTGCTATTTTATCTTTTCCTCAAGGTCTTCCCCAGCTCCCCGGTTCTAGTGGTCTCTGGCCATAGTCACTCTGCCCTCACACCGGGCCTTGCTATCTACCCTGTCAGAGTGGTCAACTTCACTTCCCTCCAGCAGATGACATCGCCCGTCTTCATCAACATCTCCTGTGTGCTCACAGGCCAGAGTGAGGCTGTGCTGGTGAGAGCTGTTAAGAAGTCTGGTGCAGGTGAGCAATGGGGATCCTACCTTTAGGAAAATGACGCATTACATTTAGTTAATGGAGAACATTCAGCCACTTGACCAAGATTACATAAACTGGGCATGGATCAATTTTCCAAGCCCACTGAAAATACAATCTTCAGATAGCTTTTTTTTTTAATCACTAGCTAGATGTGATACTTAACATATTTATTTTTAATAATTTAAATTTTTACTTAACATATATTTAAGAATAGTCAAGCCAGTTTAACAAGTCTGTCAGCTTCATAAGTGTATTACTTTCCATTCTAAACCTCTTGATGTTTCGTCTTCTTTAAAAGTATTTAGAGCTGCCAAAACCAGTTTGGCTCAGTGGATAGAGCGTCGTCCTGCGGACTGAAAGGTCCCAGGTTCGATTCCAGTCACGGGCATGTACCTTGGTTGCGGGCACATCCCCAGTAGAGGGTGTGCAAGAGGCAGCTGAGTGATGCTTCTTTCTCATCGATGTTTCTATTGCCCTTCCTCTCGGTAAAAAAAAAAATCAATAAAATATATATTAAAAAAAGTATTTAGATCTTGATGCATCAAGCAAAGGGCAAATGGTGAACCCTAGAAACAAGACTTATTTCCCAAATCCTAATTCTAGCCATTACCCAGTTTAGAAATGCCAATTTGTATGGGGTGAGAAGTTATGGTGATGTTAACCAAGGAAACATTCTCATGCCACTCTCGCAATCCCTCAAGGGAACTTGTACTCTCTTTAATTATTGGGAACGAAGCTAAACCTAGTGCATCTCCTAAAGGGAGAAAGATTTGCTTATATGAGCACTTGGGCCTAAGCATATTTAAATGCATTTTTCTAACTCAAAAGGATAGATGTTTTCCCCTTCAGAGTTGAGGAATTGAGGTGCCCAAAGGTCCCACTAGGAAGTGTTCAACTCTAATCTGTGCTCTATTAGAGCACCTTTGAAATCTAGAATTAATTCTAATCAACTCACTGATTATGAAAGGAATAGAAAAATTAGTAATACACTGGTTTTATTTGGACTTTGAGCAGTGGGACCTGGTCAGGAATTAGTCTAGACAACCTTTTTAGTACATGCACTTCAAGAAACTTTATTCTTCAGTGAAGCAGTTATCAAAGAGTAAGGTGAGAGAAGCGGTTTTAAGACTAAAGGTAAAAGGCCTATACTATAGATGCAGAATAGGATGTAGGTATGAGGGCCTGCTTACAATTTATAATTTATATTGGAAGTCCTGGAAGTTCAAGTAGTTTGGTGGGACAGAAAAGTTCTAGACACTGAAGAAATTGAAATAACCAAAGGCAGATACCAATTATGATTCAAAGACAGGAGTTGCAAGTTTTATTAAGAACATTATATACAAATCAGAGTATTCCCTAGAAATGACACCCTGAGTAAAAATGGGTAAGGGGCCTTTGGCTTTAAGAAGTTATTTGGGATCCAAAGAAATGTTTCAAGTTACAGGGATTAGAATGAGAAATCAAACCACACCCTGGCCAGATAGCTCAGTTGGTTAGAGCATCCCTGATGTGTCAAGGTTGTAGTATTGATCCCCGTTCAGGGAACATATTAAGAATTTACCAACGAATGCATAAGTAAGTGCAACAAATTGATGTTCCTCTCTCCCTCTCTCAAATCAATTAAAATTTAACACATTTAGTTAAAATGCACAGGAAAGGTAAAAGCCATTTTCAAGTGGCAGTTTTAAATATTCCTGTAAGCCGAGAGAAATAAAAGGCTCAAGAATTGTAGTTTATTACTTTGAAGATAGGAAATGGCTAGAATTAGGATTTGGGAGCCAAATATAGTTCACTTTATTCTGATAAGTAAAATATCCTAGAGCAGGGATTTTCAACTTCTCTCACCTCATGGCACATACAAAGTAATTTCTAAAATTCTGGGGCACACTCACACAAAAATATTTTTGCTGTAATCCGACAAAAAAAAAGTTTAGGGGGGAAAAAATGAGGAACTTTTGTAATATGAATATTGATTTAAAAAAAAAAAAGTTTAGCTTTGATTCAGTCACACCAGATAGCTGTTATTTTTCTTTTAACCCTCACTAAAGGATATGCGTATTGATTTTAGAGAGAAGGGTAGGGAGAAACATTGATATGGGAGTACATCAATTGGTTGCCTTCCCTAGGTGCCCCAACAGGGATTGAACATGCAACCTTTTTGGATACAGGGCAAGGCTCCAAACAACTGAGCCACATAGGCCAAGCGGCTGTCATTTTTTATTTAGCAATCTAAGGGAAAAGAGGTCAGTGCACCTGACTGAATAACTGGTTTTCAAAACCGTTGTCCTAAAGGGTTGGGTTTCAAGTGCTTCTGCTAGATAGTCTTATGACCACACAAGGTTTTAAATGCAACATCTGGCCTGGATGTGATTAAATAACTATTCTCTTCTTCTGTTCTGGCCAATGCATAGATCAATGTGAAGATTCAGGTGTCCTCCAGAAGTTCATGGGTTCTTACCAGATCCTCTTTACCCTCTTTGTAGTGCTGGCATCAACAGCTTTCATCTTTCTAGGTAAGGAGTCCTTATATCCTTCATTTCAAAAACTGAATAAGGATGAAAATTAGTTGTTTTTTGCAGTTGAAACAGATTCAGCCTCCCTAACCTTAGTCACTTAGTGGATTAAATAAAGGTCCTGCTCAAGTTACAACTATCAAATTGGACGTGGCAAATACCATTCAGAAGTGGGTATCAATGCTAGATGGCCAGTTTGGATTAAACTCATTAGCTAGAGATGATTTTGTCTACACCTGCACTTTTCCCATCATTTGGGCAGTTGATAAGTAACTCTAAAAACTGAAAAGAAATTTCCTAATTACAATGAAGTTACTTAAAGTATGACTAAGGACTTCCTCCAATAAGGCAGGTATGTCTCTTTACTGACATCTCCCTTGTTCTGATTCCAGCATATAGTGCCTTCCTAAACAAGATACAGACAGTTCCTGTTGTTTATGTCCCAACTCTAGGATCACCGCTGACAGGTAAAGAATCACAACCCTTATCTTCAAATTGCAGTATCTGTATCTTATTCACCTTTCACCCTTCTCCCTTTCCCATTGGTTTCTAGGTTCTTATGCCTCCGCACGCTCTCCCTCTCCATTCCTGAATCCACAACCCCCGCCATCCCAGAGTCGGCTACAATACTGGCTATGGAGTATAAGGCACTAACCTGTGCTTAGACAAGTCTCCTTAACTGTAGGAAACTGGAGATTTTTTTTTTTTTAACTGAAAATTTTTAACCGTTGGCCATCAGAAGCCGCCTAGCAACGTCTATATTAGCCTCCAGACGAGGTTTCTGAGAATTGTAAATAAAGGGTCCTGAGCTGTTCTGTTAAAAGTGGTGTGCTGGATTGTGTTTCGAAGATCAACTTGCTCTTAATTCTAAGAAAACATAACAGTGCAAGTAAATACCTCATTTATATTGATAAACTACATTTTTAAATCAAGCTCTGAAGATTTATTCAATGAGCCTAGGCAGAGAGAAATGTCCCAAATGGACTTTTTAAATACTTGGCTACTTACTTGCCCCAAATGACTAGCAGTCCATCCTTCTGGTTGGCCCTGAATACTTGAGGTAAGAACTTCCTACCAGTAAAACAAGACAATAAACAGGATGTATCCAAAATGTGTTTATTGGGATGGTTTCCCGCTCATCTTGATTTGAGGTGCTTTTAGTGCTGCTTCCTTCTGAAGGAGCATCCTGGAAGAAAAATGTTCCTAAGTTAACTGACAGCCCACTTACCCCACCCCACACTCACAGGCTTAAGGCCTGATGACCCGCCCTCAGGAAAGCCCCTTCTATCACCTACACATCATCCTAGCTTTAGACAGCATTTTGAGACTAAGATTCAAAGCCCAAATTATATTTATTAAAGCATTTACCTTCTGTAAGCCTTGCTTTTCCTCCTGTTGGCTGACAGAGAACAGTGGAGCAACCAACACACAAAACTACCGTTTGTGCATGGCTAAAGACGGTGGTGATCTTATAGCATCCTGGAAAAATCAAGAAGGGGTTACATTTTTCCCATGCCCTTCTTCACTTACACATAAACTAGGCTATTTGTAAACTTTGAAATTTACTATCCTATTGGAAACTAGATCACCTGGGTCTAGATACACATTAATGTGAACTCAGAAGCAATGCGGACTCCCTGCCCCACCTATGGATTTTTGGATAATGTGTGACTATCATCCTAGAGCCTGAATGGGAAAGGAGTGGAATAAACAATCCACAGCTCACAAAACAGACTCCTCCACTTTGGAGGGAAGGATGGTCAGCAATGGGTCAACGCACCCACCCGCTCCTCCAGAAACAAGTACATCAAGGACCAAGGCAGAAGCACGACACATCACCCGATTTCTTAGCACAAGGAAATGGCAGGGTCGGTACGTGGAGTTTTGATGGGAAATCACTCTGGATCCCTCCTAAAGTAGAAAATTTTACCCATCTCGCACTTTCAAGTTCTAAGAAAGGGGGCCGCTTCATGGACGCGGTACAGCTCACACCACACCCTTTTCCGTTCCCGGGTCCAGTGCGTTCCCGACTGCCGCACGCCAGCTGCTCACCTGGGCATTTGACATCCATGAAGTAGGAATTGGGGCTCTGCACCAGGCGCTTCTTCTTGTGTTTCCTCTTCTCCTCTTCCGGAGAGGGATGGAGGAGATCCTTAGCGAGCTACGAGGCAGAGGTGCAGAAAGTTAGAAACCCACGGCGAAGAGGGGAGGATCGGGAACCGCCCCCGCTGCCACACACCGGGGAGAGCTCGCCCCTCGCCGCGCCTGGTGTCTGCGCAGCCGGGCCGCCATCTTATCTCCGCTCCGCTGCCGTCCCGGCAGGGCCCCGCGGGCCTCCGCGGGCCCCGAGCTTAAGGTCCCGGGCGGCGCGGGGGCCGCGGGGCCCTGCCGTCCCAGACCGGCGCGCGGGGCGCGTGCGGACGGAAGAGCGAGGGCTCCGCCGAAACCTGCACCCGGGCACTCACAGGCATATTGTCGTGGGGAGGTCGTCACCGCCGGAAAGGAGCGAAAGCGGAAGTCCGTCTCCTTATACCCGCCACCCCGCCGGAAGTGACGCGGCGGTGTTCGGCGGCCATGTTGGGAAGGTCCGCCTGTCAGCATTGTCCGCGGGGGCGAGAGGGGCGGCCATCTTCGGAAGGTCAGACGCGCCCGGGCTGAGAGCTTTGTAGTGTGTGAAGGGGGGGATCCGCCTGGGCTGGTGTGGCGCCGCGGGTTGACTTCTGTCCCATGTACCAGCGGGTCACCAGTTCGACCCCTGGTGGCGGCCACATGCCCGGGTTTTCGAGACCAAGTCACCATCAATGGAAAAAGGTTATTCTAAAGACTTTCTCAGGGCAAGCCCTTTATCAGGGGATAAATGGACAATGAAGATTTCTTGCCAACTTTGACAGTTGGAGCCTAAAAATAGGAATTTCTTAGGAAAACAACAACCAGATCAAGCTATGTCTGGACTTATTAAATTTCTTTATTACTTTTCTATTGGTTTCGTTTGCCCACTTTAAACAATTCAGAAATGTAAATATAAAAAAAGTAAAGGCCGGTGTTGTCCAGTGGTTGGGCGTTGACCTATGAGCCAGGAGGTCACGGTTCGATTCCTGGTCCGGGCACATGCCCAGATTTCGGCCTCCATGCCCAGTAGGACTAATCAATGTTTCTCTTTTTCTTTCTCCCTTCCTCTTTCTCTCAAGTTAAATTTTTTTAAAGTAAAGTTCACGTATTTCCTCCATCCCCAACCTACTCTTAGAGTTGTTAATTTTATTGTCAATTTTCCATCCTTACCTCTAATAATAATTACATCAAACACATAATGCTTACTAGATGCATTGTTCTGCTTTATATATGTTAATCTTCATAACAACTTTTATCAGGTTGATACTATTATTATCCACATGTTACTGATTAAGAAAGTGATGCACAAAGAAATTGTCCAAAGTACTACTCCACTGCCTTCCGAAAAGATTGTGCCATCTGCATCCCTACATCCTTTTCCCACATTTTCACCAGGAATGCCTTGCCAAGATTTCTAATCTTGGCATCACGGACACCCAGACAGGAAAGGAGAAGGAAGGAAAAATGAAGACTTTGAAACATCATCTTCCCATGTCCATTTGTCATAAGGGAGGAAGGAAGGTGACACAAATGGCATTTAGCAATATGCTTTTTTCCAAAGAAAAGGGATGTGAGTTTCAGTCAGGGAAGTGCTGGCAAAGTTTAACAGGTTCTGTGGAGGGGCGCCCTGATTTTGCTAATTTCAGTAGTGACATCATTACACATGGGGTTGCTAGAGCTATTCATAGAGCCTGTAAGAACTGGTTCCAGTATGTCAACTGTAATTGAAAAAAAAATTAAGTTATTAAAAAAAATAAAGAAAGAAATGGTCGGTAAAACCTCTTAGGAAGCTGAAATATCAAGGACAAGGAGTCAACCATGCAATCATCTAGAAAGAAAGCATTTTAGGCTGAGGGAAGTGTTTGTGAATACAAAGACAGAATGAATCTGTCACAGCTGAAGGGAGAAAGGAATTATTGCGGAAGTTCTGAGACCTAGGGAGAGAGTACTACAGAGATGAGGTTCCAATGAAAGCAGGTATACACCAGCATGAGTACATTTCATTTATTTTTAAAGAATTTTTATTTATTTTTAAAATATATCTTATTGATTTTTTACAGAGAGGAAGAGAGATGGATAGAGAGTTAGAAGCATCAATGAGAGAGAATCATTGCTCAGCTGCCTCCTGCACACCCCCTACCGGGGATGTGCCCGCAACCAAGGCAGATGCCCTTGACCGGAATCGAACCTGGGACCCTTCAGTCCGCAGGCCGACGCTTTATCCACTGAGCCAAGCCGGTTTTGGCAAAAATTTTTAATTAATTAATTTATTTAAAATATATATTTTATTGATTTTTTTTACAGAGAGGAAGGGAGAGAGATAGAGAGCTAGAAACGTCGATGAGAGAGAAACATCGACCAGCTGCCTCTTGCACACCCCCTACCGGGGATGTGCCCGCAACCAAGGCACATGCCCTCGACCGGAATCGAACCTGGGACCTTTCAGTTCACAGACCGAAGCTCTACCACTGAGCCAAACCGGCTGTGGCTTTTTAAATTTATTTTTAGAGAAAGAGGGAGAGGGGTAGAGACAGAGAAACATCAATGATGAGAGAAAATCATTAATAGGCTGCCTCCTGCACACCCGCTTCTGGGAATCAAGCCCACAGCACAACCTGGGCAATTGCCCTGGCTAGGAATCAGAGAGGGTGGGGGCCCTGTGGGCAGCGGTGGCAACCTCTTGGTTCCTGGGTTGATGCTCAACCACTGAGATACACTGGCCAGGCAGCATGAGTACATTTTAGAGAAGTGAGCAAAAATAATAAACTGCAGGGGAGGAATAGTCCAGATCCAGGCAAAATAAGATGGGACAAAAAAAGGAACTGATTGATTATATTTTCAGAACAATCTATGAAAATGGAACAGTAGCCGAAACCGGTTTGGCTCAGTGGTAGAGCATTGGTCTGCGAACTGAAAGGTCCCAGGTTCGATTCTGGTCAAGGGTATGTACCTGAGTTGCAGGCACATCCCCAGTAGGGGGTGTGCAAGAGGCAGCTGGTCGATGTTTCTCTCTCATCGACGTTTCTAGCTCTCTATATCTCTCCCTTTCTCTCTTTAAAAAAATCAATAAAATATATTAAAAAAAGAAAAAGGAACAGTAACTTAAAGGACTGTCTAGACGGTGTGGCTAAAGGACTAATGAGAGATGGTTTGACCAGTGAGGAAAAAAAAATAAAGAAGACTCGAGATGTATGCTGCAGCTTGAAGACATACGGGAGGTGAGAGAATGGACAAAAAGGGAACTGAACAGTTAGTGTGTTTGAGAAGGGGCAGACAAGAGCACAGAAAGTGACCAAGATAAGCGAAGTAACAAAAGATGCCTTCTCACCACCGGTAACACTGTGTTTATACAAGGACTGTGCTACTGGCCCGTGGTTAGAAAAGCAGATAATGCTGAATAATTCTTTACAAAGGCAAAGATAAATCCGTTTCTTTATAGCCACCTTCTCCACACTTCAGCTTCCTGGTTGCCAAGGCCCCCCCACATTCACAGCCCATCCAGTGGGTTAAGGGCTGTGTCATATCTCATCAGAAGAACGAGACCAGGCGTTTGTTGTCCCAGTCTCTAGCTGCCTGACCAGCTTATGAGAGAAATCACACACAGAAGCCCAGAAGGAACACTGTGCCCACCGAAGCCCCCAGAATGGGGGCTGGCAGAGGGACAGCGTTGAGATGGGGCGGGGCTCTGATGCTGTGGTATAACCACTGTTAATGTTCACTCTGTCCAGCAGGGGGCAGACTGACCCAACAAATAGCCTACTGCCCGGCAATCCCGCTTTTTTCAAAAAGCGGTTGGGATTCTAGATAGAACCAAGGGCTTGTGACAACACAGGATTCTAGATACTGCCCCGGGAGGATTCCTGTTCCTCGAATTCGCCCTCCCAAAAAAGAAGCCTCCCATCTTTGTCAGCTCGCAGCCCCGTCCCCGTCTCCACCATTGTTCCCCAAGACTTTCTCTAAATTCCTCCCAAAGTCCTCTTTCCCCGGGTCATCCCGGTTAAACTTTCACTTCGCCTCGGCCCTGCCTCTGTGGCCTCAGCCTGGAAGGGGGAGGTGGGAAGGCAGCGCGGAGGAGGCTAGTGCGCGGTGGGAGAGGGGCGGGAGGCAGGTGGGCCCGGCGGGGCGGGGAAAGCTGGGGCCGCGGCCGGTGGCCTCCGAGGCCGGCCGAAGGCGGTGGGCGGGCAGGGGGTGGGGCCCGCGGGGAGCCGCCTCTCTCTCCCGGAGCCTGGGCGGGGAGGGAGGAAAACTTCCTGGCCCCGGCTACCGGCGGCTCTTCTCCACCGGCCCTCCGAGCCCGCCTCCCGGTGCCCGGCGCTTCCCCTCCCCGCCCCCGGCTCCCTGGGTGTCCGCCATGGCCAAAGCCTACGACCACCTCTTCAAGTTGCTGCTGATCGGGGACTCGGGGGTGGGCAAGACTTGTCTGATCATTCGCTTTGCAGAGGACAACTTCAACAACACGTACATCTCCACCATCGGTGAGCCCACTGGCCATATCCCAGACCCCCGACTCCCCCACACCCTCCTCCCCAGGCTCCCCGATGACGAGTGGCCCGACCTTTCAGTCCCTGAGTGTGGTGGGGCTTCCAACACCCAGGTCCTCAGCCTCTGTTCCAGACCCATCCCCCATACATGTCTCTGGGGGGAGGGGGTACCCAAAATTCTAACTGGCCTGCCATCTCCAGGTAACTCCTCCGTGGTGCCATTCTTCTCATCTCTCTAATCCACGTGGACCCGTCTCCGTTTCCTTCTCAGCTCCTCTTCTCCCCCATCCACCTGGAGCTCTCGATCCACGCCCCACATTTCCTGATTCCCTCTCCCTGAACATCCGTCTCCCAGCTCTGCCAGCCTCTTTCTGTCCCACTGAGTTTCAGACTCTATTCCATTCCCACCTTTATCATCATCCACTTCTCGGTTTTCTTGCTCCTTGACTTAACGGGTGGGGAGGGTGAAACAGTGGCCGGGTGTGCAAAGAGAGTGGCCCACGGACTGTGATCCTGAATGCGCAGCCCGCCTGGGGAAGGAGGTGGGAAGGAGGGGACTTTTGGGGTCTCTGAGTCAGCCTGGTGACTCAGCCTCCTTCCTAGAGCTCCCAACAGGCTTGGGGGAGGTGCCCGAATTCCCACTAAGAACAGTGTTTCCCCTCCTCCCCTCTCATCTTTCTTCATCTGCTGGGACATAAAACAAGCGGAGCCTCAAGACAATTCTGGTTAGCAAGGGGAAGGAAAAATGCCCCTTTTTCCTAGTTCAGTCTCAAGAGGGATCTTGTTTAGCTTCAGATTTTTTTTTGTTTTTTTTGTTCCAAGCCTGGCCTACTAGACAATTCACATAGACAGTCATCAGCTACCTTTTTCCTCCCTCTTTACCCTATAGGGCCGGCAACGTTGGGGGAGGGGTACGGAGAGTAGAGGGTTCCAGGAAAACAGAAGGGAAAAGGAATCTGAAAGTAATATTTTGGGGGAGTCAGACTAGATTGAGACAGTTCAGCTGGCAAGGCTGAGTGGACCCAAGAGTTGCCTTACTGGCGGCCTTAAGCCCCCTTCACCACAAAATTCACAAATAGAGCCCATCCCCCTATTTGTAAAACAACAACAACATGCTTTCTAATTGAGGCATACAGACCGTTTTGAGGAAATTCTCCTACTGTTACACTTTGGACAAGGCTGCTTCCCGGATGCCTCCACGGTGGACTCTCTGGCACTGCCACTCTCCATTCCTGTCTAGCCCCCAACACACTTTTACGTGCCACGCGCACACCTGTCTCCACTTCAATGTACGCTCTCGACCCCTAGGAATCGATTTCAAGATCCGCACCATGGATATAGATGGGAAGAAGATCAAACTGCAAGTCTGGTGAGTGAATGCCCCAGGATTCTTAACCAGACTTTCTCATCTACCCCCGATAACGCCTTTTCTTATACGTGGCTTCATTCCTCCCAGCACTTCTGATCATTTGTGTCACCTCGCTCAGTGGTCCTGCCATCTCTCTTCCTGCTTGCTCAGTTATTTTCAGCTTTTTGTAACTCTTCCTTCTCCCAGCTCCGGAGTATTTTGTTCTTGCCAACAAACATCTGTTGATCTATATTATGTGGAAACAAGCTCTAAGCAGTTTAATAGCAAACAGCAGAATTAAGACTTGATTCTAAGTCTAGTGCTCTCTCTAAATATGGAGAGCCTACGGTAGAAAACCTAGTAGATGTTTGACCTGACCGTCAGAAGGAAGCTGGAAACCCTGAGGGTATGAGGCTTAATGGAGACATTATGATACAATAGATAAGAGCAAACTGGTTTAAATTCTCGTTCTGTTACAGAATGACCTTCATTAGTTATTCAGCCTCCCAAATCTGTTACCTCCTTTGTAAAATAAGGACCATAAAGCACGTATCAGCTACAAGGATAGAGTTAGGATTAGAGGAAATATGCATAGTGCTTGGCACAGATTATGCATCCAATGAATAAACCAGAGAGATCTTGTTTCTTAGGCCTCTGCCATCTCTCAGTATCAGACCATGTGTCTTTCATCCCTTTCCCCTTTTCCTGTTTCCTAATTCTGTTCCTTTCAGCCCCACCAGTGGAAGCTAAATTCATATATATATATATTATTGATTTTTTACAGAGAGGAAGGGAGAGAGAGAGCTAGAAACGTTGATGAGAGAGAAACATCTACCAGCTGCCTCCTGCACATCCCCCACCAGGGATGTGCCCGCAACCAAGGTACATGCCCCTGACCGGAATTGAACCAGGGACCTTTCAGTCCGCAGACCGACGCCCTGCCACTGAGCCAAACCGGTTTCGGCATGAAAGCTAAATTCTTGGCTGGTGGGGAATATGGGGAATCTCTCTTTGGAGAGCCCTTCCCTCTATCCTACCCCGTGAAATACTCTACCTCTTCAGGGACACCGCTGGCCAAGAACGATTCAAGACGATCACTACTGCCTATTACCGTGGAGCCATGGTACAAAGTGTGGGTCTGGACAAGGGGTGAGGGCATGAGGCAATGCCATGTAGGCTTCTGAGTACAGAGAGGCAGGGGAAAGCGGGGGGCTGCAGAGGGTCCCACATGACTTAGTGATTTGACTCGTAGGTAAAACTTGTAGGCTCACTTAGAGTACAACTCGGGGGGTGAAGGGAGGGGGAGTAAAAAGGGACTGTGGTCCAAGCCTCCTCTGTGAACTCTGCCATCTTCCAGGGCATTATCCTAGTCTACGACATCACAGATGAGAAATCCTTTGAGAATATTCAGAATTGGATGAAGAGCATCAAAGAGGTGAGGACCCTCCCAGAGAGATGGGGGAATCGGATAGAACTTAGATGAAGTGGATTGTGAAGATGAGCTTGACCCAACTTTTCATGTCTTTACCCTTTTGCTCCCAGAATGCCTCAGCTGGGGTGGAGCGCCTCCTGCTGGGGAACAAGTGTGACATGGAGGCCAAGAGGAAGGTGCAGAAGGAGCAGGCCGAGAAGGTAAGTGTTGGAGGCCGGGTTGGCCAATGTTCTAGAACCGCCGAGAGGCCGAGATGAGGTCACTTTGCAGAGGACTTGGCGACTACCCTTCATCCAACTCTCTTTTCCCCCCTTCATCCCCGACAGCTGGCTCGGGAGCATGGAATCCGGTTTTTCGAGACTAGTGCCAAGTCCAGTATGAATGTGGATGAGGTGAGACACCCCTCGGCCCCACCGCCGGAAGAGATGGACTATTGGAAGACAGACTTATGCTTCTCTCCAGCCCGTACTGACCAGTCTCCTTTCTCCTCAGGCTTTCAGCTCCCTGGCCCGGGACATCTTGCTCAAGTCCGGAAGCCGGAGATCGGTGAGTTGGTTCTGCTGGACTCAGTACACCCGGGGGTCGGGAGGCGGGTGGAGGAGTAAAAACCGAGGAGGGGAGGGGAGCAGCGCTGAGACTTCCCATGAGGGTGGGTCCCCTTCCAACAGTTTCTAGCCTCCGACCCCAGCCAGCCAGTCTCACCCTGATCCCTGTGCCCTCCTGCCTCTAGGGAAGCAAGTCCTCCGGCACTGACCTGAAGACCTCTGACAAGAAGAACAGCAAGTGCTCCCTGAGCTGAGGACTCCTCGCTGCCTCCACACCCTAAGCCTGGAGGTTGAACCCGAGGGAAGCGGGCTGAGGGGCTGGATGGGGGAGAGATGGTAGGTGGTGCTTGGGGAAGTAAAGATGGGGAGATGGGGAGAGGGCAGGGAGAAAATGTTCGAGAAGGGGAAGCCAGGAAAACAAGAGAGGAAAGAGGAGGAGAGGTAGAATAGAGGGAAGAAGCAAGAAGGGAAAGAATTGAGGAAGTGAAAAAAATGTGCGAAAGAGGTAGGAAGAAAGGAAGGAGAAAAGGAAGTATAGACAGCCCGGGGCCTCAGACCTTCCCTGGGTTTCCACGGCAAACACAGTGTAAATAAACAATTGATTCTGTTACCGGATCAGGCGGTAGGGTCCTGTGAGAGGCTGGCTCGGCACCACCCCTTGAACATTTGGTCCTGTTCTGTCACTCTGCGCGGTCTTTCTCAGTATTAAAGACCTCCATTTGCACAAATGTAGCTATTTTGGGTAACTTTCATCCTTGTCGGAATTGCTCTTTACTCATCAACCTGATTCCTACCTCTGAGGGGGTTTGGGCTGCCTGCACCTGGCCGGGTTCCTGTGATGCCAGGATTAGACCCACAGCTATCTCTCTTCCCAGCTGTTTAATTGATGAGGAAACCAGCAAGAGCAAAGGTTCTCCGAACGTGAGGCTGTGCACATGCTCTTTCCGTTACGGGTGTAGAGAATCACCGTGGGCAGAGCCCTCTCCAGAAAATTGCAGGACCTTTTTTTAAGGGCTCTCTTTGGGCCTCCCCTGGGGAGTGACAGCCCCCGCCTCAGGGAAATGGCAAGACCTAGTCTTGTTACCCAAGCAAGCATCTCTGATTCTGCCAGCGATCCCTTTAGGTAGCTGGCAGGCGTTATCTGCTTTAATAGATGAGGAAAGTGAGACACAAAACAGGTGCATGTATTCATAAATATTTATTGAGCATCTACTCTGTACCAAGCACAGTGGTCAAATTAACGTTCTGTTTGGGTAGTACTTATAAGTGGGACAAGTAAATTTTAACAGAAACAGCCCCGAACTACTGAGTACAAAGAGGCATGCAAAAAGAAGCACGCCCATCCTTGGGGATCATGAAGTCTGGGCGTAACAGGTGGGTGGGAAAAGATCAGCCAAAGACCTTGGTATGTATATATGCATAACCCATGGAAACAGACAATAGGGTGGTGAAGGCCTGGGGCTGGCTAGAAGGAGTTCATGGAGGGGTGGGGGGCGGGTGGTAACATATGTAATACTTTCAATAGTAGATTTTTTTTTAAATACTCTCAAGTGAGGCTAAATAAATAAATAAGCCGAAACCAGTTTGGCTCAGTGGATAGAGCGTTGGTCTGCGGACTGAAAGGTCCCGGGTTTGATTCTGGTCAAGGGCATGTACATTGGTTGCAGGCACATTTCCAGTGGGGGGTGTACAAGAGGCAGCTGATTAATGATTCTCTCTCATCGATGTTTCTAACTCTCTATCCCTCTCCCTTCCTCTGTAAAAAATCAATAAAATATATTTTTAAAATAAATAAATAAATAAGAGGATATTGGAAGCAAAAAAAAAAAAGAAGCACCACCAGCCTCTAGCCAGGTAGTTCAGTGGGTTGGAGGGTCATCCTGAGGCACCAAGGCTGCGGGTTCGATCCCCAGTCCGGGCACATATAAGTCAGCCAGTGAATGCATAAATAGGTGGAACAAAAAATAGCTGTCTCTGTCTCAAATCAATAAATAAAATTATTCTTAAAAGGGAGAAAACACCAAAAACCCAGGCTTGATACATAATGCCCTTAGTATATATAACCCTTTTTTAATGTTACACAATATTTTTTAAAATATATTTTATTGATTTTGTACAGAGAGGAAGGGAGAGAGATAGAGAGTTAGAAACATCGATGAGAGAGTCATCAATCAGCTACCTCTTGCACACCCCCTACTGGGAATATGCCCACAACCAAGGTACATGCCCTTGTCCGGAATCGAACCCGACACTTTCAGTCCCCAAGCCGACGCTTTATCCATTGAGCCAAACCAGTCGCGGCACAGAATATTTTCTAAAATATATTTTTTCTGATTTCAGAGAGGAAGGGAGAGGGAGAGAGAGATGGAAATATCAATGATTAGAGAGAATCATTGACTGGCTGCCTCCTGCACGCCCCCTACTGGGGATCGAGCCCACAACTGGAGCATGTGCCTTTGACTGGAATTGAACCCAGGACCTTTCAGTCCTCAGGCCGGAATTGAACCCAGGACCTTTCAGTCCTCAGGCCGATGCTCTATCCACAATATTTTATTTATTTAATTTTTCTTAAATATATTTTATTGATTTTTTACAGAGAGGAAGGGAGAGAGATAGAGAGTTAGAAACATCAATGAGAGAGAAACATCGATCAGCTGCCTCCTGCACATCCCTCTCTGAAGATGTCCCCGCAGCCAAGGTACATGCCCTTGACCGGAATCGAACCTGGGACCCTTGGGTCTGCAGGCCAATGCTCTATCCACTGAGCCAAACTGGTTAGGGCCACAGTTGGTTTTCTTTAAACAGTGAAATTGTCTCACAGAATTGCTCTTTTATCAGAACAATTACAATGTCAGATTTGGTTAGGACAAAATACTGTTAGAAGCTTTTTTATTCATGGATATGATGTTCAAAGTTTTTAAGAAATCCACAAACCCACCCAGCCAGTGTGGCTCAATGGTTGAGCATCGACCTACGAACCAGGAGGTCATGGTTTGATTCCCAGCCAGGGCACAGACTGGGGTTACAGACAGGTTCCATCCCCAGTGTGGGGCATGCAGGAGGCAGCTGATCCATGATTCTCTCTCACCATTGCTGTTTCTATTTCTCTCCCTTCCTCTCTGAAATGAATAAAAAATATTTTTAAAAAATAAATAACAAAGGAAATCCACAAGTCAGCAGTGGACGTACAATCTGGAGTCATCAGCAAAGCCTTCTTTGTGCAACTGTTTCTGCTGGTGAAAGACAACACTCAGAAAAGTCTGCCTTAGCCACTTTGGTGGATAGAGCGTATGCCTGCAGGCTCCTCCCTGGCCAGGGCCCTCATGGGGGCACATGCAGGAGACAATCAATCATCGTGTTTCTCTCACATCAGTATTCCCCTGTCTTTCCCTCTCTGAAAATCAATGAAAAAATATCCTTGGGGAGGATTTAAAAAAGAAAAGAAAAAACTCTGATAGTACCGGGAGAAGAACTTAGAAATTAATTTGATAAATGTGTATAATAATTTGATAAATGTATTAAGTATCCAAGCTTCCATGGGGCAATGTCCTCTTTGGCTTATGTTTGAGCTTTGTTGTCAACTGCGAGCTAGTTTAATTTGCTCAAGGTTAAGGAAATCCTTGGCATTTTCAGAATCCCAGAAACACTGTTGATATCATCATATGTATTTTTTAAATTTAGTTTCCGTGTAGAGAGCTTATTGAGATGCTTGTTTTGGCTATTGGAAGTGAGATCTTACAGGATCTCACAGCTAGTTATGAAACATGATAGGAAATGGGTAAGGAATAACAATACTAGACTTCAGCAAAAACTTTTATTATAGCTAAAAACTACGAGGGAGAAAAGCCCACACTCTACCTTCTGTAACATACGACTATTGACACATACAAATAACATAACGGAAAAATAATCACAAATTAAAGCTCAGCCCTCACCAGGTTTTATTTGTTTTTGTGTGGTGTGTTTTTTCCAGCTCTCATCCAATGATCGTTCCATAGTCTGATAGTTCCTGCTCTTGAGAAGTCAACTTTAAGTCTGACAGGACGACATTTATGGGATGTAGCATCAAAGATACTGTTCATTCCAAAATAAAGTGTTAGCCTTTAGGGCTGTGGGGGAGGGGAGCAGCTGTGGTCACTCATCTAGAAAGACTTGTTGGGGAAGGAGAATGTAGAGCAGAGTTAACAAGGAAAAAAAGTATGGAAACAAGCCTTTTTTTTTTTTTTCAATCTTTTTTGTTGAAGGTTATATATATTTCCCCTTCCCTCTCCCCATTGATCTCTTCCTCCCTGCCCCCCTCAGGCCTTCACCATCCTATTATCTGTGTTCTTGGGTTATGCATCTTTTTTGGTTGATCTTTTTCCACCCACCCCCACCTTCCCTCTGAGATTCCAGTCTGTTCCATGCTTCTATGTCTGAATCTATTTTGTTCATCAGGTTTTTTTTTGTTTGTTTGTTTTTGTTATATTCCACATATGAATTGAGATCATGTGATACTTGCCTTTCTCTGACTGGCTTATTTTGCTTAGCATAATACTCTCCAGGTCCCTCCATACAGTCTCAAAGGGTAAGAGATCCCTCTTTTTTACTGCTGCTTAGTATTCCATGGTGTAAATGTACCACAACTTTTTTTTATCCATTCATCTACTAAGATACGGGCTGTTTCCATATTTTAGCTATTGTATATTGTGCTGCTATAATATGAACATAGGAGTGCATACATTTTTTTTCAGTTGGTGTTTTGGGTTTCTTAGGATATAGTCCTAGAATTGGGGTTACTGGGTCAAATGGCAGTGCCATATTTAATTTTTTGAAGGGAACTGCATACTGTTTTCCATAATGGCTGCACCAGTCTGTGTCCCATCAGCAGTGTACTACTAGAGTTCCCTTTTCCCACATCCTCCCCAGCACTTGTCATTTGTTGATTTGTTTTCTTGTCAATCCTCACCTGAGGATAAGTATCTATTGATCATTTTTTTTTAAGATTCATTTATTTATTTTTATTGATTTTTAGAGAGGAAGGGAGAGGGAGAGAAAGAAATATCAAGGATGAGAGAAAATCATGAGTCAGCTGCCTCCTGCACACTTCCTACTGGCCTACTGAGGATTGAGCCTGAAACCTGGGCATGTGCCCTTGACTGGAAATTGAACCTGGGACCCTTTAGTCTACAGGCCAATGCTCTATTCACTGAGCCAAAACAGCTAGGGCAATTTGTTGATTTGTTGATCACAGCCATTCTAACCAGTGTGTGGTGATGCCTCATTGTCGTTTTAAGTTGCATCTCTCTGATGATTGGTGACTTTGAACATTTTTTTATAGGTCTCTTGGCCATTTGTATGTTCATTTCGGAGAAGTGTTTATGTAGATCCTTTGCCCATTTTTTTAAATATATATTTTTTTATTGATTTCAGAGAGGGAGGGAGAGGGAAACATAGAAACATCAATGATGAGAGAATCATTGTTCAGCTACCTCCTGCACATCCCTACCGGGCATCGAGCCTATAACTTGGGCATGTGCCCTGACCAGGAACGAAATAGTGATCTCCTGGTTTAAAGGTTAACGCTCAAACATTGAGCCAGGTCAGCTGGAAATATATATATATATTTAAATATATTTTATTGATTTTTTACAGAGAGGAAAGGAGAAGGATAGAGAGCTAGAAACATCGATGAGAGAAACATCGATCAGCTGCCTCCTGCACACCCTCCACCAGGGATGTGACCGCAACCAAGGTACATGCCCTTGACCGGAATCGAACCCTGGACCTCTCAGTCTGCAGGCCAATGCTCTATCCACTGAACCAAACCAGTTTCGGCTGAGAATATTTTTTTATTACTTGTTTTCCTTTTGTTAAATTATATGAGTTTCTTATATATTTTGGATATTAATGCTTTATCAGATGTACCATTGCCAAATGTTCTTCCATACAGTGGGCTCCCTTTTCTTTTCTTTTTAAAAAAATATATTTTATTGCCGAAACCGGTTTGGCTCAGTGGATAGAACGTCAGCCTGCGGACTGAAAGGTTCCAGGTTCGATTCCAGTCAAGGGCATGTACCTGAGTTGTGGGCACATCCCCAGTGGGAGATATGCATGAGGCAGCTGATCAATGGTTCTCTCTCATCGATGTCTCTATCTCTCTCTTTTCCTCTCTGTAAAAAATCAATAATACATATATATATATATATATATATATATATATGTATTATTGATTTTTTACAGAGAGGAAGGGAGATGGATAAAGAAAAACATCAATCAGCAGTCTCCTGCACACCCCCTACTGGGGATGTGCCCGCAACCAAAGTACATGCCCTTGACCAGAATCGAACCTGGGACCTTTCAGTCTGCAGGCTGAAGCTCTATCCACGGAGCCAAACCAGTTTTGGCCAGTAGGCTCCCTTTTCATTTTGTTGATGGTTTCTTTTGCTGTGCAGAAACTTTTTAAGTAGTTCCATTTGTTCATTTTCTCCTTAGTTTTTTCTCTTGCCCTGGGAGATATATCTGCAAACATATTACTAAGGAGATGTCTGTGATTTTGCTGCCTTTGTTTTTTTTTCTAGGATTTTTATGGTTTCATGGCTTATGTTTAAGATTTTTATCCATTTTGAGTTTATTCTTGTGTATGGTGTAAGTTAGTGGTTTAGTTTCATTTTTTTTTTTTTTTGCATGTATCTGTTTAATTTTCCCAACATCATTTATTGAAGAGACTGTCTTGATTCCACCTGTATGCCCTTACCTCCTTTGTCAAATATTAATTGAGCATATGTCTCAGGTGGATTTCTAGGGTCTCTGTTTTGTTCCATTGGTCTATATGCCTGTTCTTGTGCCAGTACCATGCTGTTTTAATTACAGTGGCTTTGCAGTATAACTTGTTATCTGGTATTGTGATCACTCGAACTTTGTTCTTTTTTTCTCAAGATTGCTGAGGCGTATTCGGGGTCTTTTTTGTTTTCATATACATTTTTTTAGTATTTGTTCTTTTTTTAAAAAAATATATTTTTTATTAACTTTTTACAGAGAGGGAGAGGGATAGAAAGCTAGAAACATCGATGAGAGAGAAACATCGACCAGCTGCCTCTTGCACACCCCCCACCAGGGATGTGCCTGCAACCAATGTAAATGCCCTTGACCGGAATCGAACCCGGCACCTTTCAGTCCACAGTCCGACGCTCTATCCACTGAGCCAAACCAGTTTCGGCTAGTACTTATTCTTTCTTTCTTTCTTTTTTTTTTTTTTAAATATGTTTTATTGCCGGGACCGGTTTGGCTCAGTGGATAGAGCGTCGGCCTGCGAACTGAAAGGTCCCAGGTTCGATTCCGGTCAAGGGCATGTACTTTGGTTGCGGGCACATCTCCAGTATGGGGTGTGTAAGAGGCAGCTGATCAATGATTCTCTCTCATCAATGTTTCTAACTCTCTATCCTTCTCTCTTCCTCTCTGTGAAAAATCAATAAAATATATTTAAAAAAAAATATATGTTTTATTGATTTTTTTACATAGAGGAAGGGAGAGGAGAGCTAGAAACATCAATGAGAGAGAAACATCGACCAGCCGCCTCTTGCACACCCCCTATTCCAGACATGCCCGCAACCAATGTAAATGCCCTTGACTGTTATTGAACCCGGGACCTTTCAGTCCACAGATTGACGCTCTATCCACTGAGCCAAACCAGTTTCGGCAATTACTTGTTCTTGATCTGTGAAATATACTATTGGTATTTCAATAGGAATTGCATTGAATCTATAGATTGCTTTGGGTAGTATGAACATTTTAATTATGTTAATTCTACCAACCCATGAACACAGTATATTTTTTCACTTGCTTCTCTCTTCCTCTATCTCTCTCTCTCTTTTTTTTTTTTTTTTTCAACATCCTGTGATTTTCCGAGTACAAGTCTTTTACCTTTTTGGTTAAGTTTATTCCTAAGTACCTTAATTTTTTATTCTTTGTCAGGGCACATGCCCAGGTTTCAAGACACATCCTCATTTAGGGGGCATGCAGGAAGCATCTCTCATCAATATTTCTCTCCCTCTCCTTTCCTCTCTCTCTAAAATCAATAAAAACAAATCTTATAAAAAGTATGACAGAGCCAAAACCGATTTGGCTCAGTGGATAGAGCATCGGCCTGCGGACTCAAGGGTCCCAGGTTTGATTCTGGTCAAGGACATGCACCTTGGTTGCAGGCACATCCCCAGTAGGGGGTGTGCAGGAAGCAGCTGATCGATGTGTCTAACTCTCTATCCCTCTCCCTTCCTCTCTGTAAAAAAAAAAAAAAAAAAAAAAAAAAAAAAAAATCAATAAAATATATATTTTTAAAAGTATGACAGAAATGTGAGGCAATATAGAGAATAAGTATTTACACATTTTATTTGCATCTTGAAAACAAACACAAAGAAAACGCACGTTTGCATTTCCGTTTAACAGAACACTGAGAGCCAGATACAGTCCTAAAGTCATGTAGCTAGACTGAACACTTGCTGGAACTTCAAATCTTAAGCTCTTTTTATTGCGCATTATATAGGAGCAAGAGAGAGCTGAGAACATTTGATGCGGTTATTCAAGGGCCAGTTCTGGGATCTTTGAACATGAGAGGAGGTGACATCTGAGTAGAGCTGAGTGGGGCCCAGTGGCAGGGAGAGGCTGCATGTACACTGAAGGTTTGGTAATTCCTGCTTAAGGAGAGAGAAGAAAGGCCTTGGACTGCCAACCCAGCTATTCCCTTTGATCATACTGGGCGGGAAGAATGAGACCGGTTTGGCTCAATGGATAGAGCGTCGGCTTGGGGACTGAAGGGTCCCGGGTTCGATTCCGGTCAAGGGCATGTAACTTGGTTGCGGGCACATCCCCAGTAGGGGGTGTGCAAGAGGCAGCTGATCGATGACTCTCTCTCATCGATGTTTCTAATTCTCTATCTCTCTCCCTTCCTCTCTGTATAAAATATATTAAAAAAAAAAAAAAGTGTCAGAAAGGCTGATTTTTAAAATATATATATATATATTATTGATTTTTTACAGAGAGGAAGGGAGGATAAAGTTAGAAACATCATGGGAGAGAAACAGGCAGACCAGCTGCCTCCTGCACACCCCCACCAGGGATATGCCCACAACCAAGGTACATGCCCTTGACCAGAGTCGAACCTGGGACCCTTCAGTCCCAGGCCGACGCTCTATCCACTGAGCCAAACCGGCTAGGGCGAAAGGCTGAGTTTTAATGGTAACTCCCAGAGTTTTAAGGAAAGTGCAAAGTCCTGAGTGCGACTTATGGTTCTTCTTTACGTCTCGCTGCTCGTCTAGCCCAGATGGGTTAAACAAGCGACAGGCCAGTCAGCAAGGAACCTAGAATACTGCTTCGCCGCCATTTGCTTCGTTCCCACAAAAGACTACCAGGACCAGAATGCCACGGTGCGCAGCACAAACGCTGTGAGATTCTATTCCGGGGAGCCGCCCGCTGCGCCACTCACCCTGGGAGACTACAAGGCCCAGCAAGCACCTCGCGCGCCTGAGTCTGCGCCTGCGCCGCCCCGCCCCTCCGGCTGTGGGAAACCGGGCCCCGCGGCCGGCCCGCGCCCGGGAGCCTTCGCTGGGCAAGATGGCCGCGCCGGGAGCCACAGGGGAGGCGAGGGGCTGCTAGGGCCGCCCTGCCCTGGCATTGAACGTCTTGGCTCTTCTCGCCCTGGCCATGGGGACCTCCCAGGAGAGCCTGTGACCTGCGGTCCCCCCGGCATTTCGCAGTTGTGACCTGGAGCTTCCGGGAGGGCTGCAGGGGAAGCGCCTCCTGGGCGCTCTGACGGAGGCGCGAGACCAGTGACGCCGTCTCCCCGGTCCGGCAGCGCGACCCTGAGCGCTCCATGCCTGCGGGCGCGGGGAGGCACGGCCTCCCCCCGGGCCGCCGCCTCTGCTGGCTGCTCTGCGCGCTCGCCTTCCAGCTCAGGTGAGGAGGCTGAGCCGGGGAGCGCGGAGGGCACGGAGGTGGGATGGTCCCTGCCCTCGGGGATGGGGAGAGGGTGTCCCGCGGCCGCGCGGCGGAGGGGTCCCCGTGGGCCGGCTTCTGACCTTTGCCCCTTCCGCCCTGTCCCGCAGCCAGGCAGCGGCCCCCGTGCGGGAGGAGAAGCTGTCAGGTGGGTGCCGCTCTGGGAACCCCGAGCCCCGGGCCGGGGCTGTTGTTTGACACTCTCCCACGAACCAAGAGCGCAGGTGGGAAGGGTGGCACCGCGCGGAATGAGGGCGTTCATTGCGCTGGGAGAGGGATGGGCAGGACCCCGTGAGATCTGGGGCTGGCGCTCTCCCCTTACAGTGAGCGCCGCGAGTTTGCCGTGCTGGATGGTGGAAGAGTTCGTGGTGGCAGAGGAGTGCGCCCCGTGTTCTAGTTTCCAGGCTGTGAGTATCGGTTTCCGCCCTCTTTTTCCTCACATCTAATCAGTCCCTACATCTTTTTTTTTTTTTTTTTATCTTGACCAATACGAAAGTTCATTTAACCAAAGTTCAATATGAAAATGTACAAGACCTGATTTTTATATTGTAGACAGCAGGTGCTATCTATCGATAGAAAGACACGGGGAAGCAGTTGATTTCTCGGATGAACACGGCCATTCTTCACGCTCATGCCAAGGCTGCTAACGTGACACCATTTCCTCGCATTACCACCATCCCACAGGGACCTGGTGCCCGCCGTGGCCATCTTCACACATTCGTCTATCACGAGATTCATAAAGGGGTCAAATCCTGGCAATATTCCTTGGACATATCTGTTACCATTTAATTTTTATTTATTTATTTTTAATGCCCAAAGTATTGATTTTAGAGAGAAGAGGGGAGGGAGAGGGAGAGAGAGAGAAACCTTGATGTGACGTGGAACCTGAAATCTGGATATGTGCCCTGACCCAGAATGGAGGGAACCTGCCTCCTTTGTGTGTATGGGATGACACCCCAACCCAGCCGCACTGGCCAGGCAGCCCCCGTTTAATTTCACCGATAACTTCTTGTCCATCAATATTTTTACCTCGGGGTGAGCTTTGCTCATGGGCGTCTACTCAGCGAGCTCAAAGATACTTCCAAATGAAACTTGTGGCTTCTCTCACGCTTCCACCTCAGTCCCTAAGACTTACTAAGTATGCCTTGGCATTTTCTTTTATCTTTTTCCTTGTATGTGTCCAAATGGGAACTCGTCTTCCCCTGTAAATGTGCCCTTTTCTTTCCAAGCTAATGGCAACTTTCAGTTAATCACCATGCCCTGTTCATGTTTAACCCAGTAGGCTCTGGGACTGTCCACGCCTCGATGGCTTTGGAAATATTCTTTCTAACACATATTCCTAATCGTGCAGCCACCACCGCCACCATCCCCATGAGAACTCCTCATGAGCTACCCACCAGTTCTGCGCCATAGCACTCGGGCCCCTTCTGGGTAGCAGCCTTCCCGCTTCTCCTCTTGCCCCTTCCTAACATGTGTGCTTCGGTCCTTCTCTCCTGGCAGAAAACCACCCCTGAGTGTGGTTCCACAGGGTACGTGGAGAAAATCACGTGCAGCTTATCTAAGAGGAATGGGTTCAAAAGGCAAGTGCTGTTTCTCTTCTTGAAACCTCCTGGATCACCTCCTTTGCTCCTGTGACCTTAGGCCGATAGTCCCGCCTCTTCCTCTTGGTTTGGAGACAGGATGGCACATTGGAAAGAGGAAGGGATTTGGAGCCAAATTAGTCCAAATCCCAATTCTACTCCTCAGTGCTACATGAATGGCCATACCTTCTCCTTAGTCGGGTTGTTTCATACCTGCTCTGCTTACCTCACCAGAAAATAAGCTGAATGGGGTATTGGAGTGGAGTTTATGCACTGTGAGCACAGTAGACTGGCCTTGGCTTTCTCTTTTCCCCTCGGATGTTGTATCTTGGTTAGGCTGAAGGAGAAGGGAGGCTAGAGGGAGAGGCTGTCCGGCCTTCCCTCAACTAACTGTTTCTTCCTACCCTCAGCTGCCGCTCGGCTCTGATGGAACAACACTTATTCTGGAAATTTGAAGGGGCTGTCATGGGTGTAGCCTTGGTCTTCGCTTGCCTTGTCATCGTTCGTCAGCGACAGCTGGACAGAAGGGCTCTGGAAAAGGTCCGGAAGCAAATCGAATCCATATAGCTACCTTCTACCCTCTCATCTGGGTCTTAAAGACCTCCTCCGACAGAGAAAGCAGAATGGACTTATTTGTGCCCCTGGTATTTTGGGGACTGGGAGAACAAACAAACAAAAAACCCTTCCATCTTCCTCGTCTAGGTCATTGATGAGCAGAATAAAAAAGAGTAAAATAAGTTTTCCTTTTCTATTCTGATTTGATTTTGGGCAGGAAGACATGAAGGGAGAGAGGGAAATGGGGTGGCAACTTTAGCCCCCACTTTACCAAGTACATATCTTCCCTCTCTTCTACTACTTAATTAAAACTCTGGGAGAGCCGAAACCGGTTTGGCTCAGTGGATAGAGCGTCGGTCTGTGGACTGAAGGATCCCAGGTTCGATTCCCATCAAGAGCATGTACATTGGCTGTGGGCACATCCCCAGTGGGGGGTGTGCAGGAGGCAGCTGATCAATGTTTCTAGCTCTCTATCCCTCTCCCTTCCTCTCTGTAAAAAAATCAATAAAAATATATTTAAAATAAAATAAAACTCTGGGATAAAATTTCAGCAAAAAAAGTTTATTTCTCAGCAAAAACCTCTATTTCCCTCAACCCTACTTCCAAAGAAGAAATAAAATCACAGGTACATAATGGAAGTATTTGTGGTGCCACCTCACCTAGACAGACTGGGCCTCAGGGTACAGACATCTAGGTGTAACCCTGAGGCCAAAGAGCCCTGAGTGGGAATCCCAGGGGAAAGCAGAGCCGGGAGCCCTGGGTTCCTTATGGGACTGAGCGGTGGGCTAGGAAGTGCTCCAGCTCACATCTCATCTGCATGTAGCACAGTTCTGACGAGCCCACCGGGGCCTGGCTTCCCTCCTGTCTTCTCAAGCAGTGTCCTCGTGGAGCCATTTGCACTCTTGACTCCAGGTGGCCCCCCCAATCTGGACTCTACCTCTGGAGTCTCCCAATTTTTTGTTACGTCCTTGTGAATCAGGATGTTTCTGGAAATCACTGTGCGGTGAAGGAAAAAGGGCAGTAATAGAGTGCTCCTTTGGGTGGAAATTACTAGACAGGATAGGCCCTTCCTCTCCCCCCTCCCCGTCCCACCTCTTGACTACCTGGAGAACACACCACGTGCTCACCAGGTCAAAAGTCCTGCCCTGCCCTGCCCTTGCCTCTCACCTCCATGAGGCTGGTAATCCTCAGACCCAGCTTCTGGTAGACCTTGAAAGGGGCTGAAACTGGGCAGGATGATGAGAGCCAGGGAAAAAAGGAGGATCTAGAGGAAGCAAGAAGACACTTGAGCTGTAGGGACAACAAAATAAGGGAACAGAGGGCAGTTGGAGCTGTTGGGGATGGGAAGATTCGTATGGCTTGGGAGTAGGGGAATCAGGATGGAAGTGTGTCAGGAGGTGGTGGAAGTGGGAGATGGGAAATATAATAGACTGGTGGTACCAGAACACAAGTGCTGGTCTGGGCAGCTTTGTTGGAAGTTTGAGTATTGAGCATCTGCAGCTGGCGGAGTTGAGTCACCAGGGACCTGGGAAAGGAGGAAGGATGAGTTAGATCTGGGGACGAGGGTCCAAGAATGGTGCCCCTGTATGTTGCATACTCCCCCACCACCACCAATGTGCGCACTATGCTTTCACTCACATGTTGTGCCTCTCCAGCTCCTGGATTTTTTTCTGTAGTTCCTGGTTCTGTACAGAACAGGCAGCCACCCTGAGGAGTGTGGGAAGGCAGGACAGGGTTCTTCCATTATGTGCGTCCTTGGCCTTACCTACCTTGGCAGGAAGAGGGCCCAGGCCTGGCCCCCAAGCCGGAAATGGGAGTTCAAACATACTTGCTCTCTAGTCCCTCGATGTATTCTTTCTTCCTCCGCCGACTGTCCTGAGCTGACTGCTTGTTACGGATTTTCCTCCTGACCTTCTTGAGGACCCTCTCCTCTGTCTGGGGCCGCAAGGTGTATCAGTCCTGGGCCCTTCACTTATCCCCGTGCCCCAACTGCCCCCTGGGATCCTGGCTGTTCAGAGCCGTGGTGGGCTGCTGGGTTGGGAAGCCCTTTGGGGAAGCATGTTACCTTGGTGAGGGGCAGGTGAGAGGGCAGGGAGACCCCTTCCTGTCCCAGCAGATGCTTCTCCTCATCCGTGAGGAACAAGGTTTGACAGGGTAGCTGGTGGGGCACAAGAGATGAGAGTTGGGAGAGGGTCATTCCATTTTTAGCACCCAGGCTGCTCCCCCTGCACGCCTTCTATAGTGTGTTTCCCATTTGCACTGAGGACTAACTAACCAGGAAATGAAGGGAGGCAGGGACTTTAATTCAGACAGGCTCTGGGTCATACCCAAAGGGACCTCCTGAGGCTAAGCTGGAGAGAAGAGGTGGTTTGTCATACCCTCTGACCACAGTCTCTGATCCACATCTCCCCAAACATTAGGGGTATTTGAAGAGAATGTGGAGTAGCTCATTAAGGATGAGTTTGTTCACTCTTCAGCAGGCAAATGACTCACTTTTAGCTATTAACTTCCTGTTTGGCAGCGTGTGTTATCCAGTCACCTGTCAATCCCAGTGAGCTCCCTGGGGCAGTGGCCCATTCTCCCCTAGGGTCTGATCCCCACTTTTCGACTTAAAGCTCTGTCCCCTGTCAGACAAAGAACTAAAGAAAAGAAGTATGTAGGGAGGGTAGATAGTGTCTGGTTAATGTGAGTCTATCAACTGAATGACTTGCCTTTCTAATTCCTTTTTGAAAAATGTTTGCTTTACTTTGTGACTTAGGAATTTGCATTTGCTTTTGCCCCCGATATTCTTTGGCTTTTAACTAACCATTCTTACTGTCTCTGCTTTTTCTGATGCTCCCTTCTTGTGTTTGTGACTATTTGGTGGAAGTATATTAGAGGGGTGTCCCTCCCAACCCACCGAATCAAAATCTGAGAGAATGAGGCCCAGAAGGTTTTATTTAAAAAAACAAAACCACCCCAGCTGGTTTGGCTCAGTGGATAGAGCATCAGCCTGCGGACTGAAGGTCCTGGATTTGATTCCAGGTTGTGGGCTTAATCCCCAGGAGGGGATGAGCCGGAGGCAGCCAATCAATGATTCTCTTCATCATTGATGTTTCTATTTCTCCCTTTCCCTTCCTCTCTCAAATCAATAAAAATATTAAAAAATATATTAAGCAAAACCACAAATTCCCCACAGTCAGATTTAGACGTATCAAACTTTTGAAGGTCCCTCAACCCAAGATTTTAAGATGCTTGGCTTGGCTGCTGGTCCAGCTTCAAGCACAGATTTGCAGGGAGGCTAGAACCTGCATGCAACAAGTTCTTTCCAGGATACAGGCAGGTTCCCTTCTTCACCCCCTGGAGGAAGCAGACCAGACAGCTTTGAAAAGTTATCTGATGTGTTACTCCCCCGTCACCCCATGCAGTGGGTGCCTGCTAGACGATTGTTCCAGTGGAAACATAAATGCAGTGGTTTCTCTTACTCCCTGTGCCCAGTCACCAGTTCAGTTCCCCCAGGTGGCCTGTCCCATTTCTGCGTCCTGACCTGAGACTGAGACAATAGCTGAGCAAACAATGAACACAAGGTTTGGCCTTTCTCTGGAGCCCTACCCCTGGATTCTCTCACCCCACCTTTTCCCCGAGTGAGTCGTCATCACCTTACTCCCAAGTGTTTCTGTCTCACCCTTTCCTGCTTTTCGATTGCCCAAGTCTGCCCTGGCTGTATAGCTCAGCTGGTTCGAGCTTTGTCCCTCTACGCCAAAGGTTGCAGGTTCAATCTCCAGTCAGGGCACATACATATAAAAAACCAGGCATGAAAGCATAAATAAGTGGAACAAATCAATGTTTCTCTCTCAAATCAATAAAAATTAAAATTAATTAATTGCCATGTCTCCCTGGCTTTCAGGCCTGATGCCAAAAACATTAGGGCAAAGACAGAGTTCGGCATCAGTTTCCCCCTCCCTTACCCCAAAGTGTGCGGGTATGTATGTGTGTGTGTATCAGACCAACCCCAAGACTCACCAGGGCCGTGGGAAGCATTGGGTTTACGGTGGCTGCTCTGGGCAGGATGTGAGCATGAGCATCAAGGGGCACGTTGCTGACCATACAGGCATCAGGCATCACAAAAGGTGGGCTCCACTGATCTAAGGAAAACACAGTGACTGGAAGGCACACCGTGCTGCCAGGAGGGCCTGGGTAGTGGCACAGATTGGGGAAATGCCCTTAACCTGGGGCTAGGGCTGGATCTCAAGGGCCATTGTCCCCTTCCCACGTCCCACTACTGACCTAGCTGAATGGAGATGAACCCTACAGCCGGCCCAGCTTCCTCCTGCAGCTTCTCCAGGGCCTCTGCCTCATAAACAACTTCATAGAGGGCAGGAGAACTGGGTGCCCTGGGGACAGGGGGACTGTCTTGACGACCAGGGTGCTCAGAGGTCCCATTGTCACTGCCAGGAGATGCTTCTGAGCGGTACACTTCATTGGGATCGATGAAGAGCTTCGGGAAGTCTTCATGCTCACTCTCTTGAAGGCCCTACGTCAGAAGAGGGCATGTAGGTACACGGGGAAGAATTCTGGAAGTCCTTCCTGACATCACACCGAGATCCTTCATGCTTCAGTTTCAGTCCTTTCTGTCCTTGGACATGGGGATGGTTACAGTTTATGTCTATTCTAGGGGTACTGTCTCAGAGACCACTTTGCAAGTGATGGCTGAAGTCTCTTGGGCTTCTTCTCAGAGTTGTATTTCAACACCCCCCCACACTTCCTTTCAACATACTCACACAGGCATGGGCCCCCCTGGACTCCCAGCCTTGCGGCCCCTGTTCTTGCAGCAGAGTCCCTGGGTCTTCTGGAGGCGGACAGTGAAGTCCCAGCTCAAGGAAGGATCCCGTTAAGACATTATCTGGGGGCTCCAGCCACACATCCAGCAGGTCAGGGGTTCCGAAATCCATCCTGCAGGGAGGCATGTCGGGTGGGAGTGTTGCAGGGTGGTGGCATCTGCCCCTCTACTGCCCTTCTCCCCTCCCTGAGTCCTCTCTCCTCCCCCACCCTCCTCAGATTCTGGGTTCTGCTTGCTCTTCCATTTATCCCCCTTCCTCACCTGTACAGCTCCCTCACCTGTTACCTGGCGATCTCGCCTTGTCCTTATATCTGTGGTTCAGACAGACGTACAGGCCCCCGGGTTATTACCTGTTCTGAAGCTCCCAGCCCTGCCAAGCCAGCCCAGCCCGCCGAGCACCCCAAACAGTACACCTTTTCTTCCCTCCAGGATCTTGCATCCTGGACGGGCCCAGCCAAACCCCGCCCCCCGCCTGACACTAGGAAAGTGGGCTGCACCGAGTCGGGAGCCAAGGCAGAGGCGCTGGATCTGGGAGCAGAGGGCTCAGAGGCTGAGCGTCCAGGAACATGACCCGGGACAAACATCGGCAGCCTCGCCCTTCCTGCCTCAGTTTCCCCTAGCAATAGCAAATCCTCCTGGGGAGGCGCCTCAGGGCGGGACAGAGATGGCGGTGACTGCGGCACAGGTTGTTTGAGCGCCTGTTCTCCGGCCATCGATTTTACAAGAAGGAGAACAAGGCAGGGTTCGAAAACAAAGGCCGAAGAGTCCCCTGCGTTGCCAAGATTTGCAGAGGATTCCCCTCCTCCACCCTGTGGCGCTCACCCACACTTGCGTCTGATTGGAAACCGAAGACGTAGCGGTTTTGATGGGCAGAGCATGGAGCCAATGGGATTCTCGTCTGGACGCTGGCTCCGCAGTCACTGGCCAGAGCTGGCTGCCCGAGAGAAAATAAGGCCAATGGGGCCGGAGCCTTTGTGGGTCCCGTGGGGACTGGGTTCTGCCGGCGGAATAAAAGCCTGAAGATGAATTGTAGGGAAGGGCCGAAGTTGCGGGAATGTGGCTGTGGATAGCGGCTTGGTTTGGCTTGTCACCCATGTCATTGTTCCACCAGGCAGGGAGGAATTGCCCCGTTAGCCCAAGTGACAGAGCTTGGACTCCGCCGGCGGGAAGTCGCGCAATCGCGCGGTGTCAAAATCCGTAATCAGTGCATTCCGCTGCTGACGAAGAACGAAGAACGGCAGTTACACAAACACACAGGGACTGTTAACTGCGGAGGGAGAGAGAGAAACATCAATTTGTGGTTCCATTTGTGTATGCATTCATTCATGGGTTGATTCTTATGTGTGTGTGCCCTGACTGGGGACTGAACCCACAACTTTGGCACATGGAGATGACCTCCAACTGAGCTGCCCGGCCAGGGCAGGAATTCATTTTAAATGAAATAATGAGGCTATTGCCCTAGCTGGTTTGGCTCACTGGGTAGAACATCGGCCTGGGGACTGAAAGGTCCCAGGTTCGATTCCTGTCAAGGGCATGTACCGTGGTTGTGGGCACATCCCTAGTGTGGAGGGTGTGCAGGAGGCAGCTGATCGAGGCTGCTCTCTCATTGATGTTCCTAACTCTCTATCTCTCCCTTCTTTTCTATAAAAAAAATAATAAATATGTTTTACAAAAAAGAAATAATGAGGCTATAATAATATAGGTATTTTCATTTGCCTGCCTCCCTTTACTTCAGATAAAAACAGGAACGTTTGGGGTGTGGATTTGGAATTCAAACTGGTATTTGAAAGATGAAACAGAGGGGCCAGAGACAGGGATGCCAGGACACAGGCTTTGTTGGTGGAGAATACCTCTCCGGCCCCTCTGTTTCATCTTTCAGTATTATCATGAACATGTGAGTGGGCTGAAGGAAAAGACAGGAACAGGACCTGATATTTACTGGGTAACTCGGTAACTTTCTCAAGATTGCTCTGTAAGTAGCTTAACCAAACTTTACATGCCTGAGCCCATATTCCTTGCACTATACTAAACTACCTTGCTGGAATTTTCTCAAATTTCCCCCCCATCTTTTCTTGCTCATCCTACATCTTGTTCAAGTAGTGAAAAGACAAAGCAGGTTCCTGGGCAGATGCAGAGCTCTAAGGAAAACAGAAATGTCCCTGCTTAGATTTTTCCCAGAACAAGAAAGCTTTCAAAGGGTTTCCTTCCCACAGCATGTGCAGAGATGATTAAGTGGAAAATACAGTCGGTTTCCATTAATATTAGAACTGGAAGGAACTCTGGCATCATCTGCTGGTCTACCTTCTGTCTTCCACCAGATTCATCAAGCTCCCAAGAGGGACATTACTTGCCTAAGATCACACACCAAATTAAGGTAGAGCTGGAACTAGTACCTAGGTGTCCTGACTTCCAGTTCATGATCTTTCTTTCTTTCTTTCTTTCTTTCTTTCTTTCTTTCTTTCTTTCTTTCTTTTTAATTAAGGTATTATATGTGTACATATCTTTCCATTATGATTCTTTCTTTTTTTATTGATTAAAAAAAATATATTTTATTGATTTTGTACAGAGAGGAAGGGAGAGAGATATAGTTAGAAACATCGATGAGAGAGAGTCATCGATCAGCTGCCTCCTGCACAACCCCCACCGGGGATGCGCCCGCAACCAACATACATGCCCTTGACCAGAATCGAACCTGGGGCCTTTCAGTCCGCAGACCAACGTTCTACCACTGAGCCAAACCGGCTTTGGCATGATTCTTTCTAATAGTACTAATTATCAATAACCTTAAAAGCATAATTTGCTATAGACAAACCAGTGTGCATAATGGTCCCTGAAACAATTTGGAGTAGCTTCTAATAGTCATTATAATTAAGAGCTTAGAACAGTAATGATAAATGGGACACTAGTATCCCATTTCACTTACATCCTGATCTTAGAGCCTATATGATTCCTTCCTCCTAGTCTACATCCCTCAAGAAGTCCTCACAATCCTATCTAGTTTGGCTCAGTGGACAGAGCATGGGCCTGTGGGCTGAAGGGTCCCTGATTCAATTGCAGTCAAGGGCACATGCCTGGGTTGCAGGCTTTATCCCCAGTAGGGAGTGTGCAGGAGGCAGCTGATCAATAATTTTTTCATCATTGTTGTTTCTATCTCTCTTTCCCTCTTCCTTCCTCTCTGAAATCAATTTTAAAATATGTATATAGCCAAAACCGGTTTGGCTCAGTGGATAGAGTGTCGGCCTGTGGATTGAAGGGTTCGATTCCAGGCAAGGGCATGTACCTTGGTTGGGGGCACATCCCTGGTAGGGGGTGTGCAAGAGGCAGCTGATTCATGTTTCTCTTATCGATATTTCTAACTCTCTATCCCTCTCCCTTCCTCTCTGTAAAAAAAAAAAAAAATCAATAAAATATATATTTTTAAAAAATTATATATATATATATATATATATATATATATATATAAAGAAGTACTCACATTCCCTCTTTTCTTACGGAAGTTGCTGGCTTCATTTCCAAAGCCTTATTTATCAGGGGCATCATTTGGTCCCTTCTGTTGGCCATTGAAAGGTGAACATGATGGTGTGCACAGGCAGGCTAAATAACCATCTCAGAGGGTGGGTAAAGAAAAATAGAATTTATTTAAGGACAGGGGATGAGGGATGAAATACCCAAAGAGAAGGGCTGCACAGCACTGAGCTGAGGGCACATTGGGCGAGATGATGGTGGGGGCTGAGTCGGTGGGCAGTGGCTTGGAATGCAGATGGAATGCAGGTGTGTGATCATGTGTTCTGAGGACAGTTTCCGTTCCTTACATGGTCTGATTCCTGGTGTCCAGCAAGCTTTTCCTGGCCTTTGTCTCCTGTGGCGGGAAGGCTACAAATGGCGGTTACATTGCCCTGTAGTCCTAGCACAATGAGGCCTTTCCACCTCTGCAAAGAACAGGCTGAGCCCCCTTCTTTATTTTGCTTTGTCCTCTACTCTCCCATGAGGCTAGAAGAGGACTCTGGTAACACAAGGATGTGGGCCAAGAGGATACAACAAGACCCCAACTGCAAGGGAACATTTATTGGGTAAATTACAGAGGTAGAAAAAGTAATTCCTAGAAGAAAGAGATTTAGCAAACAAGTTCTAGAGATAAAGTTAGGGCCCTTGGAGCTTGGGAGTGAGGAACCTTATGGTAACTTATTGGGGATGGGGGATGGGGGGAGAAGGAGAGAAAGGGGAAGTCAGTGGCATGTTCCCCGGAGGGAGAGTGCACTGTCCTCCAGCCTGGGGGTTTTAAGGATGGAGATTTTAGGAAGGTCCCAGGGAAAGATCTTAATAAAATATTCAGTTGTGTCCTTTCAGGGTTGTGGTCTCCACTGATTCGATTGATTGGCCAACGCCAGACCTGATGTCAGCTGTGGCTGGTTTTGTTGCTTATCTGGACCTAGAGCTGAAAAGCAACTGAGGCCTAGATGTTATCTCTAGAGAGGAAAGGTCAAGAGATCCAAACCGCATCACCAGTGACAGGCTAGGGGAGGGGAAGTCACTCTGGGGGCGAGGTCCACCCTACAATTAATTATCCATTGCTAGGCACTTGCACTTTCCATCCTGGGGACCTTTTGTTGTAATCCTCACCCCAGGATATTTTTGCCTTGATTTTTAGAGGAAGCGTGAGGCGGGAGAGAGAAAGAGAAACATAGAAGTGAGAGACTTGGATTGGTTGCCTCCCGCCTGGTCAGGGCTGGGATTGAGCCTGCAACTGAAATATGTGCCCTTGGCTGGAATCGAACTCAGGACCCTTCAGTCTCTATCCACTGAGCAAACAGGTTTGGGCCCTGCTGACCCCTGGCCCATCGTCCTTGCTCTACTCATGTCTAATTGCCTGTAACACTAAGAAGGTTAGGGGTGCAAAGAAGGGGTCCAAGACCAGGCAGTCATAGCTCGAGAGGAGTAAGGCGGAAGACCAGGGACTGTAGGGTGCGTATGGGACAAGCAAGGTCCGCAATGGGCCAAGCAAGGTCCGCGAGGTTTCTAGCATGCTTTCTCTTCTTAATGTATCTTTTCGGAGAGGAAGGGAGAGGGAAAGAAAGATATAAACATCAATGATGAGAGAGAATCATTCCGCTACCCTAGGCCCTCCACCCGAATCGAACCCGGACCCTTCACTCTGCAGGCCGACGCTCTACCCACTGAGCTAAATCAGCGTAGGCCTCTAGCATTCTCTTTTAAAACGACCAGAAGATCAAAGCCTCTGTTGAGCAGCCAGCCTCTGCCCACCAGAACGCCGCCGCAGCGGCCGGGGCCCTCGGAGCCCCTAGACCTTCCCTCCAGCTCCTTCCCAGGCTCCAGCACATTTCCCCTGCTCTCCGCCTCCGCCGAGCTCCCGCTGCCCGCCTCTGATTGGCCCTCCGTCACGTCGCTCCGGCCTGGTCCCGCCCCCCGGGAGCATTCATTGGCCACGGGGGGCTGGGACGCGGCGGTGCGGGGGCGGGAGGGCGAGAAGAGTGCGGGGGGCCGGGGAGGAGGCGGGAATTCCCGCCCGGAGGCCGGAACCCGCGGCTGCCATGGAGTGAGCCCCTCGCGCGGTGAGTGCGGGGTTCCTGGGAGTGGGATTCCGGCCGCGCGCCCCGGCCTCCCCGGGGCCTGGCAGCTCACATTCTTTTTTCCGCTTCCCGGAACGCTGGCGGCCTCGGACCCCGCCTCCCGGAGCCTGGACTCCAGACGCCGCCCTCAGTGGTGGTGTCAGCCCGTCCCGGGACCCCAGACCCCGAAGGCCTGTGGTTGGAAGCGGCCTTTCTCCGTATCCGGGGTGGGGATGGCGCTGGGGCAGCGGGAGAGCGATCGAGCACCCCCCTCCCGGACTCTCCCTGTTTAGGGGGTCCACGGAGCTCCATCTCTGCACAGCCCCGAACCCCGCTTCGCCTGCCTCCCCCATTCCTTTCACGGAGGGGCCTGGCCTCCGCTTTCCTTCCCGGACCGCAGCTCCCCAAGTCCCTGGGAGCTCCGGGGGGAAGCGCAGTGAGCTGGCTGCACGGTCCGCATGCCTCTGTTTCCCCCCTGGCTGGGCCCTTGTCAGTCGCTTGGAAGGGGCCGAGGCCGGGGGGAAGGAGGACTGTCCCCAGGGCCGGAGCGGATGAGTCACGCTGGGAAGGTCAGAGAGCGGCCGGCGCGGGGGACTGCCTCCGCCGCCCGTCTCCCCTCACAGGACCATTCCCCCCGCGCGCTCTCCCCAGGCCTGAGAGTCCCCGGAGCAGCCGCGGCCGCCATGGGGCCCTGGGGAGAACCGGAGCTCCTGGTGTGGCGCCCAGAGGCGGTCGCCTCGGACCCCCCGCTGCCCGTGGGGCTGGAGGTGAAGCTGGGGGCCCTGGTGCTCCTGCTGGTGCTCACGCTCGTCTGCAGTCTGGTGCCCATCTGTGTGCTGCGCCGGCCCGGAGCGAGCCCCGAAGCCTCGGGTAAGGCGCTCCTTTCCTGGCTGCCAGGGATGCTTGGGGCAGGGAAGGCTGTGGGGCTGAGGAAGGGGGCTTAAGGAGGGGAAGGGGAGAGTGACCGCGTTGCTTGGGTTGGGTCTGGAGGGGGCTTCCCTTGGTTATTCCCCTCTGCCTTCGCTCCTGCCCAGCCTTTCGCCAGAAAGCCCTGAGCCTGGTGAGCTGCTTTGCCGGGGGTGTGTTTCTGGCCACCTGTCTCCTGGACCTGCTGCCTGACTACCTGTCTGCCATAGACGAGGCCCTGGCAGCCCTGCACGTGACGGTGAGCACCGGAGGGCTGCGTATGATGCTGTGTGTGTGTGTGTGTGTGTGTGTGTGTGTGTGTGAGTTGCATACCTCCTGGAGAGGTGGTTTGTGTGGATCTGTTCCTGTGTTACGCTCTGACTGCGTGGAAGGCTCTTGGATGTGAACCTGTGAATTATGGTTTTTAGTTACAAGGGCCTATCTTCTTTTGGGGTCCCCCCTGCCCCCCAGTCCCTGTGTGACCCTTTGAAACTGTGTGAGGAACCTTATTACCAGGTATATGACCTACTCTGTGGGTTTCTCAGTTCAGCCTCTGGGAAGTTAGCAGCGTTCCAAGAATCATCTTCCCGCCCTCACCGCTTTCCTGAGGGGTTGGAGAGAGAGGTCTGTGCGGGCTCTGGAGGCAATCCCAGGGGCTTGGTGCTGCTGACCAAAAAGGCCCAAAGAAGTAGGCTATGGGGAAGATCAGTTCCAAAGCATAGGGAAGTCTCCTGGGAAAAACTGAGACATTTCGGGGGTTGGGGAGAGTGTGGGGACGGCACCCTGCGGCTCTTCCTCTATTTCACTCAGACAGAGGAAGTAACACCGGGTAGAATCTGTGTCTGACTGAGTGACCTGTTTCTCCTTTTGACTTAAGTCTGAATGTTCTGCAACCGTGTGTGGCTGTGTGAGCATTTGGCAAGGTGGGAGAATGTGTGACTGTTTGTGTGCTTACATTTGACTTTTTTTTTAATTGATTTTTTACAAACAGGAAGGGAGAGGGATAGAGAGTTAGAAACATCCATCAGCCGCCTCCTGCACACCCCTACTGGGGATGTGCCCACAACCAAGGTACATGCCCTTGACTGGAATCGAACCCGGGACCCTTCAGTCCACAGGCTGACTTGACGCTCTATCCACTGAGCCAAACCAGTCAGGGCTTGACACTTTGTGTACATCTACATCAGTGATTCTGAATTGGGAGTATTTTGCCCTTCCCCCAAAAAAACATTAGATAACGTGGAGACACTTTTGGTTGTCCCATCTTAGGGAGGGAGGACGTTGTGCTGCTGCTGACATCTAATGGTTCGAGGCTAAGGAGCCTGTCCACAGAACAGCTCTCCACAACAAAGATTTATCTAGTCCCAGATGTTAATAGTGCCAGAGTTGGGAAATCTTAGTTTCCATGTACCACTGTGACACCAGGATCTGTGTGATTGTGTGTGTGTCATTCTGTGTCTGTGTGACCAACAGTGGCCCATGTGTCTGTGTGGGACCCCATGTCTGTGTACCTGGGACTTCACTGGACTCTGCTCCTGACTCGTGTTCCCCATACTTGGTCTGTCTCTTGCACTCCCACAGCTTCAGTTTCCCCTACAAGAGTTTATCCTGGCCATGGGCTTCTTCCTGGTCCTGGTGATGGAGCAGATCACGCTGGCGTACAGGGAGCAGTCGGTGCCACCGCCTCGAGAGGAGACGAGAGCGCTGCTGGGAACAATGAATGGTGGGCCGCAGCACTGGCACGACGGCCAAGGCTTCCCACAGGCCAGCGGAGCTCTGGCAGCTCCCTCAGCCCTGCGTGCCTGTGTGCTGGTCTTCTCCCTGGCTCTGCACTCGGTGTTCGAGGGGCTGGCAGTGGGACTGCAGCGAGACCGGGCTCGGGCCATGGAGCTGTGCCTGGCTCTGCTGCTCCACAAGGGTATTCTGGCCGTCAGCTTGTCCCTGAGGCTGCTGCAGAGCCACCTGCGAGCAAAGGTGGTGGCTGGCTGTGGCATTCTCTTCTCATGCATGACACCTCTGGGCATCGGGCTGGGTGCGGCTCTGGCACAGTCAGCTGGCCCACTGCACCAGCTGGCCCAGTCTGTGCTGGAGGGCATGGCAGCCGGCACCTTTCTCTATATCACTTTCTTGGAAATCCTGCCCCAGGAGCTGGCCACTTCCGACCAGAGGATCCTCAAGGTCATTCTGCTCCTATCAGGCTTTGCCCTACTGACTGGCCTACTCTTCATCCAAGTCTAGGAGGCTCTCAGAGGGGTAGGGGGAGATTGGGAACCAGGTGCCCTTGAACCCACTTTCCCTCTTCAGGAATGGGGAAGGGACGTATTGAGGTCCAAAGAGTTCTGAGAGGTGAGGATGGAGCTTTTGGGACAATCTGACCAATGGGAAGGAAAGAAGTGGGTAGACAAAAGTCTGATCCCCAGGCTCAAGGGACAAGGCATGATCAAGTCACTAGAGACATGATCAAGACACATTAGTATAGGGAAGACACTGAGCACTAGAATTGGGCAGACACTACCCAGAGACAGCTGACACTGGGGAGGCTTTGGGATGGAAGTAGAGAGGACGCAGACCCAGTCACACAGTTCTCTTGTTTCTAGCCCATTTCAGCCCTCTGTCATGTGGAGTGGATCCCTCCCTAATTTTCTCACTCCTACCCTCACAGCTTTCTCCTTTCCTTCACCCAAGACACTAGTGCCAAGTGGCCTCTTTCTGCCAGTATTGGAACCTTCTCTGGCTTCTCCAGTTCTGCCCACTCTATTTTTAAAGTGCCAAATAAAATGCCCTCCCTCTTTCTCAAAGCACAGTGATGCACTGAGCCCTTGCTCAGCACTTCAGTGAAGGGGTCCTTTTGCTCCTTATTTTACTCCCAGATTCTGAGGTGGGGCAGGAATGTTTGTTGAGTTGGAGTGGAGGGAGGGTTGGCAGATCCGAGGGCCCTACCATTGCTGCACTCTAGGAATACTGAACATGGATATATGGTGCCCCATATGCCACAGGTGATAAACATTGAGCTGCCAAAACTTTTTATATCATAGAAGCCCAAGGGGGGATGGGGAATGTTCACCCCCAGGGTTAGTGGGGATGGGGGAGAGGGGCTGGGCACAGGGCCATATTCTCTAGAATCTATTTTACTTACTGATCTGTTTTGGTATATGTTCCCCAAATAAAAGATGTTTCTCTACATCTGTATGGAATCTGATCCTTTTGTATTGGGAAAGAGTGGTGGGCATGTGGCTAGCCTGAGGGCCGGAGTCCCAGATGTTTACAGTTGTTTTATAATAGTAGTCTCCCCCCTGGTCTTACCGTTTTCATTCAGGCTCTCTTACCCTTCCCTGAAGATGACATTTTCCCTTTTTTGTCCCTTCTTCCCTCCCTGCCTCCACCCCTTCCCTTTCCTCTCTTTTTCCTTTCTTCTCTCCTTACTCCCTCTCCCCTTCGCTTTCCTAGGCTCCGGGCTAATGTAAAACTACTCTTCCCAGCTTGCCCCGCGCAGGGAGGAGCCGAGTGGGAGGAGCAACGCCCTCAGTATCCCTAGTCAACGGGGCTGCTGGGAGTTGGTGTCCATTTCCTTTCCGCGCTGCGTGGTCGGGGCTGCGAGGGGGTCACGTAAACAAACTACAATTCCCGGAAGGCCTCGCGCGCCACAGGTCAGGGCTAGGCTGGGGCCGGGTTCGCGGTGCTCGCTGAGACGGCGGCTGCGGCGGCGGCGGCGGCTACCGGTGGAAGACCCGTTCGGGAGCCCGCGGCGGAGGCCGGGGCCGGTGCTGGGAGGGTGGCGGGGAGGGTCGGAGGGGGAAGATGGCGACGTCGGGGGCGAACGGGCCGGGCTCGGCCACGGCCTCGGCTTCCAATCCACGCAAGTTTAGTGAGAAGATCGCGCTGCAGAAGCAGCGTCAGGCCGAAGAGACGGCGGCCTTCGAGGAGGTGATGATGGACATCGGCTCCACCCGGGTGAGGGGCCGCGCCGGGGAGCCGAGCGGAGCGGGGAGCCGAGAGGCGGGGCGGGGGCGGGAGCCGCTGCCAAAGAGGCGGATCGGGGCCGCCGCCGCCGCCGCCGCCGTCTGGGATGCGCGGGTGGCGGGCCGGGGGGCAGGAAGAAGACGGATTTTGCGGGGGGTGGGGAGGCCGAAACACCAGTGAGGTCGGAAGTTTGGGACGGACTGGGGGGCTCAGTGAGTAAGGAGAGCGAGGAGGGAGGAGACCGTTCGCTGGAACCCGGCGGAGGTGGGTGCTCGTTGTGCATCTCTGATTGAGTCCTCTCCGGGATTCCTTCCACTGAAGCATCCCCGGGGTCGGGCTGTGGGTTGGGAGGATGGTCTGCTTGCCTTCCTCTGTCTCCTCTGTGGGTAATCTCCTCCAACTGGTCCTTCTGCCCTCTTGGCCGCTCGGCACTCCAGTTCCTCTGGGAAAGGGCCCCCTGAGGGGTTCGAGCCGCAGCGCTGGGTAGAGTGGAGCAGGAAGTCCCCTCCTGCGTCCCGTCCCTCTGCTTCCTTTTTCAAATACTTCTTGTGGTTTCCTGACGTGAATGAAGGTGAGGTCCATTGCTCACAGACTGGTGCTGGGTGTTTTGCCCCGGTGGCCGCCTTGAAGGAGAGGCAGGGCTTGGAATCCTGAAACCGGGAGCCAAGGGCTATAGGTTGTGTGGCATCGGATGGTCCGCTGGGCTTTCTGGGGCCATGGCTGCTCTGCGGGCCAGTTATGGGTTGGCTTGGAGGGTCCTCTATGTGTAGGGAATATTAATTCCTACGAAGATCCAGGAAAAAAAGGAAAAGGAAAAAAAAAAGGCATCCTGGCAGAAGTTGCCTCTGGAACCTTTTCTTCGGCCTTGATGTCTTGCTACCAGCGCTGGATGTGTGAGGGAGTGCGGGGTGGGAGTTTGCCCAGCTGACATGCAGTCCTAATTCAGGGAGGCATTGTTCTCAGAACAGCAGGCTGAGAGAATATTGTAGGATCCCTCATGGCAGGGAGCTAGGAGGGATATAAGGGGAGATGGTGGAACATAAAGACCACATTTCAAAGCTCTTCCTCCTGATGTGACTGTGATTGCATCTGTCTGTGACTGGCTCTGGTTTTATTTGTGTGTGTGTCTCTCCCTTGACTCTCTTAGTCTTTTTCATGTTTGTTTCCCCTCTGAGTCTCTAGAGACCATGTGTCCTAGTTTGTGGGAGACAGAACAGAGAGCGTTAGGTGGGGAAGCAAGTCTGGGGTGTGTGTGTGTGTGTGTGTGTGTGTGTGTGTGTGTATGTGCGTGTGCTCCTAACCTCTGCTAACTGCCATGGGATCCTGATCTAACTGTTGACTGCTCCCCTTTAGTAGCTTCTGGTCATGGTGGGGCAGAGGCAAGAAGGTGGGTGAGAGGCTGATCTCTAGCTGGCAGCTTGAGGCCCTGCCTTCTGGACTGTGACTCCAGCAGAGCATGGTAGGATCTTAGGGCTTGTAGGTGCAAACAAAGAAAGGCTGTGAGAAACTCACAGCTATCTTTGAAGTATCTTGGTCTGTCATAAGGCCCCTCCTCTACCCACCTTGCCCCTGCGGGGTCACTTCTCTGCTGCACATAAGATTCCAGTGGGCATACTTGGCCAGAGCCTGGGAACCCAGGAGCTTAAGCCTGTTATTTGGCTAGCTGGGAGGGCTCATCTGAGGCAGATATGGCCACGAGGCCTATACTGCTTAGAGGCTGGGGTTGTCATATATATATATATATATATATATATATATATATATATGTATGTATGTATGTATGTATATATGTTTATAGGCAGGCCTGAAGTGGTCCAAAGTTCAGCATAGTGCCCACTAAACTCACCGGGCTGACCCCCTGGGACAGAAAGTTCTGAGGTTAGCTTGTGCACAACAGTATGTACCAGAAGCTCTTAGAATTTGCCCCTCGTCAGCTGCCCTGTTTATTTATTTGGCTCTTGACAGTGGTTGAGTCTCAGAAATAGGTGCTCACCTCTCACAGAGGGACACGAGATCTGTAGCCGGACTAAAACCATGCTAGGCCGAGGGATGTGCTGTCTTGCTCCAGTGCCAGACTTACCTCCCCAAAGTGGGGCTGCGCCTAGGGAGGTGGCTCTGGCCCAACTGGAGTGGACTACTGTTCCCTCTCCGTTCCCTCTGCAGGCTCCTCTGCCCATTCAGGCCTTACCACTAAGCAGAAGAGTGTGCCTTGGTTTTGGCCCTGTATTGACAGCTACGCGAGCCATTACTCCTCAGATGTTCTAGTTCAGGACGTGCAGGCTCTGTGTAGCCTTCTTGAGGCCGGGCAAATGGCAGAGCCCAGGAGTCACAGGAAGAGGCTGGTCTGTGTGGCATCCACCTGTGGCCTCCCTAATCACGCCGGGACACATCTGGAAGGGAAAGCAAAAGTGCCTAATAGGCACCTCTTCCCATGTGACCAGCTCGGGGCTCCTGGCAACCCCTCGGGGACGCTGTTTAGACTGACGACAACTGAACAGTGTCAGGCTCCGTGCTTGGCTGGCAGGGTGTTTGATGCCAGGCAGCAGTGCTATCATTGATGGGGGTAGCCTGCGAAGAGCCGGGGCAGGTTGTTTATATTGGTCTCAGGGGAGCTTTCCCCCAGCACTGTTTTCTTCTTTGTCCTCATCGTGGTCGTCTCCTCCTTCTCCTCCTCTTCCTCCTCCTTCTCCTCCTCTTCCTCCCAAATCTCTTAAAAGCAGCACCGATAGTAGCCTACCCTGAAGACAGGGATGGCCAAAGAGCAGGGACAGTGCTCAGGCCCCTCCCTGACATTCCCATCTGCCTTTCACGTTTCAGTTACAGGCCCAAAAGCTGCGGCTGGCATACACACGGAACTCCCATTACGGAGGTTCTCTGCCAAACGTGAACCAGATCGGCTGCGGCTTGGCCGAGTTCCAGGTGAGTGGACACCAGCCCCCAGCGAGTGCAGGCTCCTCGGCAGCTCCCCCATGGACTCACCTCTGTGTTTTGGCAGAGCCCCCTCCACTCACCTTTGGATTCATCCCGGAACACTCGGCACCATGGGCTGGTGGAGCGGGTGCAGCGAGATCCCCGAAGGATGGTGTCCCCACTCCGCCGCTACCCGCGCCATATATCCTTCACCGAGGGTTCGGGGTGGGAGGGGGTGGGTTGGGGTCCCTTAGGAACTGGTGGGAAAGGACTGGAGGTGTTGGCTAGCCCTATTTTCTCCAGGGGCTCTCCTTTCCCCAGCCTCCCAGAAAAGTGGCCATTTGGCCCACGTGAGAGCGCTGGCTCCT